TTTTTCCGTGGGGCGTTTGAGGGCTGTGCACAAGAATGGGCTGCACGCCGGAGCAAAATGTCCTGAATTGTCAATCGTGCCAAGTTATCATGATCATAATAGTTACATACAAATTCGCAGTTTCAGGCGCTGCCATTGGTGCTGCTGGAAAAGGAGGGCGCTGGGACATTGCATTGGCTCTATTGGAAGGTTCGTGCCCGAATTTCATTTGCCCATTCCGAATCGTGTCTGCAGCCTGCCCGAATTGTTTTTGCATGGTTTCTGGTGTGTCAGTATTACTGCTGCGATGCAAAACTACCAGTGTTCACACATGTCATCAAATGTCAAGATACATTTGCCCATGCGAAAGGCCGGAAAGTGACTCTTCGGCTCTGTGGAGCTGCAATTTCCGCTTGTGTGATCCCAAAGATCTGAGGAATCTTGTAAATGGTTTGCTTCCACAAAACTGGATGTCATGCAAGGAAAGGTCAGACAATCAAGTAGAAACTGAATCACCATTTACATAAATACAGTCATACATACTTACATACATACATACATACATACATACTTGCATTGCATTGCATTGCATTGCATTGCATTGCATTGCATTGCATTGCATTGCATTGCATTGCATTGCATCGCATTGCGTTGCATTGCATTGCATTGCATAGCATGACATTGCATTACATTACATTACATTACATACATTACATACATTACATACATTACATACCTTACTTACCTTACTTACCTTACTTTACTTACCTTACTTACCTTACTTACCTTACTTACCTTACTTACCTTACTTACCTTACTTACCTTACTTACCTTACTTACCTTACCTTACTCACCTACATGCATGCATGCATGCATACATACATACATACATGGTCTCGTGTTCCGTGTTCCTACCCCCCCATGGTATGGGTCCCCAGGTAGCACCCCCTTCCCTTCTATTTGCAAGCTATTCGCAGCATTTGCTAGATCTTTGCAGCATTTCTGACTACCAGCTTCGCATTTACTAGGTACATGTCACCTTTGAGACGACCTACGTAGCACACATACTCCCTCAAAGTACCTACGTGCTACCTATAGTCATATATACATGTGCTATGTGTCTATTTCCTATTTACTACATATATGTGTATATATATATACATTTATACACATATATATATATAATATTATATTATTATATACCTATATACATACATACATATATATATATAACGTATATATATATAAATACACATAATATATATATATATACACATGCATTTTTTAAATAAATAAATGTATATATATATATATATACATGATCGAGCGTTCCAACCCCCCTGACAGTACCACACCCCCACCACACCACAGGGGCGGAGGGGGACAGTATTATGGCTGACCCATGACCAAAGCCGGGGGGGGTTGGAACGCTGGACCATACATACATACCTACCTACCTACCTACGTACATACACATAAATAAATAAATCCATAAATACATACACACACACAAATATACACACATACACGATATGCTTGCACATGCCCTTGCAACAATTTTCAAACCATATTTTAATGGTCAAAGACCCTAGCGGTTTGCTTTGAAGGGGCTGCAGGACGCCTCAAGCAAAAAAACACCCGGAAAACATGACGAAAAATTGGCAGTTTTCTCAGGCGCTGCAGCCAGGCGCTGGCAGGCTGCATTTTCTTTGCTCCGTGAAATGTTCGGAGGCCCAGTCTGCCAGTATGCCAGTCTGCTGTTTTCACTTGCTCCAACCCGGTACAGCATGTGCAGCATGTGCAGCACGGCTTGAGCCGACGGATGTTGCGAAGGGTTTCGTATTCCCAGAAAATGTCTGTATTCGTGGCTTTCCTTTTTGTATGTGCTTCGCAGGCCCTCCAAGAGTCTAGAGCCAGATGCGGCTTGCTTCGGGGTTGTGGTGAGCACCATTCAGACGTCGAATTGCAGCCACTACTGAGAAATAAAAGCACGTGTGCACATTGTTGAACTACAGTACAGAAGTGAAAAACGTCTTGTGCTGTGGGAACTGCGAGAGGCCGGCTCCTGTGAACGCGTGGGACATCATGAGCTTTCATCCAAGCTTCTGGCGCGCTCTAGGGTATTGAACAAATTGGAATCTCTGAATCTCTTCATTTTTCTCCCAGAAGGAAGAATGATTTGTTGACATGGGTTGCTGCTTGATTTACATTTGTACATGTTTGTTCCCGAATGCGTAGCAAGGGTTCCCGTTTCACTCTGGGGGTCTGGGGGTTGAGGGTGTGTTCGCTCGACAGTCCGCAACAGTCCGCAACCGTCCGCAACCGTCCGGCAACCGCCCGCAACCGTCCGCAACCGTCCGCAACCGTTCGTGTGAGGACCATATGGCCGTGCCTATGGTAAGTTCTCCAGAAGGGGTTACTTTTGGAGGTTTCACATGTGGCGTTGCTTCGTTTCGCGTGGCAGGCGTGACACTTCGTGACATTCAGACGTGTTTTGTAACGTGTCGAAAGTCGTTTTGTGTGGCAGGCGCAATACTTTTGCGACGTTTTCAGAAGATGCGTTGCAGTTTTTGTGGCAGGCGCAGCACTTGGGACGCGTCCATCGTCATTTGGCGTGGCAGGCGCAGCGCTTTAGACGTACGTGTTGCGTGTTTTTGCGAATCGCATTGGTAGGGCTGCGTCAGGTGGCGACAAGGTGCAAATTCCGTGGCAGGCGTGGCATTTTGTGAGATGTGATGAAAATTGACGGAAGCCTCACACGAAACATCGATTTTGAGATTTAGAGGTTCCTAAGAAAATTCGTAGGAAAACGTCGATTTTGAGGCTACAAAGTATCAAAATTGGAGGAAGTCTCGCACGAAATGCTCGTTTTGCTGCTCCCACGTGTCTTGTCTTGAGTTTCTAGTTTTTGTCGTGTCTATATGGGGGAAGCTGCAAAACCTCTCCTTCTCGAAGATTTCCAACTGTGAAAATTGGAGGCAGTCTCGCACGAAAGGCTCGTTTTGCTGCGCCAACATGTCTCGTCTCGAGTCTTTGGTTTTTCCTGTGGCCTCGCCGTGTTTATGGGGGAAGCTGCAAAACCTCGTTGCCACGCAGGTTGTCATGTCGTTTTGCGTGGCAGGCGTGGCACTTTGTCACATGCCGACCTGTTTGATAACTTGTCGAAAGTGTCAAAATTGGAGGAAGTCTCGCACGAAATGCTGGTTTTGTCGCGCCCACGTGTCTCGTCTCGAGTCTCTGGTTTTCTAGACACGTCGCCGTGTCTATGGGGGAAGCTGCAAAACCTCTCCTTTCGAAGGTTTCCAAGCAGGTTTTGTGACACTCCAACCTGTTTTATACCGTGTCGAAATTTCTTGTGTGAGCCTGGCGCAACAATGCGCTCCACACTTTACACTCTACAATTTACACTCCACACTCTACACTCCACGCACTCCACGCACTACACTCCACACTCCACACTCCACAACACTCCACACTCCACACTCCACACTCCACCACACTCCACCACACTCCACCACACTCCACACTCCACCACACTCCACGCTCCACCACACTCCACCACACTCCACCACACTCCACCACACTCCACACTCCACACTCCACCACACTCCACACTTTACACACTCCTCACTCCTCACTCCACACTTTACACTCCACACTCTACACTTTACACTCTACACTCCTCACTCCTCACTCCACACTCCACACACTCCACACTTTACATTTTACACTCCACACTTCACACTTTACACTCCTCACTCCACACTCCACACTTTACACTCCACACTTTACACTCCACACTCTACACTTTACCCTCCTCACTCCACACTCCTCACTCCACACTCCACACTCTACACTTTCCACTCGACACTCCACACTCTACACTTTACACTCTACACTAAACACTCTACACTCCACACTCCACACTCTACACTGCCCACTCCACACTCCACACTTTACACTCCACATTCCACACTCCACTCTCCACTCTCCACACTTTACACTTTACACTTTGCACTCCACGCTTTCCACTTTACATTCCACGCTTTCCACTTTACACTCCCCACTCCCCACTCCACACTTTACACTCCACACTCCACACTTTACACTCCGCACTCCACACTCTACACTTTACACTCTACACTTCACACTTTACACTGTAGACTTTACACTCCACGCTTTCCACTTTACATTCCATCTTTCCACTTTACACTCCCCACTCCCCACTCCACACTTTACACTCCACACTCCACACTCTACACTTTACACTCTACACTCCACACTCTACAATCCACACTCCACACTTTACCCACTGCACACTCCACACTCCACACTTTACACTCCACACTCCTCACTCCACACTCCACACACTCCACACACTCCACACTCCACACTCCACACTCCACACTCCACCACGCTCTACACTCTACACACACCACACTCCTCACTCCTCCCTCTACACTTTACACTCTACACTCCACACTTTACACACTCTACGCTCCCCACTCCACACTTTACACTCCACACTCTACACTCTACACTTTACACTTTACACTCCGCACTCTACACTTTACACACTCTACACTCCCCACTCCACACTTTTCACTCCACACTCTACACTTTACACTCTACACTTTACACTCTACACTCCACACTCCACACTCTACACTTTACACACTCTACCCTCCCCACTCCACACTTTACACTCCACACTCCTTTCTTTACACTCCACACTCCACACTCTACACTTTCCACTCCACACTCCACACTCTACACTTTACACTCCGCACTCCACACTCTACACTTTACACTTTACATTTTTCACTCCTCACTCCACACTTTACATTTTACAGTCCCCACTCCATACTTAGCACTCCACACTCCACACTCTACACTCCACTCCCCACACTTTACACTCCACACTCCACACTCCACACTTTACACTCCACACTCTACACTTTACACTTTACACTCCTCACTCCACACTCCTCACTCCACACTCCACACTCTACACTTTCCACTCCACACTCCACACTCTACACTTTCCACTCCACACTGCAGACTGGTAACAGGGGAAATATGTACGAGACAGTTCAAGTAAACTATTGCAGAAAAGTGTTCTGCGTGACTGCATATCCATGTGTTTCGACATCTGTACCATTAACATACGTGTGAGCATTCGGGTTCGTGGGCTGCATCTTGTTTCTACTGCTGCCTTGGGTTGCACAGGACCTCTTCAAGTGTTTGAATGCAGCTTCTGAGTAAATAGTATATAGCAATGGAAGTTCTAGGTTCCAATAGCGAATGGCTCCAAGCACGGAATTTGTTGCTCCGCCAGGCTGAAATGTCTGCTGTTGCAGCAATCGATGACAAGACACTGAGCATTGGCTTGGGGCTGAATGTTCGACCCTGCTGAAGGTCTGACCTTTCTCATGCATTGTTTCTTGCCTTGGTCGATGTGTTGCGTTTGGGAACCAAGGCTTCACCAACGCCATTAGCGAAGCCAACCGCGCTAATTATTGGGAGCTTTGGAGCAAAACGGAAGAATTAGCCAATACTGTAGTCGCTCGAGGTGGCTAGGTTCGGCTGAAAGTCGCTGAAGGTCGCTGAAGGTCGCTGAAGGTCGCTGAAGGTCGCTGAAGGTCGCTGAGGTCGCTGAAGGTCGCTGAAGGTCGCTGAAGGTCGCTGAAGGTCGCTGAAGGTCGCTGAAGGTCGCTGAAGGTCGCTGAAGGTCGCTGAAGTCTGTGATGTTTGCTGGTTTTTGATGATGTTTGTTCTGTTTGTTCTGTTTGTTCTGTTGGTTCTGAGTTCGCAGCCGAGGAGCGAGCGCTGCAGCTCTTTGGCCAAGTTTGTGACATGCAGAGCGACGGCCTGTCATTGGATACCGCGGCTTTGGGTGCAGCTCTGGCAGCCTGCCAGACAGGTGGGTACAGTACAGAGCAAGGTCGCTTCATAGGAAGATCTTGTGCGACTGTTTACAGGTGCGGCCTGGCATCAGAGCTTGGCAATCTTGGAGATGCTTCAGGACGAGGCACACTAGCTCAAAACTATTGACTGCATTTTCCATGAACCTGCTTGCCAAATCTTGCCAAAGTATATATATATATACATTAATATTAATTTAAGGGCTGCCGCCCCTGCCGCCGACCCCGGAAGATCTGAAAGAATTCCTAAAGCAAACCCTGCATGAAATTCGACAGAAACCTTAAAGAAACTCGAAAGAAAACTTTTAAGAGATGTAAATCTTTAAGAAACGCGAAACCCGAGTGAATCCCAGAGAAGCTCGGCATGAAATTCTAATTCTTTTGTTTTATTCTCTTCTGTTTGGATCCTAAATGAAATGAACCCTAAAGAAACCAGAAATTGACCTAAAGAAACCATTTGAATGAAACTTTAAATGCATCCTAAAGAGACCCTAGACGACACTCTAATAAGGTTTGAAGGAAATACTAAATGGAACCCAGACATAACGCTTGGACATTCTTACCATGGTTTTGTCCGCGCAGTTTGATGGACTTTGGCCGGTATGTACCTTGCAATGTAAAGTTATGTAGCGTAATTTGGTGTAATGTAAATGTACTGTCATTGTATTCGGCTGCTGCTGCTGCGGATGCCGGTCAACCAGCTTCGAAAAAAGCAGTTCCCGGCAACAAAACACTATGGCTCTGAAACACGAGCAAGTTCCAGAACCACGCCAAAAAACTCCCTAACCGGTCGTCTGAAATTCTAGAGAAAATTCTATAGAAAAACAGCATTTGTCGAGAGATTCTGTTGCCTGCAGCTACTCGCAGGAAAATAGCTTCGAAAAAAGCACCTGCCGGCAGCTCCCGGCAGCAAAAAACCATGGCTCTAAAGAACGAGCAAGTTTTAGAACCACGCTAAAAAACTGCCTAACGTGTCGTCTGAAATCCTGGAAAAACAGCTTTTTTCGAGAGAGTCTGTCGCCTGCAGCTGCTCGCAGGTGGAGGCTGCTGCTGCTGATGCCGGTACAATAGCTTCGAAAAAAGCAGTTCCCGGCAACAAAACACTATGGCTCTGAAACACGAGCAAGTTCCAGAACCACGCCAAAAAACTCCCTAACCGGTCGTCTGAAAATCTAGAAAAATATAGAAAAACAGCATTTGTCGAGAGATTCTGTTGCCTGCAGCTACTCGCAGGAAAATAGCTTCGAAAAAAGCACCTGCCGGCAGCTCCCGGCAGCAAAAAACCATGGCTCTAAAGAACGAGCAAGTTTTAGAACCACGCTAAAAAACTGCCTAACGTGTCGTCTGAAATCCTGGAAAAACAGCTTTTTTCGAGAGAGTCTGTCGCCTGCAGCTGCTCGCAGGTGGAGGCTGCTGCTGCTGATGCCGGTACAATAGCTTCGAAAAAAGCAGCTCCCGGCAGCAAAACACCATGGCTCCGAAGGACGAGCAAGTTCCAGAACCACGCCAAAAAACCTCCCAAACGTGTCGTCTGAAATGCTAGAAAAAATGTGCTAGAAAAACAGCAAAAAAACAGCATAGAAACACAGCATTTGTCGATTGTCGAGAGATTCTGTCGCCTACGGCTGCTCGCACGACTGGTGGCGGCGGCTGCTGCTGCTGATGCCAGTAAACCAGCTTCGAAAAAAGCAGCTCCCGGCAGCAAAACACCATGGCTCTGAAGGACGAGCAAGGTCCAGAACCACGCCAAAAAACTCCCTAACGGGTCGTCTGAAATCCTAGAAAAACAGCACATTGTCGAGAGATTGTCAAGAGATTCTGTTGCCTGCGGCTGCTCGCAGGACTGGTGGCGACGGTTGCTGCTGCTGATGCCGGGAAAACAGCTTCGAAAAAAGCAGCCCCCGGCAGCAAAACACCATAGCTCTGAAGGACGAGCAAGGTCGAAAGATTCTGTTACCTGCGGCTGCTCGCAGAACTGGGGGCGGCGGCTGCTGCTGCTGATGCCGGTAAAACAGCTTCGAAAAAAGCAGCTCCCGGCAGCAAAACACCATGGCTCGGAAGGACGAGCAAGGTCCAAAAACACGCGAAAAAACTCCCTAACGTGTGGTCTGGAAATCTAGAAAAATCTAGAAAAACAGCATTTGTCGAGAGATTCTGTTGCCTGCGGCTGCTGCTGCTGATGCCGGTAAAACAGCTTCGAAAAAAGCAGCCCCCGGCAGCAAAACACCATGGCTCTGAAGGACGAGCAAGGTCGAAAGATTCTGTTGCCTGCGTTGCCTGCGGCTGCTCGCAGAACTGCTGGCGGCGGCTGCTGCTGCTGATGCCGGTAAAACAGCTTCGAAAAAAGCAGCTCCCGGCAGCAAAACACCATGGCTCGGAAGGACGAGCAAGGTCCAAAACCACGCGAAAAAACTCCCTAAAGTGTCGTCTGGAAATCTAGAAAAACAGCATTTGTCGACAGATTCTGTTGCCTGCGGCTGCTCGCAGAACTGGTGGCGGCGGCTGCTGCTGCTGATGCCGGTAAACCAGCTTCGAAAAAAGCAGCTCCCGGCAGCAAAACACCATGGCTCTGAAGGACGAGCAAGGTCCAGAACCACGCCAAAAAACTCCCTAACGTGTCGTCTGAAATCCTAGAAAAACAGCACATTGCCGAGAGATTGTCAAGAGATTCTGTTGCCTGCGGCTGCTCGCAGGACTGGTGGCGACGGTTGCTGCTGCTGATGCCGGTAAAACAGCTTCGAAAAAAGCAGCCCCCGGCAGCAAAACACCATATCTCTGAAGGACGAGCAAGGTCGAAAGATTCTGTTACCTGCGGCTGCTCGCAGAAGTGGTGGCGGCGGCTGCTGCTGCTGATGCCGGTAAAACAGCTTCGAAAAAAGCAGCTCCCGGCAGCAAAACACCATGGCTCGGAAGGACGAGCAAGGTCCAAAAACACGCGAAAAAACTCCCTAACGTGTGGTCTGGAAATCTAGAAAAATCTAGAAAAACAGCATTTGTCGAGAGATTCTGTTGCCTGCGGCTGCTGCTGCTGATGCCGGTAAAACAGCTTCGAAAAAAGCAGCCCCCGGCAGCAAAACACCATGGCTCTGAAGGACGAGCAAGGTCGAAAGATTCTGTTGCCTGCGTTGCCTGCGGCTGCTCGCAGAACTGGTGGCGGCGGCTGCTGCTGCTGATGCCGGTAAAACAGCTTCGAAAAAAGCAGCTCCCGGCAGCAAAACACCATGGCTCGGAAGGACGAGCAAGGTCCAAAACCACGCGAAAAAACTCCCTAATGCGTCGTCTGGAAATCTAGAAAAACAGCATTTGTCGACAGATTCTGTTGCCTGCGGCTGCTCGCAGAACTGGTGGCGGCGGCTGCTGCTGCTGATGCCGGTAAAACAGCTTCGAAAAAAGCAGCCCCCGGCAGCAAAACACCATAGCTCGGAAGGACGAGCAAGGTCCAAAACCACGCGAAACAACTCCCTAACGTGTCGTCTGGAAATCTAGAAAAACAGCATTTGTCGACAGATTCTGTTGCCTGTGGCTGCTCGCAGAACTGGTGGCGGCGGCTGCTGCTGCTGATGTCGTTTGAAATCCTGGAAAAACAGCTTTTTTCGAGAGAGTCTGTCGCCTGCAGCTGCTCGCAGGTGGCGGCTGCTGCTGCTGATGCCGGTACAATAGCTTCGAAAAAAGCAGCTCCCGGCAGCAAAACACCATGGCTCCGAAGGACGAGCAAGTTCCAGAACCACGCCAAAAAACCTCCCAAACGTGTCGTCTGAAATGCTAGAAAAAATGTGCTAGAAAAACAGCAAAAAACAGCATAGAAACAGCATAGAAAAACAGCATTTGTCGATTGTCGAGAGATTCTGTCGCCTACGGCTGCTCGCACGACTGGTGGCGGCGGCTGCTGCTGCTGATGCCAGTAAACCAGCTTCGAAAAAAGCAGCTCCCGGCAGCAAAACACCATGGCTCGGAAGGACGAGCAAGGTCCAGAACCACGCCAAAAAACTCCCTAACGTGTCGTCTGGAAATCTAGAAAAACAGCATTTGTCGACAGATTCTGTTGCCTGCGGCTGCTCGCAGAACTGGTGGCGGCGGCTGCTGCTGCTGATGCCGGTAAAACAGCTTCGAAAAAAGCAGCTCCCGGCAGCAAAACACCATGGCTCTGAAGGACGAGCAAGGTCCAGAACCACGCCAAAAAACTCCCTAAGGTGTCGTCTGAAATCCTAGGAAAACAGCACATTGTCGAGAGATTGTCAAGAGATTCTGTTGCCTGCGGCTGCTCGCAGGACTGGTGGCGACGGTTGCTGCTGCTGATGCCGGTAAAACAGCTTCGAAAAAAGCAGCCCCCGGCAGCAAAACACCATAGCTCTGAAGGACGAGCAAGGTCGAAAGATTCTGTTACCTGCGGCTGCTCGCAGAACTGGTGGCGGCGGCTGCTGCTGCTGATGCCGGTAAAACAGCTTCGAACAAAGCAGCTCCCGGCAGCAAAACACCATGGCTCGGAAGGACGAGCAAGGTCCAAAACCACGCGAAAAAACTCCCTAACGTGTCGTCTGGAAATCTAGAAAAATCTAGAAAAACAGCATTTGTCGAGAGATTCTGTTGCCTGCGGCTGCTGCTGCTGATGCCGGTAAAACAGCTTCGAAAAAAGCAGCCCCTGGCAGCAAAACACCATGGCTCTGAAGGACGAGCAAGGTCGAAAGATTCTGTTGCCTGCGTTGCCTGCGGCTGCTCGCAGAACTGGTGGCGGCGGCTGCTGCTGCTGATGCCGGTAAAACAGCTTCGAAAAAAGCAGCTCCCGGCAGCAAAACACCATGGCTCGGAAGGACGAGCAAGGTCCAAAACCACGCGAAAAAACTCCCTAACGTGTCGTCTGGAAATCTAGAAAAACAGCATTTGTCGACAGATTCTGTTGCCTGCGGCTGCTCGCAGAACTGGTGGCGGCGGCTGCTGCTGCTGATGCCGGTAAAACAGCTTCGAAAAAAGCAGCTCCCGGCAGCAAAACACCATGGCTCTGAAGGACGAGCAAGGTCCAGAACCACGCCAAAAAACTCCCTAACGTGTCGTCTGAAATCCTAGAAAAACAGCACATTGTCGAGAGATTGTCAAGAGATTCTGTTGCCTGCGGCTGCTCGCAGGACTGGTGGCGACGGTTGCTGCTGCTGATGCCGGTAAAACAGCTTCGAAAAAAGCAGCCCCCGGCAGCAAAACACCATAGCTCTGAAGGACGAGCAAGGTCGAAAGATTCTGTTGCCTGCGGCTGCTCGCAGAACTGGTGGCGGCGGCTGCTGCTGCTGATGCCGGTAAAACAGCTTCGAAAAAAGCAGCTCCCGGCAGCAAAACACCATGGCTCGGAAGGACGAGCAAGGTCCAAAACCACGCGAAAAAACTCCCTAACGTGTCGTCTGGAAATCTAGAAAAATCTAGAAAAACAGCATTTGTCGAGAGATTCTGTTGCCTGCGGCTGCTGCTGCTGATGCCGGTAAAACAGCTTCGAAAAAAGCAGCCCCCGGCAGCAAAACACCATGGCTCTGAAGGACGAGCAAGGTCGAAAGATTCTGTTGCCTGCGTTGCCTGCGGCTGCTCGCAGAACTGGTGGCGGCGGCTGCTGCTGCTGATGCCGGTAAAACAGCTTCGAAAAAAGCAGCTCCCGGCAGCAAAACACCATGGCTCGGAAGGACGAGCAAGGTCCAAAACCACGCGAAAAAACTCCCTAACGTGTCGTCTGGAAATCTAGAAAAACAGCATTTGTCGACAGATTCTGTTGCCTGCGGCTGCTCGCAGAACTGGTGGCGGCGGCTGCTGCTGCTGATGCCGGTAAAACAGCTTCGAAAAAAGCAGCTCCCGGCAGCAAAACACCATGGCTCGGAAGGACGAGCAAGGTCCAAAACCACGCGAAAAAACTCCCTAACGTGTCGTCTGGAAATCTAGAAAAACAGCATTTGTCGACAGATTCTGTTGCCTGCGGCTGCTCGCAGAACTGGTGGCGGCGGCTGCTGCTGCTGATGCCGGTAAAACAGCTTCGAAAAAAGCAGCTCCCGGCAGCAAAACACCATCGCTCTGAAGGACGAGCAAGGTCCAGAACCACGCCAAAAAACTCCCTAACGTGTCGTCTGAAATCCTAGTCGCGGCACCACTTTTCTAGCTTTATTTCCCGGCGGCCCTCTAGAAAGGAGGATGGAACGCAGACATGCAACACATGCCACGCTGCGAAGGTGCAGCGTGCAGTCCGCAAGCGCGCAGCTGCTTCCAGTGCAGCTCGCCTCGAACCTCTCCGGAAAAGATTGCGCCACAGGCAAATTATCCAGGAGACATGGGAAGCAATTGCTCGGAAACGTAGTCGCACCACGATTCCTGTTGAAAAATGCGTTGAAAATACAGCAGGGCCCACTATCTCGCAGAGAAAGCCGGTCTATGAATATATATGTCCTCATTGTGAGACACAGGTCCGTAGTACTGTCACTGATGGACAAGTTGATGCGAAACAACAGCATTGTGGTGTCCGCTTCCGTGTTCGCGGTGGCACAGTGATTCAGAGCTTTTTCACACATCAGTGTCCAGCATGTTTAACAGAAGTGCAAAGCACGAAACGCTTTGGCCGCATACGGGTAGCGCACAAAAAACGAAACGGGAAAAGATGTGGAACAAAATGTTGGCAAGTAGTATGCTCCGGTACCAAAGACACGACTTGATCTAAGAAAATTGCAGCCTAACCCTGAAGCTTATGGACTATCGAGAGCACAGCAGAGGTGGCACATGGTTGTTGTTGTCGCTCCCCCTTGCATCGGCCGGGGTCAGCGAATTATTATTATTCTTTCCTGGCAGCTGTGTCATAAACTCTTTTTCCCTTACGCACTCCCCCTTGCGTCTGCCGGGGTCGGCGGATACCACTGTTTGTACAATGAGACATAGAACCTCGAGGATGCGGCCTCGAACGAACAAATCAGAGCGGGAAGGGCAACCCAAGGAGCCCCACGTACCTCGAGGAGACTCCGGGAAGGACCCCCCACCGGTAAAACAAAAACCCCGGAGTCAATGAATCGACGTACGTGACCGGTGGGAGGGGGACCCAACAGGGTCCCCCGGCAAAGGGTCATTGTTGTTGTTGTTGTTGTTCTTGTTCTTGTTCTTGTTGTTGTTGTTGTTGTGTTGTCGTTGTTGTTGTTGTTGTGGTTGTTGTGCTGCTGCTGCTGCTGCTGCTGCTGCTGCTGCTGTTTCTATCTACTGTAGCTGCAGTAGTATAGTAGTAGTCGCAATGTCTTATTCCCTGGCGCGCTCCCCCTTGCGTCTGCCGGGGTCGGCGGATATATAATTTATAAGACATATTAAATGGAAAAGGCAAAAGGTAAAATTTCGAGATCGTTGCGGAATGATACGCTTCAAACACCAAATTTAGGAGAAGTAGACCAGAAGTCGAGTAGTGTAAAGAAGCTGAGGTAAACATGTAAAATAGAGCCGCCAACTAGTTGCCACATTTTGCCCGAGTTTTTGATCAGAAAACTCGGCAAATACTTCAGTTTCTGCACGCGGAGCGATATACAATGTTTCTTTCCTTTGCTGTTTAGACACTGCAAAAAAAACGTGCAAATAACAGCAAACGCGTGCTTCCGAAACCAGATACAACATCGTTGTAATTTCAGATAATTTCAGTTTTTTTTCTCGAAAGCTGCTGCACTCAGCGCTGGTGTTTGCGACGTTTCAACACTGCAATATGATATCTACTTTCTGTCTATCACAGAAGAAAAAAATACGCCAAAGTTGGATTTACCCTACAAACCGCGGAAAAGACTCTAATCAAATGCCAGTCTCTGACTGTGCCCTCTCGACCCCTCAGCTATTGCTGCTTAAACCTACGTAGGGCTAGGTACCTAAGCTTGTAACTTTGGCTGATCTTCCTACATCACAATATGCCGTCACTGCCGTTGCAATGCAGACAGATTTACAGCTGGATTGAAATCAGTGAAAAGCACGAAAATAAGACATGATGAAACACATGATATTGTGACACACAGCAGCTTGGTTTCAATTTGCAGTTCTGATTCCAAACTGATTTCCCTGGACTTTGCAGGGTTGATGTGAGGTTTGGTCATCAACTCCGGGAAGTCTTGTTGTGGCTCGGGCCTCCTTGTGACACTTCACCTGCCCGGAGTTCTTTGCCCCGGCGGAACTCTGATAAGGCTTATTCTGCAGCCATTGGAGCTTGTGTACATGGAGCAAAAGCCTCAACTTTGCAGACTCTGGGATCACAGGACAGTTGAAAAGTGTGAGCTCCACGTGTTTCCGCGACCCCTTTCTCAGGGAAGATGGGCCTTGGCTTTACAATTGCTCGGGCGCTGCAAGCGTGAGACTGCATATGTGGCAGAGGTGGCTAATCCAAGGGTGGTTCTGGGGATCTTTTTGCCGAAAGCGTGTACGAAAGTCGAGAAGAGAAAGTCAAATAATTCAAAACATGGCTTTAGTTTGCCCAGTAGCGCATTGTCGGAACATCATCCATGTTTAGGTCAGAGTTGACATGATACAACCGAAGGTGCAGCCGGCTTTGTTGGTGGCAGGGCATACAACCCTAAGCTCGCTCGCTGCGACATTGCATTGGGAAAAGGCAGGCACCATGCTTGGGAAAAGGCCGTAGCCATTTTGGCTCAAGCTGCCTGTGTGCAGTTTGATCGTGTAAGGGGTGGGAACTGCTCAGGTGTCCTTGTGGACTTTTGATGAGCACAGAGTTGCTCCTGTGGACACCTCAGCACCTCTCACCAGCCGGGGTCGACCCTAGGTGGGTCCTGTGTGGCCTCCTGGTGGTTTGCTGGGCGTGGGGTTGTGTTTGTGGCTGGTGCTTCGGCAGCCTTGGGCGGTGTCCCAAAGGCTCCTGGCGACCTCAGCCGCAGCTGGTCAGCCCTCCCCGGCCTTCGGTGAGGGACTTCCCCTTTAGCCCCAAACAGGATTAGATGCGTGGGGCGTTGTGGTGCTATGGCATCCTTGCTTGCGTCGCCAGCCGAACTGGCTACTTTGACCTCCTTGAACGACGTGGTCACCTTCGCCGCAGTGGAGGCGAACCTGTGGACCTTATTTGCCAAACAGCTTGGCAACCCACCAAGCGTTCGGATCCTAGCAATGGTTCCGGCCTCGGTGTTGCAGAAAACCATCTTGGGCCTGCGGATCCCCTCTGGTGCCGCCCCGGCGGATGGAACCCCGCCGCCGACGCGCGATCCCAACGTCACCGAGACGATCCAGATGGCGCTGGTGTGGCGGGTAGCCAGGCAGGCCGTAGGGCTGGAGGACATGGATCCGATGTTGCCAGGAGCGGAGTCCTCCTCGGCTGTCAGGGCCACGGTGGGGGCAAGTCCACCAGTGAGTGGAACACCGGGGGTGGCGGCAGCAGTGCCTACGCAAAACCAGCCATCGCCAAAGAAAGTGAAGTTGTCAAACGTGTTGGACCAAACAGACGACACAGAAGTTGCAACAAAGACGAGGGCCGAGATGGGCATCTATTTCGAGAACCATCGGGAGATTACGGGCGCAGACCCGCTACCAGAGGTAGAGCCGACCGATCTTCAAGTTGCAGCAATGGAAGACAAAGTCGTCATGAGGGACGAAAGTCCTTATGCAGACTTCTCCATCCTTACACCTTTTGGGAGAAGGATACAAAGAGCTATGAAAACGAAAAGCTACTCATTCCAACCGGATGGCACGTGGAAAGCGGCCGACATCCCGGGGCCACCTCACTTCCAGGCGTGGCAAGCCTGTTTCAGGGTGTACCGAGCAGTTTTATTCATGCTGCGCTACAATGCAACAGCGGCGCCGGCGGGAGGAGCGCCAGTGAGCGCAACTCGAGGCATGGTGACAAGGAGACCATTAGTCGTTCAGCCTCACTCCCTCGAGAGATACTTCGAGGCCTTCAAAGAGCTCTGTCAGGAGTTCCCGGAATGCTGGCATTTGCTGATGCCGGCCGAGGATCGAATGAGAGCCGAGAGGTTCGAGCACATTCGAAGGAATTTGCAAAGGGCCCACAACGAGGGCAAAGTCCCGCTGGATGTGGACTTCAACCCAGCGACTCCTTGGGATGGGGTCTTCCAGGCTGCGGCGTTGGACCACCAATACTGGGACGCCAATGTCAGGAGACCCGCAGTCGCCTTCCTTGCCAGGATGGGGAGCCAATTGCAACCGACGCTCGAGCCCGTGTCAGAAGGAGCAAAGGCGTCATTGGCCAATGTGGAGGCGGCCCTCGGCGCGGCAGCTCCAGTGGGGGCGGCGTCACCAGCCAACAAGAAGACGAGGAAGAGGAAGAAGGAGAGCCCAGGCGAGGGGTCAGACAAGGAGAAGAAGCCGGCGACGAAGCCAAAGGTGGAAGACCGCTTCACAAACAAAACGCATCCCAAGAAGTGGGGAGGTCTCTTCCACAGCACGCCAGAGGGGCGAGAGCTGTGCTATACCTGGGCAAAGGGAGCTACACCAGAGGCTTGCGCGGAGCCCTGTGCGGCAAACCGTGCGCATCGATGTCAAATATGTTTGGGTGCACACCAAAATCGGGAGTGCAAAAAGGAGCCCCCAAAAGGGAAGGGAAAAGGAAACAGGAAATAGGAAACAGCCCCCGCTCTGCAAAGCCCTCACCCAGGAGCGCCCAGTGTTGGCGTGGAAAGGGGACGGGAAGGACAGTCCGTCCGCCCCTTCAGGTTCTTGGAGCTGTTTGCCGGGCAGGCAGGGTTTTCGGGGGCTGTCAAGTTGGCCGGTGGAGACCTGGTGGAGGTGATGAATCACCAAGATTCTTGGACCACAAAGTGGGACATCTTGGTGGACGAGGACTTCGAGAAAGCACGAGGATGGGTGAGGGAAGCAGACCACACCCATTTAGCCCCGCCTTGCAAGTCCTTCACGAAGGCACGGAGGTCAGACAAATTCGGGACCACCAAAGTCGTGCGGTCGCAAGCACAACCAGAAGGCTGGGGCGACCCTCTGACAGTAGAGGGCAACAAAATCGTGGAGAGAGTGTCAGTCCTATTAGACGAGGCTCAGTCGGCAAGGAACACTACTTCGTTGGAAAACCCGGAGGACTCGTTCATTTGGGAGCAGCCAACGCTGGAAAGGCACATGAAAAGAATGGGAAAGGTTGGGCTAGACCAATGCCCATACGGTGCCGAAACCAAAAAGCCGACTGGGATCCTTACGGGTGCATCATGGATGGCAGATGTTTGTGCCAGGTGCGAGGAGGCACGACCACACGAGCATATGCCAGGTGGTTTGGTCGGAAAGACCTTGGATCATTTCTTCGATCCGCCAAGAGAGGTGTGGAAAACCGCTTTAGCGGCCGAGTACCCCACGGGGCTGTGCTGGGCATGGGCACAGTCGCTTGTCCGCTTCTTGAAGACAGAAGAAGGACGGGTGGCGCTGCAGAAGAAAACCTTCAGAGTGAAAGGAAACGCGCTGAGTGCGGTCCAGCCGGAAGTACAGACAAGGCATCCAGCGAGCAATCGAGAAAGAAGAGAGATAGAAAACGACCGGGCGGTGGGAGGACTAAGAAATCCCTACCGTGCCATTCAGAGCAAGGCTGCAGCTTGGAAGCTGGGCGCCAGTGTGCGCCACGTGCTCTTGGGGGTCGTCAAAGAGAACTCACGGGAGTTGCACACGCTGGTGTCGGGGGGGTCCTTTGCGGGCTTCCACAAAGACACAGTGGCAGCAGCAGCCAGTGCGCTGTCGTCACTTGTGGGGGTGGAGCAGGAAACCCCATCTCCGATACGGGTTACACTCCTGGAAAAGCTGCTGGAGAGGAGCCAAGACCCAGAGAAAGACGTGACGCAGTGGCTGAGAGAAGGCTTCCCGCTGGGGATAGAGAAGGAGCTTGGAATCAACAACGTGTTCCCGGCAACGGAGTGGGATACAAAGGCCGTGGAGCTGTCGCGGCAATTCCCCCTGCTCACCGACTGGAGCGAAGTGGACCAAGCGGAAAACTACAAGTCCTTCCAGGAAGCAGGGCAAGCAGCATTAGAAGAATTGGAGCGTGTGGCCGAGGCAGGCTATGCGACGCGTTGCAATTCATGGGCCGAAGTCCTGCAGTCTGCTGGAGAAGGAGCCTCGCTGACCAGGCTTGGATGTATCCAAAAACCCAAGCCAGGAGGGGGTGTCAAGACCCGATTGGTGGTCGATTGTCGGCGATCAGGCATCAATGGGTTGATGTGTATCAGGCAGCGGGTCGTTCTACCGAGAGTGAGCGACGTCGCAAACGAATGGGCTGCCATGGTGCAAGAGGACAACGATGCGGTGGTCCACTTCGCCGTAATCGACTTCCGCGATGCCTTTTACCAATGCCGACTCGCACCAGTGGAGCGCAAACATGTAGTAGTCAAGGCCAGTGGGTCGGTCTACTACATCTTAGAGGTCGTCGCATTTGGCCTGGCCTGCGGGCCACTGTTGTGGTCAAGGCTGGCCGCGGCACTCGTGAGGCTTGCCCAAGCGGCTTGTTGGGATACAGCCCGCATACAGTGTTATGTGGACGACCCCTTACTGGTGGTCAAAGGGCTGGACGCGGTGGCCAGGTCAGTGAATCTGGCGATACCGCTCCTGCTGTGGCAGGCGTTGGGCTGCCAACTGAGTTGGAACAAGATGCAGCTGGGCACAACCGTACAGTGGATCGGTTTTCAGCTGCAGCTGAAAGATGGCTGCATTGTGGCACAACTGTCGCAAGAGAAGCTGGAGAAGCTGCAGAGGGCTTTGGAAGAGTTGTTGCAGCACAAAGGAGTCGTTCCAGTTCAGCTCCTCCGGTCGATGGCCGGTTTATTGGGTTGGCTCACGTCAATCGTCAAGCTGGCAAGGCCGTGGGTAGGAATGATATGGGGATGTGTCACAGAATGCGAATCCCGGGTGCCGAAGCGTGCCAGGGAAAGAAAGAATTTGGTGTTCATGAAACAGGTGCAATTGGCACTAAGCACCCTGCACAGGATGACTCAGTGCAGCTCCTTGAATGCCACCTTCCACTGGCAGCCACGCGCATTGTGGCAAATACAGACAGATGCTTCAGTCTTTGGATTTGGTGGCATCCTGTGGTATGGTCGACAGCCAGTCGCTTGGTGGGCAGACGAAATCCAGGAATGGGATTTGGCGCTGCTGGGGGCCAGAACAGGAGACCCAGCCTGGCAATCCGAGTGGGAGTTGCTGGCTGTAGCAATCTCAGTCAAGCTGTTTGGGTCACAAATAGCAAGTCAGGCCGTGCACTTGACGACTGACAACACAGGCGTCCTGCACACTGCCTTAAACCTTAGGGCCTCCTCGCCAGGAATGGTGGCCATTGCCGCAGAATTGGCCTGTGTGCTTCGTCAGTATGACGTTGACCTGCGGCAGGGCGACCATGTCCGTTCTGCCGCCAATTATCTGGCAGACGCCCTGAGTCGGCTGTCCCGCGGTGCGGCTGTGCCTGCACTTTTGGTGCCTGTGACGCGCCTTGACACAGGTTCAAGAGAAACCTGGTGGAACATCACCTAAACCTCTCGAAGCAGAGGTGCGGGCGGGGAAAAAGGAAGCGGATCCCAGAGGGATTTAGGGACTCGTGGCAGTGTTGTTGGCCTTGAAGGGCTCCACAGGCAGGGGTCCCCCCCACTTTCTCCCCCCCCCTTTTCTTTGTTTAATGCAAGTTTTTCAAGTGTCTGGCTGACCATGTAATCCAGGGAGTGCGCTTGTCCGCAGTTCCGTTGCCCAAGCTCGGTAGATCGGTGGCACCGTGTGGCCACGGCACATGCCGCGAGGTAGCGCTACGCACCGGGCCGCCATTGCCGCCCAACACACTTTGTGTTTTAGTGCCTATCCTCGCCCGCCAGTGCGCGGGGTCGTGCACCAGGTAGTCTCCTACCTCGTTGCATCGCTACTCGGTGCAGTAGCGCTGTTGTGGCTCCTGCTCATAGAATAAACATGTGGGCCGCGCGGCTGCTTCCAGCAAGCCAGCAGAGGAGGTTTGCGGGCGCCGGAGGGAGAGACCGCCCAGCGCAAAAGCAACTGTCGAAGCGGAAGGCAGATTTAGTTGCGGAAAGATTTAGCGCAAGGCAGAAAGAGGTGACGGCGTCTCGGGAAGATTACGCCAATGGGCCAGTGCGCTTCCCCAAGAACGATGGCTTCGACCCGTGGTCAGCCTTGGCCCAGAGGGTATGCAAGCTCTGCTCCAGGAAACCAGTGATTGGGTACTGTAACAGGTGCAGTGTCGAGCTGTGTGGCGCGTGCATCACAAGAATGAATACAGCACCCTTTAAGTGGATCTGCCTGGAGTGCGCATGCGGATCAGATGAATCCGAAGAGCAGGCGAAGCTAGTGGTCTCATGTCAAAATGAAGAAGTCGCAAGGAGGAAGACTATCCTTGCACAGCCTGGAATGGAAACGGAAAACGACTTGGCGGGGGCGCTGGCAGAAAGAATCCTGGGTGACAAAGGGCGCCACCTCGAAATGGCCTGGTGGGCCGAGGTTAAGCGAAAGGATTGGGCGCTTCACGGAGAGAGGCCAGTGATGCCTTTCTCTGTGATGAAAGCCTACGCTGTGGCCAGGCCTCCGGGACAAGATGAACCACAAGAGGAAGGGGGGCTCCCGTCCGCGGGTAGTGGCGACCTTCGCCCGCATGGAGAAGGGGACCCGGCGGGGGCCGATACAAACAAGGTGCCAGTCAAAGTGGAGCCCAAGGAGGACGATGGAGCCTCCTCAGAAAACGAAGGCTTAGGAGCAAAGAGGAGGAAAACGGGCCCCAGCAAGGACCACTTTGTAGAGCCGGGGGGGCTCAGAGCGCCCACCACGCCGGCAGGGACCCCGGCTGCGCGAACCACCGGCCCCGTGGTGGCGCCGCCTAAAACAAGGGCGAGAGGGTCTGCGGCAAAAGCCTTGGTTGTCGCCTCCTCGGAAGATCTGATGAAACAGGCAAGAATCAACTACGGCGAGTTGGTCTATGCAAAATCAACGGCAATTGCCAAAGAAAGCAAGGCCAGATTAGTTGTGCAGATCGCGGAAGCGAGAAACCTGGAACCGTTTCCACTTACTCCTGCAGTGATCGGGGAAGTGGCGGCGGTTCTGCGGGCAGCCGACTTTGCCTCAGGCGCAACGTACCTTTCAGAAGCAAAGCAAGTGCATCTTCGAAAGGGGTACGACTGGGACTCGTCCTTGGATCTGGCGATGCAAGACGCCGAAAGGGCCCTCACCAGAGCTCTCGGCCCGGTTGTGAAGGCCGAGGAAATACCTCCAAAGCTTTGGAGACTATGGCAACTGGCTGGTCGTAGGGGCTTTGTTCGAAGTCAAATGCAGCCTCAGGCGGGGCCAGAGCTGTGGGGAATGGGCTCGGCGTTCTTGCTGAGAGAAACGGAACTCGCACACCTCCTGATGGGTTCAGTGTCTTTGGAGGTCACGTTGCTCCTCTCCATGTCAAAGACCGACCCGGGAGGAAAAGGGGCAAGGCGCACGAGATCATGCGTGTGCTCCTATCCGCCTGAGGACGAAGGCGAGAGTGACTGCCCCTTTCACGCCACGCTGTTGGTGATGGCAGAAAGAACCAAGGTACTTCGTGGAATGGGCTACGAGGAAGAAGAATTGAGGGAGTTCACTGTCGTTGGACAGGTCGGTTGCCCCACCTTGATGGTGACCAAAGAAGCCATGATAGCGGCTCTTAGAAAGGACGTGGAAGAGGCCTGCAAGTCATCCGACCTCGCAAAGCACCGGTTGGCGGCCCCAAACTTAGACAGGGCGACGGGCCACTCACTAAGAAGATCCGGGGCAAAGGACGCCGTCAAGAGGCACGGACTCCCATTAGCGATGGTCCAGTGGCTTGGCCGTTGGGGATCCAGTGCGGTCCAAGGCTATGTCGAGGACGCCCTTGAAGAAATGCCTGAAAACAAGGTGGCTCTGACCACATGGGAAGGAGTGGCCCGCAAAACCCTGGAGCAGGCCGCTAAATGTCAGGAGATACAGGAGATGATCAAATTGGTGAAAGCTGAGGTTAAAACCAACGATCAAAACACCAGAGCCATGGTACAGGAAATCAGGGACCAAGCCAGACCGAAGTTGGTCCTGAACCTGTCCACTCTTATGGTGCATGCCACCGCACGGTCCGACAGCAGTGAGTGGGCAGGCAACCCGCTCAACTGGGTCACCCGGTGTGGTGGCTGGAGATGGGCTGCCGCTGGAAGGCTAGCAAAGCCTCTGTCGGCAAAAGAACAGGTGGGAGAAGCTGTTTCGATCTGCTCGAGGTGCAGGCCGGACATGATAGCCGAGGACCTCGTCGACAGCACTATCCCCTTTTCATGGTGACAAAGTCACACAGTAACATAGTGACGTGTAGCACAGAATGAATGAAAAAGGGCTGCGAAACAGCAGAGGAAGGGACGGGTGTTAAAGGTCAGTGAGGTGTGTTTTTTGGGGCAGGTACACTTGGTTACCTGTGTTTGTAACCCTGTGGTGGTGTGCTTGTGTAGTGCTGTCTGTGTCAGGTTACAGCCTACTCTCCCCCTGTTGTCCTTGCCTGCGGTCTGTGTACCTGCGACCTTTCCACCATTCGTCAAAAGGTGTCTGCTGCTTCGTGTTTCATTACCCAATGAAGGGTGGATGGGTGGGGAATGACATGCAATGCAATGAGCTTGTTGTGCAATGCAAAACGTCGTGCACTTGCCAACATTTGCCAACAATCTGGCCTGGTGCCATCTGACATGTCATCCTGGGGATTGTCAAGGCCTTGGAACTGTTTTCGCAGATGGCAGAGGTGCGTGTCAATGAATCGTATTGCAAGATATTGCAAGGTTGAAGTTGGTTATGCAGCACGGAACTCACACTTCTTATGGTTTCTTTGTTCTTTCTTTTGCAGAAATTGTACAATGGAAAATTCCAAGTGGCAAGATGTGGCAAAAGTCTTGGAAGAGATCGAACGATTTGAAAGCACGGGAGGTCGCCGAGGTCGCTGAGAGTCCAGGTCGCTGGACTTTCGAGCGAGCAACCAACATCGCAGCTGCGGCCTGCGGACGCAGCAATGCTTGGACGAAGGCCTGACGCTCATCGGTCGAATCTCAGACCGCTGAACATGCTCAACATAGACAGATTAGTCAGGAAGAGTTCGCTTTGATCAACGGAGGTGTTCGGGGCACAAGAACGCATAAAACTATGTATATATATATATTTGTATATATATATAACTTATTGAAGCACAGGGTATTGCGAAAAATGCGAAGCGGTCACACTCTTTTGCAATGAAAGATGTGCAAAAAACAGGAAGGGCGTGAGAGCAGCAACTTGTAGAGAGCGTGAGAGAAGCAACCTGTAGGGATAAAAGTGTTGCGGATGGTTGTGAGTCTTTATTTATTTCAGATGCAAAGCAAGGTCCAGCATGTTAGTCGGATTGTATGATTTTGATTGTTCCCGTTTGAGGCATGCGCTCTGTTGGATATGCGACCTGTGGGTGGGGAGGCCGGGCAAATAGGCAACACTGCCTTTCGATTGCAGTCCATAAGAGTGTCGCATCTCTTCCAAGTGCGGTCCAAGATTAAAATGTATCAAGCAAATATGCCAGGGCCGAATCATAGAGAGATCATGAGAGATCCATTGGCTTTTGGGCGTGTTGGTTTGCATCCGTTTAGAGCTATGGGTCTATCCCCGCCAGTCTGACATTATTTCGCATTATGAAGCAGGTTTGAGCTGCGTTGGTTTGCGGGTTGCAGTTTGTTTCAGCGAGCTACCAAGTAGAAAGGCTGCGACTTCCAGAAGCATCGGCCATGCCATTGTTGCAGCTGCCTGCGAACGTGGAGCTGCGATTCGTAGGCAGGAAAGTCTGCCATGTAGAGAGTCTTGGTCTCTGTACATTTTACAGCTGGATGCCGATACCGATACGAAAAACAATCAGAATCAGTGTTTGGATCATTTTGGCTTCAATGCTTGCACTGTTTGGATACCAAAAACATGATTGCACTGGGAAGTCTGCCGTGGCAAATGCGAGCAGCTGCACTGCAGTGGACATCAGCAGTGGAACACCTAGAACTCCTCTGGCCTTGTTGCACATTCCACAGCATTTCTTGTTTTTTCTTGAATTTCTCTTGATTTGTTGTTAGCTGGATTTCCGAGAAATCAGAGTCCAGTTGCCTTACCATGTTTCAGCATGTCGGTGCCCCGTCCTTCTGCCTTCAGTTGTCAAATGGATCGCACGTGAAGCTGTTTGCAGACACGGCTCCGGTCGTGGCCTTCTTGCGTGGTGCTGAGAAGTTCACTTCAGGAAATTGTGCGGTTTTGAACCCAACTGGACCCGAGGCAAAGCAGTGGAGCCTTGAGTGGCCCTTGCAGGACAGTCAGAAATCAGTCGGACACAGTTTTTCAAAGACTCAGTTCTAGTTGGCAGCCTGTCACGGAGGCTTCTCATACCTTCTCAGATCTCTTTTCAGATCAGGAAAAAGTTCTCTTACTTGTGGGCCGTTGTGTATTTTGCAGATCAGGAGGTTTGCGCGTTCTTTGTCAACTGTCCTCCATTGTCTTCGAGCTCCGAAAGGTCGCAACTTAGGTGCGGGGGCATAGCAAATCTGCCGGTGTCGCAGAGGTGTCCTGGTCTTCTAGGAAGCAATGCTAAGTACATTGCTAACTAGGCTGCTATGTGATCTATGTGATCTATGTGTGTCAACGTGTCAGCGGAGCCAGCGGAGCCTTTGCTTGAGGTCTTGCTGGCCTTGCAGACCTCGGGTTAGTCTCTGCCCGAATTGTGCCGACCTTGGCTCATTTGGCTCACTTACTAGGCAAACATAGCCTAACATAGGCAAACATGAAATGCAAACAATGCAAACATGCGGACTTTTGTGGTGACTGGGATTTTTTTTATGAAACTTTGCAGTGTTGATCAATGTTGTTAGCCTTCTTGTCGCTGCCTTGGTTTGCATTTGTCCTTGAGAAAGCTTCTAATGCTAGGCCGACACATGTTTTGCCTTAGCTTAACAAGCTTCATGCAGCGAGCAATGAGTCTTGTGGCTTGCAGTCCCAAGTGCCAACGCAGCTGGAGTTGCTCAGCAGCTCATTCTGTTAAAAACAACCAGCCCATCATGCAAGAGTTCCTGGAACGGCTACAAGCAGTACTGTTTCTAGTGCAGACATTTCTTTCTCTTCGCCATGTTCATCCAATGATCCAATTGTCACATCCCAAAAAATCCAAAAAGCACAGACCATCCAGAGGTCTCCCCTCGGTATTGCAATAACAATCATGAATATTCATGAATAATGTCGAATCATGTCGTAAATGTAAGTAGAAAGCAATCAATATATGCATGCGTTTGACAAAATATGATTACAGTATATTACAGTACACATAAGATCACAGAAAACAAAGTAACCGAAGTAATTGAGGGCAAATTACGACTGCAAATGAACACGTCCTTGGGTTTTTGGACCTCCACAAGGGGTTCACTTTGAGCTTTGGGCGGACAAGCGCTGTGAACTTTCTCTATGTGACAACATTGTCAAGCTAGACATCACACCGAGCTAGACGGCAGGATGTGGTGCAGTGCACTTTCTTCGACTTATTCAAACTTATTCACGACTGAAGCATCTTGAAGCATCTTGAAGCATCTTGAAGCAATGGCTGGCCTGGCTAAGAATGCGGCAGGGCAGGCGCTTTGTGACGACCGGCTGTGTCCCCAAAACCGGCCTGCCATTTGCTCCCTTAGGAATTTTGTTGCCCTTTTGGTGCCTTTTCTGGCACCGCAATTCCTGCGGCTCCAGGTGGAGGGCTACGAGATTTTTATCAAGTTCTTGCCTCCTTCGGCCACAGGAGACACTTTGAAGGCCTTCTTCTCCGAGGCCAGGGACAGCCGCTCTCCAGATCTCTCCAGATCTCTCCAGACTGGGTGTTTGGTCTGTCATGGCTGCCATGGCTGTCAAGGCTGTCATGGCTGTCATGGCCATTTCAGATTTTTTCAGATCCTTCAATGCTTTTCTGCAGGCTGGTCCTATCGTGCCTTGGCTGCGGAGAGGTTGCTTGATTATGGATGATTATGGCATGTTTATCTCGGGGAAGAATGTCTTCTCTTCTTCTCTTCGTGCTTGTGCCAGGTTTAGGTTCTTGAGGAGAATGGTCTTTGTTGCCGAGGTTGGAGAACCCCGCATCATGCTTGATAGCCGGACGGGAAGTTGCAAGGCACAGGGGGTTCTAGGGTCGGGTGTCTCCAGGCTGTGAAGCTATGTGAAGCTGACATTGAGAATGTTCACATTTCCTAAGTTCGGTCCTAGACCTTGCCCTGGCCTTGGCCTTGCTTTTACCACTAGCTGTCACTAGCTGTTGACCTCGTCGACCTCCCGGCATCACTCATCTGGGGCCATCACTGAAAAGAGTCAAACCTCGAGGGAGCGGTTCGGGAAGTTCGGGACAGGGCATTGCCTGGATTACATTCCAAGACAAAGTGGCCTTCGAGAAAGCTGTCAGTTCGAGCCTCATGGCAGCCTTGCCAACCTTGCCTCTCAGAGCCTTACATGACCACGCATGGTGACACATGACATGCGCTGGAAGGTTGGAGCGGGTGTGACTTCAATGGTCGCTGCCTGGAGATAAAAGCTGGGAAGCAGCTTCTTGACAGCATATGTTCTTCAAAAAATCGATTCCAAACAACCTTTGCAATGAGCCTGCGGAAGCAGCAGCTCTAGCTATCTCTCAGTCAATTGATGTCAAGCTTTTGTTGAACCCTTAGGTTCCACACTGGCATCCGGCCTTCTGTGCAAGCCCCCGGCACGCACACACCTGCCCTTTGTGAAGAGGTTGCTCGGGCCCCGTGGCTTTTTGAGCGAGGAAAGCTATCAGCAAGACCAGCACTGGTTGGATTCGATAGAACGATCCAAATGATCTCGATCTCATCTCGATCTCATTGCATTCTTTTCCTTTTGTGTATGCTTTTAAAATCTTTCAATGATCCCAGGTCAAGAAGCTTGTGGCGCCCAATCCAGGCATAGTAACTTAGTACAGAATGGGAGTGACGTGGTGTGAAATTCTCTGACAGGCTCTGATGCATGAACCAAGCATCCTGCCACAGGTGGTATCTATGTGGATGGCACATTTGGCAGAGGCGGTCACACCAGAGCTATGCTAGCGGCAATGTCACCATCCGGGTCGCTCCACGCCTTCGACATGGATCCGGTGCTCTCAGCAGATGTTTACAGTCAGTTTATCAACATGGAACGCTTGTGTCATTTTACGCTGGATCTGGAAGTGGCTTCACAACGACTGAGCCTTTCGCTTGCAGTGTCTTGATATTCGGTGAAAGAGCCTCTAATGTCTTGTCAAGCCAGGAAGCCATCGCAGTGGGCAAAGAACTCATGCAGGCGCCATGTTTACATGATATCTTTGTACATGTTTGATCCTGTTTGCACATCTTGGCATGTTGGTGTGTCACATTGGGGATCTTCAGGCTGACTCCCGCTTCACCATCCACCATGCTCCTTTCAGCTCCATGAAGGCTGGAACAATAACGAGCGAACGACCTGCAGTTGCCGTGCACTGCACCTTCAAGAGTATGAAAGCACAGGATAGAACAGGCAAAGACATGGAAAATTCATGAAAAGTCCAACTCTACCGGACTCTACCTTGCTAGCTGGTGTAGAGCAAGTCCAAGTACCTTGGGCAGTGCGTTGCACTTCGACTTGAAGATTTGATAAGATTTGTGATTTTTGTCAGGCTGTACTGAAGGAGTTGGGTTTGCGGCCCTCTGGTGCAGGATGCCTAGTCCAGAAGTCGCTTGTGATTGCGCAGCCATCCTCATAGTTGTGTTTTTTCCGCTTGGGCATTGAGTCGTGAAGTGTGAAATTTTGGCGCCTGAGGTCCTTTTCGATCTTGGTATCTCCTCACCTCAATTTGACGATGCGGGACGTGGCTTTCGCCCTGAGGCGCTCTCTTTTCAATCCTTTTCACACATCCTCCCTACATTCAATTACATTCACACATTTTGGCTAGTTTTCGGTTGATTTGAAGCACCTGACTCTCATCGGCTACGAAGCCTAGAACTAGACACTGCGAAGATCGAACTAAAGGTCCCTTTGAATTTGAATCCTTTTGATATTTCAAGGTTTGAAGGGGCGATTCTTCAACTTATAAGTCTTTGACAGTGGAGCAAAGTGGGACTGCTCAGGGCCACATAAATGGGAGCTGAACTCGCGTAATTAAGTATGTCCTTGGCTGTTGAAGAGATGGATGTTGTGTTTTCATCCTCGTACAATGGTCATTATCGAATTGACCTTGTTTACTTGAGAACCAAAGCATCGTCAGATGCTGGTTCCAAGGAAACAATGTAATGCCACGATGTGCCATGTGATGCCAGTGTTGCAGAAGATCTCTAGGCCGATGGCCCGCTCGACTTGCGCTTCGACCAGACTCAAGGCATCACTGCGTGGGATTTCTTGATGTCCGCGCCACGAGAGGAGCGCTGGGTGAATACGGTAGACACCTGAAGTCCATTCAATTCCGACATCGTGTAGGTGAGTACTACTGAGTAGCCGGCAGCTGCTAAATCACTGCAGCACTGCACTGTTCATTTGAAACTTGTGTGCCAAAAAGGTATCGGCTTAGGGTGTCTCTAGCGACACACACAGGGACACCCGAACGCTCTGTTACCCAAGCGGGGGGGGTGCCGAGAGTTTGTGTGTCTTGTCATCTCTAGAGTCATCTCAAGTCATCTGATATACGTTGCCGTTTAGCGACGTCGAAGAGCGAAGGATCTTGAAGGATTTGAAGGGCAGAACAAAATTGACAGGTCCTGCATGGTCCTGCAGGTCTTGATCATCGATCTTGAGCAGAGATCTAGATGATATGCAGATCTAAAAATCAGGAGTTCTATCGCTGTAAGATGCTGTAAGCGTGACCTTGCATAAGCTGCGACGAGATACGTATTCTGAGGCCCTGGGTACTGTTTGCATTCACATCAATATCAATCAACCTCTTGGTTTCTATTTGCACTTGCGGCTTGCAATCAAAAGGCTTTGCATTATGCTAAAGACCTGTATACAACATACAATCAACTTGTCGATGAAACATCTCAAGTTTACAAATTTTGCGTGTGTGTGTATATATATATATATGGATGGATGGATGGATGGATGGATGGATGGATGGACGTGTATATATATATACATATTTATATATATTGTATAACTATACAAAATATTTATATGAGGATTGTCAGGACATTTTTGGGTTTTGCATGGGAAACATGGATATATAAACATGATTAAACAAGTGACTCGAGTGACTGCTTGGAATCTGATCAAATGTACAGGAGATTATCCGAGTGATATCTCAGTGACTTGGCAAGAAGCAAAGCCTTGGCAAAGCAGTGCTGGAGTATCCCTTTGCCTCATTCTGATGTGGAAGTTTGTCGTAATCCAACAGTTCACATACTTCAATGTCTTTAAATTCGAGCTGGTGCTTTGCACACGTTGTGAAATCCACATGACATGTGCAGATTTCAATCTGCGATGACCAACGTGCAATGCGAGGTATGGTGAAACCACTGATCTTTTGGCTGCACAACGCATCGCTGATGTCCTTTGCTTGGCTCGGTCTCGCGGAGCTCTGCCGTGACTTGATATGAGAACTGGGGTCCATAGTAGTGATAGGCTTTGGGCTGGGATTAGAGCACTAACAGGAATCAAAGCTGGCTGCTGGGCCCCCTTTCATTGATCAATGTCATGTCTTATTTGTGTTTATCACGAAAGCTAGCTTCCGCTGGCTGAAGCCCCCCTTGCTTTAGGAAGGTATTGGCAGGGGCTGAAATCGCCAATCACGCGAAACTGCACAGTTTTGTCGCCAGCACCACTACCGCCACCACCACCGCCGCCGCCACCACCACCACCACCATCATTACCGTAGCAGCTTCGGCAGCATGTCTTCATTGTGGTCATTTTTCATGGATGCATTTTTTGTTGATACCGGCAATCTCATCATCTTCATCCTCCTGCTCCTCCCCCCCTCCTTTTCCTACTTGTTGCACCCACCCTGCTAGCCTTCGTTCCTCACCCCTTGCACTCAAGTTTGGGAACCTTGATTGAAAGACCCGGAGACCATGCATTACCAACTACAGGTGGGAAATGGAAACAGGCTTCCAGAAGATTGTGTGACCACGCAACACTCTTGTCATGCCTTCCTGCTTCGTCCACCGCGTCGCAGCTTGTCATTTTCGTGGTTCCACGAGGCAAAGGACCCGAGAGTTTGCAACACTTGTGGCTCAGGCCAAGGCTGGGACTGATACCGCACTCTGCGGCTGTAGCATAGTATGTGATGCATTCTGCGGCTGTAGCATAGTATGTGATGCATTCTGTACTGTGGTGCTCTGTGGTGCTCTGTGGTGCTCTGTGGTGCTCTGTGGTGCTCTGTTGTCGTGCTTTGTGCCATGTTTCCATGCTTCAGCTCAGGGCCCGGAATACCAAGCGATGCATCCCGCCAAGCTCACCTTCCAGGCAACTCCAAATCCAAATCCCATCACCCTACCAAATCAGATCAAGTAGATTCAAGAAGTATCAAATCAGCATGTTTGATTGGAACCGTCTGAATCAGATCCATGTACCTGCGCTGCATCATCTTAGAGATAGGGTTTGCTCTTGGGCAGGCCTTGCGCATTCACTTGAACAATGAGTTCCAAACTTAGAATCTAGATATTCGAACAGCATTGCTAGACACAGGAATAGCTCCTTCCACCATGTTCGATTATGCTCGATCTTATTATATATATTCGATCATATTTGATCATTACATATTGGTACGAGTGGGACATGAGTGAGAGATGTGTGTATTTATATTTCATATAATTATATAATATATCGCATCATGCCATCCTGTTCTATGAGGTTCGATGAGATGCGAAAGGGAATTCGTGCTGCGTCTCTTGGAAGCATTACGCATTTACGCCTATTATTTGACACAAGATCAAAAATACACTGAATACACTTGATAGGACTTCGCTGTGAGAAGGTTCTGCATGGTTTTGGTTTCAGTGCTACAGCAAAGGCTGCTAAAGAATGCTAAAGACTTAAAGACCATTCTGATTTCAACAGCGTTCTGAGGTTCAACCTCCTCACCGAAGGAGGTCGAATTGGGTTGATCTCTTGGAAGCACTCTGAGTGTGCTATCGTGCAAGTCTCAGACGGATGGGTTAAATTGCGTCAATGCGTTTCGTCTGGGTTTGTGCGATCAGAGGGCGTCTGAAACTGCATTCAAGATCATTCAAGGATTTCGTCAAAGGATACGAAATGAAGTCAATTTGGCAGCACGGGCATACCATGTCTCCATGTCTTTGTCAACGAATGGTGTGTCCTGAGATCATGGACACGTTTCGATCCCTCGAAGCTGTGCGCGACAAGGAGACCGCCGAAAATGCAACCCTTTCGTTTCAGTAACTCTTTCATAATCGCAACGGAGTAGACCACATGGTGGAACGTCTGCTAGCCAATTCCCTTGAACATTTAGAACGTTTCCCATTGGAGACCAGGCGGAATCGGTCACCCACTAGCAGAGTCAGACCACAGTGAGTCAATCACTCCCCACATCAGAGTCAGTCACCCTCCACAGCCCCACTGCCGGCGAGGGGTGACTGCCCTGCGGCGTGCCTCGCGGGGGTTTCCCCATGGTTTGTTTTAGGGTATTCCGTATTTAGGTTTGACTTAGCTGGTGTAGGGTTTTATTTAGACTTGATTTAGGTTTTATTTAGGGTTGGTTTAGGGCTAATGTAGGGTTTCATCAAGGTTTGGTTTAGGGTCTATTTAGGGTTTACTTAGCGTTGGTTTGGGGATTATTTAGGCCTGGTTTCGAGTTTTTGAGGGTTTGTTTACGGTTAAGTTAGGGTTTCATCAGGGTTTGCGCGAGGGTTGGATTTGGGTTTATTCAGGCTTGGTTTAGGGCAGAGTCTGGCTTGGTTAAAATTTTATTTGAGGTTAGTTTCGGATTATTTAATGGTTAATGTAGAGTTTCATCCAAGTTTGTTTCATATTCTCTTTTGGGTTTACTTGGTGTTTGTTTTGGGCTTATTTAGGTTTGGTTTAGGGTTTATTTAGGGTTGGTTTAGGGTTAATGTAGGGTTTTGTCAGGGTTTGCTTGATGGTTAGTTTAGGGTTTCTGTAGGGTTTGTTTTAGGGTTTATGTCGTCTTGGTTTGGGGTGGATGCTTGGTTTAGGGTTTCTTTTGGTTTGGTTTAGGGTTGAATTATTATTTTGTCAGGGTTTGTTTTGGGGTTGGTTTAAATTTAGGGTTTGTTTCAGCGCTGGTTTGGGGTTTACTTAGGGTTGGTTTAGGGTTTATTCAAGGTCGGTTTAGGGTTTATTTAGGGTTATATAGTTTAGGTTTCGTTTAGGGAATATTTAGGGGTTGGTTTAGGGTATATTTCGGGTTGGTTTAGGGTTTCTTTGGGGTTGGTTTCGGTTAATAAGGGTTTCGTCAGGATAAACCATGTTTAGGGTTTATTTAGGGTGGTTTGGGGTTCATTCAGGGTTTTGTTAGGGTTTGCGTGAGGGTTGGTTTAGGCTTTACTCAGTCTTGGTTTGGGGTTTCTTTGGGGTTGCGTTAAGGTTTCTTGAGGGACTCTTTGTTGTTGACGTTCCGTTTTTTCGATGTTCCCATGGGTTCCTAGATAGATGGATGGATGGATGGATGGATGGATGGATAGAGAGATATAGATATAGATATAGATAGAAATAGATAGATAGATAGATAGATAGTTAGAGTTAGAGATAGAGATAGAGATATAGATAGAGATAGAGATATAGATATAGATAGAAATAGATAGATAGATAGTTAGAGATAGAGATAGAGATAGAGATAGAAATATAGATAGATTAGTAGATTAGATAGATTAGATAGATTAGATAGATTAGATAGATAGATAGATGGATGGATGGATGGATGGATGGATGGATCGATAGATAGATAGATAGATAGATAGCTTTCAGGGGTGACTGACTCTTTGTTGTTGACTTTCTGTTTGCCCCGGGGTTCCTGGATTCTCCTTCCAGGGGTGACCGACTCTTTGTTGTTGACTTTCTGTTTTCCCCGGGGTTCCTGGATCCTCCTCCCGGCTTCCGAGGGGTGACTGACTCTTTGTTGCTGACTTTCTGTCTCCCGTTCATGGTCTCCCTGCATCCTGTGCTAGTGTTCACCGGTGACTGACTTTGTCCTATGGGGTTCCTGGCTCGGACGTTTGGGGCGACTGACTCGGGTGACTGACTCTGTCTTTGTCTTTTCCCATTGTACATATTGTACATTCAGTATGCTCAAACGTTTTTCCCTGCCTCCGAGGAGCCACTTCTGAAGTGGTACAGTTGCGCAGTTGCAAATTGGAAAATTGGACCACAAAGAACACTTCGGTTTGTTCAGTATGCACCTTTTTTTCAAGACATTAGGTTTGGCCACAGGTGCGCAGCCTGATGCAGTGCCTCTTCCAGAGCGGTGGTCTATGGAGATGGACGAGGTAGTTAGTACCTTAGTTGTTTCCGCAAGAGAAACGGATTTCTTACCAAGACAACCCCGAGAGGCTGGTAGATGCACACAAGAGCAAAAAAGCACAGCCGTCAGATGCAAGTTATGTCAGCTATGTTGCACTGTGTTCCCACTGCTCCCACACTGAGACACGACCATCCGAGAAGGAACTTCAGACAAATTCTCGATCTCGTCGCCTGGCCGTCGGATTGTCATGGATTGTTTGCTTTCCTTCCTTAGCCCTCAAAACCCTTAAGCTGGTGCAAGAAAACGTTCATATTTTGATCAGCCTCAGGTTCTGCTTTGCTTCATATCTTGCGCAAGCGACTGCGCTGCAGCAATGTGTTGATGTTTTTTTTGGTTTGGAAACCTGTCGCTGCCTCTTGCATGGCAAGACGGTGTTTTTTTTCACCGTGGATACCTGGTGGCAAAGGCGGCGCATGCCGCGCTTGGCGGACCTGGAGCAGATGGCATATGAGCTGTTTCTTTGCTGCACAAGAATGCTAGAATATGCTAGAATATGCAAGAATATGTGAGAATATGTGAGAATATGTGAGAATATGTGAGAATATGTGAGAATAGCAGAAAACATAAAACTTAAACAATATGTCCTGTGTGATTGCAACTGAGCGAACAACATGTGGTTGGCCAGCTTTGGGCCTTAGAATGTCTTCAGGCCAACTTGGTGCAGTGTCACTGAGCCTTCCAGCAGCTCTACCCCAGCAAAGAAGCGAAGGAAAAAAGAGAAAGCAGAGATGGCAGACGAGGAGACACCCGAGATGCAGATAGAAATCCCGGAAGCAGAAGGCTCGCAACATGGCACGTGAGATGTCGACCCATTCCACAGACATTGAATGCATTTCCTGCTAATTGATTGACTGGCAAGTGACAAGGGCTAGCTTCGCGAATGGATCAGTTAACCAAGAGTGCCACATTATCACAGGTGTAACAATGAAATCATGAAAGCACTCAGCATACGTGCTGCGGTGTCTTGGCTGACACAAAAGGCAGTGTGGAAACAACATTGCGGTGGCCATGCGGCAAATGCGGCAAAAAGGGACACCGGTCCCAACCTCAGAGCACTGAAACTCACAGAGATTCAAAATGTGTTCATACTGTATGTGTCGTACGCACCTTGCGTCTACCACATTGCGTCTTCCCAAAGTCCCCTGAAGAACATGTGCTCAACATCATATTTCAGCCTATGATTGCAGCATAGTTCAGCTGATTTTGGGCAGCGATTGAAGTTCTTTCCCTTGTGATTGTTGGGCCTTTAGGTTGAGCGAGTGCCCAAAGTCCCGCATGGAGGGTTGTAATCATTGTGGCCAGGTGGGCTTCGAGATACGCAGAGATGAGATGTTTCTTCGGAATGTTGATGTCAACTTCTTGATTTTCGAAGAGCATCTTTGTGACGGCTAGGCTCTGGGAAACAAATATCTATTCCATTTGATACTATCTCTTCTACAATAACTTCTTGCAAGACACGAAAGAGCTTCAATACTCTTGAATTCCAAACAAGCCGAATTCTGCAAAGGGCTGCGTCGGCAAACCTAGCTCTTGAATTCGTTCCAGAGTGAGGGAAGGAGATCCTCTGACCTTCGATGCCAGGTAGGCCACGCCACCAAACAGTGCATCTTCGGTGCCAAGTCTTCCGAGCGTTTCCTCTACTGTGAGAGCGTGAGGCTCCAGAAAGACTTGACATGCCACAGAGGTGGCCACACACACACGCAACGACATAACCGATGCCATCGGATGCCAGTTGGGATAACGAGTGGGACCGGTGACGGATACCAGCACGTTTTCCACCGTAGTGGTCACGTGCACTCTGCACTTGGGCAGATTTTGCCATGGACAGGCCGCACTTGCCATGCTTTTGGCGACGCTTTGTGATTCCACTCCAGCGAGCTGATGCCACACAGTTGCTCCCCCATCGCTACAACAAGAGTGGTTTTGCATGGTCTTGTAGTTCTCTTCGTTTGAAAATTTGATTCTCCAGACTGCCCTTGCCATTGGTTAGACATGTAACTGCGTATAAAGATGCCTACAGTAGGCTCTTGTCCTTGTTCGAATTTGTTTCTGATCTGCAAGCAGCTCAGGTTTACAGCTGAAGACCCCCGGAAGTGCGGGCGCGCCGATGTTGGCCTTCGCTGCCTCTCTGCTGCTCTTTTCAGGAGCCAAGGTGTGAGGCACAACACCCAGGCGCATGAAGCTGCTGTCAAAAGATGTCAAAAACAGTGTCAAGACAAAACCGCAACTGGAAACTGGAAGCGAAGAAAATCAGCCCAGACAGAACTACAAGACGAGAATCTTCCACACTGGCTTCTTCAATTGTCTTCAACAACTGCCTTCCAACTGGCTACTTCAATAATTGAACAGCACTAGAGACGAAAACCAACAAAGTTCTCTCGCAACCAATCAATCCATCAAAAATTGCATGGACTTCAAAGAAACGTTCCCTTGTAAATGAGTATGGCCTGATTGGCACTGTGACATGCTTTAAAATGCTTTACTCATTACATCTTATTGCATATTATATATATTATCGCATATCACCAGACGAGAGCTTCAAACAGTTTCAACTTCGGAAGGAAAAGAGTCTGATTTTTTTTACAGTTGAGACAGTTGAGACAACAGTTGTCTATGAGATCTATGAGATCTATGAGAGGTCTGTCTATCTTTTGAGTCAAGTGGACACACCCTGGAAGTCTCTGGAGCACTGGTCAGAGGCGCCTTGACATCGTGGCAATCGTCAATTGTTGCTTCATAGATGGAAAATGATGGAAACAATTGGAAACATAGGTAACTGGGAAAACATGGTACACTGTGGTACACTGTGGTACACTGTGGTATACTGTTGTATACAGTGGTATACTGTGGTTGTTGCCTTTTTTGTTGTTTTTTTTACAGCTTAAGCTTCCATAGGCCTAGTGCCTGACGAGCCGCGCATCGCGGAACGAGTGCGCTTGGCCTTGGACGGAGAAGATTTGCCTGACCCTCTCCAAGAACCTGAGGCCAGGCTGATGACTGATGGATGTTTGATACGTATTGATACGTCTGATACGGAAAAAAAAACGTGAAATTACGGCACAGATTAGACGTGGGTCAATCCAAAACATTTGAACTCTGTGACAAATTAAATAAAATATTATAAAATTATATATATGTAAAATATATATATATGTAATATATATATATGTAAATCTATTTTGCATGCCAGGCCTGGTGTACAAGTCCGCTGCGGGGTATGGAAGCCCGTTCGCGCTCCACAAGGGCAGCGCTGAAGGTGGCGTTCGTGTTTCATCCAAGTGTTGAGAGATGTCAAGACATAGCCATCATCCTGCAACACTGTTATAAACAAGTTATACCTGGTACTGTAGCAGGTAGGTAGTGTGCTTTTTGGCCACAGGATTGCGTTTCCCATAGACACACACACACACACTGGACTGAGTCTGCTCTGTTTGGGATTTTATGAAGCTTGACTAAATGTGAAACTAGGAAGTCGCTGAGGCTCAAAGAAAGCCCTCGTGCTTAGGGGAGCATTGTAAGAGGAGCACTACTACAAGATCTTCAGCGGGCTGTTGTTCCCAAAAAATGTATCTGGCAATCTAATGCAATCTATATAGTACGAATGGCTAAGAAAGGTTTATTTCCAGATTCTCATCAACAGAGCCTAGACTACTAGAGCAGACAGTCCAAATGTGGAATGTGTAACTGTTCCTTCGAGAAAACTCCAGCATGCTTCAAGCCACATGCGACTTGCCAACAAAGTCAGCTGAAGCTGTGCAGAGTCCAAGGTCAGGTGCAACGAGTGTAGAAAGTGAGCAAGACAGTATGAGCAACACGATCCGGTCAAACACAAGGTGGCAGCTGGGGCAGCTGGTTCGTGTGAGCTTGGCCTTTTTCTGCAATTTTGTAAGCGGGCCAGCAACAGTCATGAGCAACAAGATGGTTTTTGTCTCCACCGGGTTTCGCTTCCCCATCCTGTTGACGGTAGCGCACTATGGATCCACCTGGATAATGATCAAGGCAATGTCCAAACTTGGAATCTACAGTCCAGCACAAGCGCAACTCTGGTCATCAAAAGATGCTGGGGCTGGACGTGCAGTCTGTCTTTTGATTATTTCGTGGAGCTTCTACAACATCATGTCGAATCTTTCCTTGTCTCAAAATTCTGTCGGCATCTATCAGATGATAAAGCTTCTTATGGCTCCAGGCGCAGTTGCTTGGGATGCAGCCCTTTACGGAAAAATGCCAACTTGTTTTCAGGCGATACTCTTAAGTATCGCAGCTTTCGGCATCTTGTTGTGCACTGTATCTAGCTTGGACAGTGGTGAGCTTACACTTCCTGGCCTGTTCGTGGCTTTCGCAGCTGTTTTCCTAGCAGTCTTTCAAAAGGGCTTAACATCTCATGTGATTCAATATACTGAAGTGACCCTTTCTCCACTTCAGTTGCTGGACAGCTGTATGCCGTGGATGGGTGCCATCACTGTAATTAGTGCTGTGGCTTTGGAAGACGTCACTGCCGCAAGCCAGCAAATCGAAGGAAGACACTGCATGGCGATTGCTTTGTCATCAGTATGTGGCACCTTAGCCAATGTCTCATCAACATGGGTGCTTGGGCTCACCTCGCCACTAGCTCATATTCTGCTTGGCCAGCTCAAGACAATTTGCATTCTTCTTGGTGGATTTATATTCTTTGACAAAGAACCAACTGTCCGGACAGTTTTTGGTGCTCTCATAGCATTGACTGCGATCACAACGTATGCCTGGCTTAAGATACCAAAGGAGGAAAACATCTCTCGTGAACGCAAAACCAACGAAGACGCTTGGGATGAAGAAGCAGCGATGCTTGGGAAAAAGTCTGAGCCTGAAGACGATGCATCAGCTGACTATTCAGACGTGGAGATCGAGCTAAATTGTGGAAAGGAACACTAGGTGATTTCATGACATTTCAGGCAAATCTTGTAGTTGCGGCAAGCTGCTGCATATGGAGCAAAACGCTCCTGCGGCTCATTCTGGTGCAGTGAATCTACTGCACCTTGTTCACCTGTCCAGTGCAAGGAAAGGTCATGTCCAAATTGTACTTTTGTCAAGTCAAGTGGGTCTTCAAGTCATGAAGCGCGATGACATCACAAGACAAGGCGTTTAGAAAACACAGTGTTACGATTCATCAGGCGGCACTGAAACCAGGGGAAGGATGTGATTCTGGAAGGGTCGCTTCTCGGATGCAAGCTCTGCACCGGTGGGACACCAGGGATGATGTTGCTGTTTGGTGGTTGATATCTGGTACACTATGGAGGAATTCGCGGGTATTGCATGTCTCATTTTGCATTGTGACTACATGGGACTACATGTGACTACCATACTTGGATATGCAGGGACTACATTGGAAGACATTGGAAGACCGTGGCGTCCCTACGGCTGAGGTCATGCTACTTCTAGATGCCGACGGCGAACCGATTGGAGAAGTGCTGAAGCAGATCCGCAGGTGGGATACACAGGGCATGTGGCCTGTCCATTCCCCGTGGCCCCATATCGCCCCATACCATCCATCTCATTTGATCCAATTTACAGCAAGACACAGCAAGTACGCACGAAAGTTCCTTTATACAGTACAGTACTGTATACTTCGTACAGTCGTACAGTACATATCAGTACATCATGACACAAATGAGCCAAATGTGTAACAAAATGACACAAAATGTTCGTAGCTACGTCGTATGGTCGCCAGGGCCGGTGCAGTTCAGGGCGTCGTGGTCTTGGTGGGCGACCACCGGGGCTTCAGCTCCCAGGACATCGCTGGCTACGAGAAGGTCCAGCATTCGACTGTGATTTACATATTATTTAATATTACTATATATTATTTACATTTATTTACATATTGACCATACATATCATACATAATTCATACATATTCAATCATATTCATACATATGGAATACATTGAATTGAAATACATATTGAAATACTGCGAAACATTGGTGAGTTGTGAATATCATTGAATCGCAGTGACAATACGTTGAATATTTGTGAAAACGGTTGTATTTCAGGGCATTTCAGGGGACGAAGGAAGACACCAGCAATGGAAAGCAAATGACTAAAGCATCACCTGCAATGAATGAATTGCTTCGAAACCTGGTTTCGCATTATTTTGTGCAAATTTGGACAGAAGGGTCCACCTTCGATCATGCAAGCTGCAATGGAGTATGTAGCTGTGTAAAAACAGTATGGTATGTGTATATAAACATATCATATGTATATTATACAATTACATCATGGTAAATCGCGAAAGACAGTATCAGATTTGAATCAAAAGGATCTGCCAAACTTCAAAAGTTGCCGAAGTTTTCAAGTCCACACACGCAATCACACGCACACATTCGCACAATCTCAGCCGTGCTTTGAACAGTTCCTGAGAGGTTGCCCTTTCAGCCGGTGCTGATGTGGTTCGTGCGTCCCTGGGAGGCACGACACTCTTAGGCAGGGTCTCAGCGGAAGACCTAGGTCAATGCAGTCAATGCTGGTCCTCCGCTGAATGCACTCTCACTAGATCAGCCAAAGCAATGTTGGAAGGTTCGCATGCAATTGTCATTCTGCAGCACTACTTGGACGAGCACATGCATCGTTGCGAGGCAGAAGAGAAATTGTTGTGCCTTTGAAAGATCGGTGCAAGGTTGTACACCGTGGATTTTGCTTGCTGAATGTGATTGAAGGTGGCCAAGCAAGTGGACTACAGCCGTGGGCGATAAAGAAAAAGTTTCGTTGCCGTGGTTGCCATGTCCATTCATAGAGCATATAGAGCCTGCTTTCTTTTGGAACTGTTCCTGAAGCGTCGCTGACCTCAAAGTGCCTGGCTGAAGCCCTCACTGCGACAGTAACGGAATCATCATCACTAGCATGATTCATGATCACTGGCATGATGACAGAAGTGTTGGCACAAGACGAAACTAGTTTTTCAATGTTTTTCCCACAAGATCTCTCCTTTAGCACAAAGTAGCGGAGTCCAACGGAATGGCTTTCATTTGCGGGGCCATGAAGTGAATTGCATGAAAGCCATGAGAGATGAGGATTCATGAGAAGGATGAGAAGGTACAACGTGCATGTACAGCACGAAACGGAGAAGCTTGGCATCCAATTCAACGGACTTCCCCCTGGCTTGCTGACTGTGAAAAGTGTTGCAGCTGGCTCGTTGGGAGATGTTCGAGGCATTGAGGCAGACGATGTCTTGATACAAGCAGGAAATGAGCAGTTGTCTTCCTTGGAGGAGTTGACAGAAGACAGTTTCAAGTCATTGTTGAAAGGACGGCCACTGCATTTGGTGTTTCAGAGCAAGAGAGAAAGGTTCATTGCATGTGCCGACACAACTATCACCAAGCTGGGCATTTCCTTCAATGGCATGCCACCAGGGCGCTTGGCAGTCAAGCATGTCTCTGAAGATTCCTTTGGAGCAGAGCATGGTGTTTCTGAAGGAGATGTCCTGCTTCGAGTAGGCAAAGATGAACTAGTGAGCCTGGATGATTTGAGTGCCGATGGCTTCAAAGGCTTTCTGAAGGATCGACCGCTGCGATTGGAGTTTCAATCTTCTGCAACATCAGATCAAACTGGGACTTCGCAGCTGGAACCAAAATTGGAACTGCCAGAACATGAACAGAAAGCATTGGCAAGTGAAGACGCGATCAAAAACGAGCCCCAAGGAAGGGTTTTTGAGATAGTTGCAGATGATTCTGTTGGCAAGTTGGGCATTTCCTTCAATGGCATGCCACCAGGGCGCTTGGCAGTCAAGCATGTCTCTGAAGATTCCTTTGGAGCAGAGCATGGTGTTTCTGAAGGAGATGTCCTGCTTCGAGTAGGCAAAGATGAACTAGTGAGCCTGGATGATTTGAGTGCCGATGGCTTCAAAGGCTTTCTGAAGGATCGACCGCTGCGATTGGAGTTTCAATCTTCTGCAACATCAGATCAAACTGGGACTTCGCAGCTGGAACCAAAATTGGAACTGCCAGAACATGAACAGAAAGCATTGGCAAGTGAAGACGCGATCAAAAACGAGCCCCAAGGAAGGGTTTTTGAGATAGTTGCAGATGATTCTGTTGGCAAGTTGGGCATTTCCTTCAATGGCATGCCACCAGGGCGCTTGGCAGTCAAGCATGTCTCTGAAGATTCCTTTGGAGCAGAGCATGGTGTTTCTGAAGGAGATGTCCTGCTTCGAGTAGGCAAAGATGAACTAGTGAGCCTGGATGATTTGAGTGCCGATGGCTTCAAAGGCTTTCTGAAGGATCGACCGCTGCGATTGGAGTTTCAATCTTCCAATGCTGGTGATATTTCAACGGAAGCAAAAGGCCAGTCAAAGGTTGTTCCAACAGAAGCTACAACACCTCCAGCAGAAGCCAGTTTGATGGCAGAGGCAGCTGGCAAAGACACTGCGACTACACCTGAAGATATGCAATCCTTTGCGGCAACAAAAGCAGGCGCTGAACATACTGACGCAACAGGCCAGTCAGAGGTTGTTCCAACAGAAGCTACAACACCTCTAGCAGAAGCCAGTTTGATGGCAGAGGCAGCTGGCAAAGACACTGCAACTACACCTGAAGATATGCAATCCTCTGCGGCAACAAAAGCAGGCGCTGAACATACTGATGCAACAGGCCAGTCAGAGGTTGTTCCAACAGAACCTACGTCTCCAGCAGAAGCCAGTTTGATGGCAGAGGCAGCTCGCAAAGACGCTGAGACTACACCTGAAGATATGCAATCCTCTGCAGCAACAAAAGCAGGCGCTGAACATACTGACGCAATAAGCCAGTCAGAGGTTGTTCCAACAGAAGCTACAACACCTCCAGCAGAAGCCAGTTTGATGGCAGAGGCAGCTGGCAAAGACACTGGGACTACACCTGAGGATGTGCAAGGTTCTGCAGCAACACAAGCAGGCGCTGAACATACTTACGCAGCAGGCCAGTCAGAGGTTGTTCCAACAGAAGCTACAACACCTCCAGCAGAAGCCAGTTTGATGGCAGAGGCAGCTGGCAAAGACACTGCGACTACACCTGAAGATATGCAATCCTTTGCGGCAACAAAAGCAGGCGCTCAACATACTGATGCAACAGGCCAGTCAGAGGTTGTTCCAACAGAACCAGAAGCCAGTTTGATGGCAGAGGCAGCTGGCAAAGACACTGGGACTAAAGCTGAGGATGTGCAATCCTCTGCAGCAACAAAAGCAGGCACTGAACATACTGACGCAACAGGCCAGTCAGAGGTTGTTCCAACAGAAGCTACAACACCTCCAGCAGAAGCCAGTTTGATGGCAGAGGCAGCTGGCAAAGACACTGCGACTACACCTGAAGATATGCAATCCTTTGCGGCAACAAAAGCAACTGATGCAACAGGCCAGTCAGAGGTTGTTCCAACAGAAGCTACAACACCTCCAGCAGAAGCCAGTTTGATGGCAGAGGCAGCTGGCAAAGACACTGGGACTACACCTGAGGATGTGCAATCCTTTGCAGCAACAAAAGCAGGCGCTGAACATACTGACGCAACAGGCCAATCAGAGGTTGTTCCAACAGAAGCTACAACACCTCCAGCAGAAGCCACTTTGATGGCAGAGGCAGCTGGCAAAGACACTGGGACTACACCTGAGGATGTGCAATCCTTTGTAGCAACAAACGCAGGCGCTGAACATACTGACGCAACAGGCCAGTCAGAGGTTGTTCCAACAGAACCTACGTCTCCAGCAGAAGCCACTTTGATGGCAGAGGCAGCTCGCAAAGACACTGAGACTACACCTGAAGATATGCAATCCTCTGCAGCAACAAAAGCAGGCATTGAACATACTGACGCAACAGGCCAATCAGAGGTTGTTCCAACAGAAGCTACAACACCTCCAGCAGAAGCCAGTTTGATGGCAGAGGCAGCTGGCAAAGACACTGCGACTACACCTGAAGATATGCAATCCTCTGCAGCGACAAAAGCAGGTGCTGAACATACTGATGCAGCAGGCCAGTCAGAGGTTGTTCCAACCGAAGCTACAACACCTCCAGCAGAAGCCAGTTTGATGGCAGAGGCAGCTGGCAAAGACACTGGGACTACACCTGAGGATGTGCAATCCTCTGCAGCGACAAAAGCAGGTGCTGAACATACTGATGCAGCAGGCCAGTCAGAGGTTGTTCCAACCGAAGCTACAACACGTCCAGCAGAAGCCAGTTTGATGGCAGAGGCAGCTGGCAAAGACACTGGGACTACACCTGAGGATGTGCAATCCTTTGTAGCAACAAACGCAGGCGCTGAACATACTGACGCAACAGGCCAGTCAGAGGTTGTTCCAACAGAACCTACACCTCCAGCAGAAGACAATTTTTTGGGATACCCATTAGGACAAGGTCTGGTGGAGGCTGGGTGAAAGGTTTTTGTTTATTGACGTCTTGCAAGTGCACTTGATTTTTTAGATGTCTAGTTTTATGCTGCCTGACTTGAACGTGTACAGTAAGTTCATTTTTTCTCGATGCGGAAGGACAAGCACATACGGACAGTAATCTCAGCAGACACACAGCTTTGCTTGGAGGATGCAGAGAGGACCATTAAAAAGCTTCGCAAACAACTTGAAGAGGCGCTTCTTTTTTAGACCTGGTAACACTGGACCACTTTGGCGCTCTGGGTTGGTTGGGGGCAGCCTTGAGGTAGGGTAATTATTTTTGGGTTGTAGGGATCCTTGAGGCAGCTTTCAAGGGGGAGTTTGGCAAGCATGGTGAAGCATGGTCTTGCATTGTTCACTCGGGAGCTTTGAGGCAAGGGTTTTTGTCAGTGTTCCAGACTGTTCTGCAATGGATTCTAGAGAGCTTCATGAGGCTTGGCAGATGCTCAGTAGTTTGAAAACGCTCAGATGGCAGGGGTTCTGGATGTAGTCCAGAAAGTTTGGATAACGTGTAGGTAGGTTTTGAAGGCGCTGAAAAAAACTACGAACATCAGGGCCACTTGTCTATGATGGCAATATTCAGTTTGCCAGCGCGAACGCTGCAACGATCCTGACCACACATGGCATGACAAAGTTGAGATTGGACCAATTTGCAACATTTTGCCACATCATCTCAATTTCACAAATTTCCTACACAGCTGGAGATACTATTGAGTTTACTTTCATTTACTTTCTATTTCTTTCCTGGTCACTGCTTCGCAGCATGATCTTGCATGTGCACACTGGCGGTTCGTGGCACAATATTTTAGGAGCCCGTTTCAGAAGGTGAACGGAGCATCGCTACGATATGTCGCAACTTGTAAGATTCAAAGCAGTACCGGGTCATATTGGTTGACAAGGGGTGTGTTGAAAACTGCTCCTGATACATTTGATACGTGGTTTTGGACTTGATGCTGCACGATTTCTCCAAATGGTCCACCGAACACGTGTGCCATCGCTAGATCCCACTCTACACATCTCTACACAGTATGTATTCTGCTGAGGTCCCCAGCTTCTCACATTGGGTATACGTTTGGCATACCCGTTACCTGCCGGAGTCATGGAGTTACATGGAGTTGTCTTTCTCCCTCGTTGCAAACGGCCATCTATGGCCATCTACAGTCATAGTATGTCATAGTCGAGACTTTTGAGTGAACCTTCCAGTGGTTCCAGGCGCAACAAGTTGCTGCAGAAGCATCTGCCGCTTTGAAGATGTCACAGGTGCACAGCAATAGCTTCACGTAAAGCTGTATGAATTTTCAAGTGATTTTTCATGATTTTAATGTGAATTTCTGACGCTTCAAAGGCTTTGCATTGACGCTTTGCATCACCAGGCCTCGTCAGCTACCTCTACAAACTCATCTCAGCTGCACGCCCAACTCGCAGAGGACAGGACGAGACCGGATGACCAGAGTTGCGATTTATACCTTGATTTCATTAAAAACTCACTGACCGCTCACAATTCTATTTCTATACAATATTTGTTCCTTGCTGTCTATTGTCAAAATCTTCATGACTTTTGCTTCGCTATGCGGCTTTTGGATTTTAACTCCCGCATTTTCACAGTACTTGCCTTTGAAGGCACTCAGCGATAGAGAGCGTTTGAATGATGAGCTGGGCACAGAGCAGAGGCTCAGGAAGCGGGCTGTTGATGAATTGGAGAAGAAGCTGCTTGGACGCAAGCAGAGCCTAATATGCATGCAACTTGCAATCTGCTTGGAGTTTTTGGATTATGAATTATGAACAGATTTTTCCATGCAATCCAAACTAGGAATGCAGTACCACTTCCAGCAGTGTACGGGCAGGACTCAATCTCAGTTTTGGGCTGCAGCAGCTTTGTTATTTCAAATGTTTTGCGATGCTTCACGCTATTTTCACGCTAGTTTCACGCTATTCACAGAGACCTGACTAGAGGTGAAGCAACTGCAACGTGAGCTGAACATGTCAGAACTGGCTTTGCGCGGCCTTCAGCGGCGAAACGTGGAGAAGGCTCTCGGCAATATGCGGGATGACAGTTCATGGTCCATTTTATGTCCATATGATGTCCATATGATGTCCATTCTGCCAATGCCCGTGCTTTTGGTCGGTGTCTTCGACATGTCTGGAGATAAATCATAAATCCATGGAATACCCGCAGGAGACACCAGCACCTTCGGCAGAGTCCAGGCTTCTGCGAACGGAATACAAGGCGCGTGGTTCCTGCGCAACACGTGCATGTTCTGAGCTACTTGAAGCTATTCACTGGCGGAGTCACACGACTCTCAGGCCGAGATAGCTGCAGCAAAGCGCTATCGCGCAGCAGCAAGACAGAGCTGCACTCAGACAGAGTTCTTGAAGCGAAATCAAACCAGATTCCGGAGTGCAAGATTTACCATTCGCTTTTTTTCCTCATCTTTCCTCATCTTTCCTCCATTACCCAGCTTTTTTGACTGACTCAATCAGTTCCATGACACTTGTATTCATCCACTTTCCTGGGTCAACTACAGTAGGGCTCCATGTTTGTTGGGTGAATATTTTCTGTTCAGGCCACCAGCACCACCTGAGCCCACCAGTTTGCAGAGGGCAGAGGCTGCTGCAGTGTCTTTGCAGCAAACGTTGCAAGCAGTGGGAAAATATTAAATATTATATATCATATCATGTGTGTACTGTATATCTGTATATGTATATATATATATACATAATATATGTATATCATTACTACACCATTAGAAAACATATTATTTACGCCAGAATGGACCCCAGATAGCAAAGGATATTATTGGGTAGCAGCCAACAACACTTCGTTTTTGACACAGCGTAAACCTACTCTCCATCAGGCCCCAACGCCCACACTGCTACAGACATCTCGCAGCGACCCCTGCAGCGGCACCAGCAGGCCAGTGCCAAAGCACACACCCTGAAGCAGCACCCTGCAACGGCACCCTGCAACAGCACCAACATGCCCACTCCAAAACGCAAACATGAAACTCATCCTATACTTGAACTAAGAACCCCAATAGCTTCGCTATCGAGGAATAATATAGAGGAGAGAGAGAGATATATATATATATAAATATAAGTAAAATCATTGCATATATATATATATATGTATATATATACATATATATATATTATTACGACAGCCAGCCGGGAAGCTGGCTAGTTGCTATTTGCGAACGAAGTGCGAATAGGGGGTCTGGGGGAGTAGGTCTCTCAAGGGACCGAAAATGTCATAAATAGGTGGAATTTTAGGCGCGCAAAAAGTATGGTTTTTCAATGTAATGTACCATGTGGCAAAACAGTGACGGTGGGCATCGATTCCCTATAGGTCCGGTTTTCTTGGGTGAAAAGAGGGTGCAAAGTCTGTGGGTGAAAAGTATGTGCAAGAAGAGTTTCTGGCTGAAGTATGTGCAAGAAGAGTCTCTGGGTGAAGAGTCTCTGGGTGAAAAGTATATGGGTGAAAAGTATGTGCAAGAAGAGTTTCTGGGTGAAGAGTCTCTGGGTGAAAAGTCTGTGCAAGAAGAGTTTCTAGGTGAAGAGTCCCTGGGTAAAAAGTATATGGGTGAAAAGTATGTGCAAGAAGAGTTTCTGGGTGAAGAGTCTCTTGGTGAAAAGTATATGGGTGAAAAGTATGTGCAAGAAGAGTTTCTGGGTGAAGTGTCTCTGGGTGAAACGTATATGGGTGAAAAGTATGTGCAAGAAGAGTTTCTGGGTGAAGAGTCGCTGGGTAAAAAGTCTGTGCAAGAAGAGTTTCTGGGTCAAGAGTCCCGGGGTGAAGAGTATATGGGTGAAAAGTATGTGCAAGAAGAGTTTCTGGGTGAAAAGTATATGGGTGAAAAGTATGTGCAAGAAGAGTTTCTGGGTGAAAAGTATGTGCAAGAAGAGTTTCTGGGTGAAGAGTCTCTGGGTGAAAAGTATATGGGTGAAAAGTATGTGCAAGAAGAGTTTCTGGCTGAAGAGTCTCTTGGTGAAAAGTATATGGGTGAAAAGTATGTGCAAGAAGAGTTTCTGGGTGAAGAGTCTCTGGGTGAAAAGTACATGGGTGAAAAGTATGTGCAAGAGTTTCTGGGTGAAGAGTCTCTTGGTGAAAAGTATATGGGTGAAAAGTATGTGCAAGAAGAGTTTGGGGGAAGAGTCTCTGGATGAAAAGTCTGTGCAAGAAGAGTTTCTGGGTGAAAAATCTCTGGGTGAAAAGTATATGGGTGAAAAGTATGTGCAAGAAGAGTTTCTGGGTGAAGAGTCTTTAGGTGAAAAGTCTGTGCAAGAAGGGTTTCTGGGAGAAGGGTCTCTGGGTGAAAAGTATATGGGTGAAAAGTATGTGCAAGAAGAGTCTCTGGGTGAAAAGTATATGGGTGCAAAGTATGTGCAAGAAGAGTTTCTGGGTGAAGAGTCTCTGTGTGAAAAGTATATGGGTGAAAAGTCTGTGCAAGAAGAGTTTCTGGGTGAAGAGTCTCTGGGTGAAGAGCTTCTGGGTGAAGATTCTCTGGGTGAAAAGTATATGGGTGAAAAGTATGTGCAAGAAGAGTTTCTGGGTGAAGAGTCTCTGGGTGAAAAGAATATGGGTGAAAGTATGTGCAAGAAGAGTTTCTGGGTGAAGAGTCTCTGGGTGAAAAGTCTGTGCAAGAAGAGTTTCTGGGTGAAGAGTCTCTGGGTGAAAAGTATGTGCAAGAAGAGTTTCTGGGTGAAGAGTCTCTGGGTGAAAAGTATATGGGTGAAAAGTATGTGCAAGAAGAGTTTCTGGGTGAAGAGTCTCTTGGTGAAAAGTATGTGCAAGAAGAGTTTCTGGGTGAAGAGTTCTCTGGGTGAAAAGTCTGTGCAAGAAGAGTTTCGGGTGAAGAGTCTCTGGGTGAAAAGTATATGGGTGAAAGTATGTGCAAGAAGAGTTTCTGGGTGAAGAGTCTCTGGGTGAAAACTATATAAATTACTATATATATGAAAAGTATGTGCAAGAAGAGTTTCTGGGTGAAGAGTCTCTTGGTGAAAAGTATATGGGTGAAAAGTATGTGCAAGAAGAGTTTCTGGGTGAAGAGTCTCTGGGTGAAAAGTATATGGGTGAAGAGTATGTGCAAGAAGAGTTTCTGGGTGAAGAGTCTCTGGGTGAAAAGTATATGGGTGAAAAGTATGTGCAAGAAGAGTTTCTGGGTGAAGAGTCTCTTGGTGAAAAGTATTTGGGTGAAAAGTATGTGGAAGAAGAGTTTCTGGGTGAAGAGTCTCTGGGTGAAAAGTATATGGGTGAAAAGTATGTGCGAGAAGAGTTTCTTGGTGAAGAGTCTCTTGGTGAAAACTATATGGGTGAAAAGTATGTGCAAGAAGAGTTTCTGGGTGAAGAGTCTCTTGGTGAAAAGTATATGGGTGAAAAGTATGTGCAAGAAGAGTTTCTGGGTGAAGAGTCTCTGGGTGAAGAGTCTCTGGGTAAAAAGTCTGTGCAAGAAGAGTTTCTGGGTCAAGAGTCCCTGGGTGAAAAGTATATGGGTGAAAAGTATGTGCAAGAAGAGTTTCTGGGTGAAGAGTTTCTGGGTGAAAAGTATATGGGGGAAAAGTCTGTGGGTGATAAGTATATGGGTGAAAATTATATGGGGGAAAGGTGTGGGGAAATAGGGGTAGATGGGATTTTGGCTTTCGTTATATATATATAATTACATATATATATATTTTTACTGTCAAAATGGTTGAAGACCATAATTTTGCAGAAGCGCTTGTGTCAGAGATGCGCACGAAACACTGTAAAGCGATAGGCCCCCCCAAAAGCGATAATGGCACAAAATACTGGAAAGCGATATGCCCCCCAAAAAAATAACCGATATTAGTAACTACTGAGATGTAAAGGATTTTTGACGGGAGCTCATATATACATCATGATCATATCACAGTATTTTTCCAGTGTGACTCGCGCGCATCTCTGGGATTCTCTGGGCATCTCTGCATTTGGTCTCCAAGGCACGTGGTATGCGCAGAATGAAGAGTGCAGGGAGGGATGGGAGGAGCGAGATGAAGGAGGTGAAAAACGAACGCGTCACTTCGTTACCAAGGTCAAGGTCAGAGCCTTAAGGGGCGCATGTTTGCCAGAATTCATTGCAGTTAGATTGAAAATAGTATAAAAATAATATGAACTATTTGGAATGCCATATGAATTCTATAACTATGCCATAAGTTGTATATTGGAATTATTTGGAATTGCAGTTGACGTCATGTGACTTTGTACAAATGTCTCGTTCACAAGTCCGGCACCATCGCGTCCTTGAGAGACCTACGGAACCCGAAGGATATTTATTAAATGTTTATTTTGATTTGTATAATTGATTTGTATTATTTTGTATTGCTGTTTGAGAGGAAGGCTCCAATTATCAATTCCAAACGTGCTTCACTCCTTCCAGATGTTTGTTGCGCAGAGGTTTCGATGATTTGCGTTCCGATGATTGTGCACCAGGTGCCACTCATGTGGCTTGCTTTTTCCAGTGATGCCTGTTTCCGTATTGCCAGCGGATTCAAAGTCATACATAATAGGAATACCGAATACTGTATATAACCATCATGCAACTATATAGATGTTCGATGATTTTCGACACCGAATTCATCTTTCAGGTAAAGAGCATTCAGCATGGTTATTCACAGCTCGATTGAATGGCTGTGTAGTTCTTGTATGTTCTTGTTGTTTTGGATCTGGACTGAACAGCCTGACATCGTTCAGGACTCAGATCCAACAAAAAGCCACAGCTACGTTCAACGTATTCAACAAGTTCAACAATTCAAAGGTGATGATTGGCTTTGAAGCCGTGACGCACACAGCTTGGCACAGCTTCGACTCTTCGAAGAGACTTGCAAGGACGTGATTTTGCCGAGCCGCGAGTGCAGCGTGCACTGGAAGCGGCAACTGAAGGGTCCTGACTAGCAGAACTGATGGCTCAGCAGAGGAGGTCTTTTGAAAGTCAGAGATGTTGGTTCTACAAGCTGAAGCACCTGAGGCCACTTCAAAAGGTTTGTTCGGAAGAAAATTGCGAAAGGAAGATCATCTGGTTAAGTCTTTGTTGAATCTTTGAATGGCTTTGCAAGGCTTTGCAACTCGGCAAAAGAAAAGGGCAATGGAGGTCATGAGAACGGAACCCGTTGCCAATTCGACGAAGTGACGTTGTTTGTTGCCTCAAAGACTCGCCATCACACTGTCTGGTGTGCAGAACAACATTTCCGCCTTCTGCAATTGATCAAGGCTTTGTTCAAATCGATTCAAAGACCTGAGCCACATAAAATATGTTCGCTGCAAATGGAAAAAAATGTAACTGCACCTACTGTAGGAGTGAGCTGGAAAGTGCTGTGAAGCAAAGAACCTGAAAGTAAACGAAGATTCTGAGAGCGAAGCGATCTTGAAGCGGAAGGTCTCTAACACTAGCAGTAACACAATGTAACAAATTAATGCAAATTCAGCAAAGGATACGATGATCCAATGATCCCCGCAGTGCTGAAACCGGTTCCAAGGTGCTACAACAGCTGCGCGTGACAGCTGGTGCCAAGCTGGTGCCAGGCTTGTGCCAAAAAGCTGTTGGCACTGTACGATGCAACATCCATTTTTCTGGGATATTGGATGATCTTGGCATATTATTCCTGCACTTTCTGCGTAGGGTTCAAACATGTTCAATGTGCCTAAGGGTTGGCGTTGCTTGTTCTTCATTTTGGAAGTCCTTGAGCAATGAAATGCTCTTGGCTTATGCTGCAGATCCTTGTGTATGGCCGACCAAGCTTGGATAAAGACCTGTGTTCTGGCTCAAAAGCCAAAAATGAGCAGCAGAAAAATAGAAAAGTCACAAAAACTGGGTTTCATATGGTTTCATGATGTCTCAAGATGGTACCACAATGTGGGCAAACATTCTACCAGGCAGCACATCCATCGCATTCGATCAGCTTTCAGCAATTGATCATAGTCTGATGGCACAAGATGATGGTTTTCCAAGCCAGGCATCGACAGCATTCAGAGTGCTGCGTTCACCTCAGTAAAAGCAGGCACAAGGTTTCTCCATGTACTCCAAATTCCGAAGTTCCCAGATTGTCCGCCAGCCTATTTATGCTTGAAACATCTTGAAACGGTTCCACTAGGTGCGGATAAAAAACATTACTCTTCGGAAGTCAAGAGTGAGATTTGACCGTCACAGGAATGCTTGGAGCTGGTGGTCGATCGGCACCGAAGCTTTGGTCGTCAGATGGCCTTTGTCGCTGGGGCGACAGCTTCAGGACGAGATTCGAAGTGTGAATTTGTAGGCCAAGAATATGAAGGAACGGCTATCAGAGACAGCAATGGCATAAAACATCATAATCATTGCAAGCATTGCACACATGAGTTAAATTCAGTGAATGCCTAAAGAACTCACCGGGCTGTTGTTGCAAAAATAGATTGTGAGTTTCACGTAGTGACGTATTTTCCAAAATTCAAAATCATCATTTTCCGAATTTTCCCACATTGCAATGCTTGCATTTGCCCACACTGTCACACTGTTTATCGGCTCCTTCCAGGAGAGCGTGTCCAGGTTCTCTTTCAGGATGCGCAAGAGCGCTGCAGTGCAGAGGATTTAGAGGTGGGTGATGGATGTGATGGTGGGTGCAAGGGATCCCCTGAATTTTGTGGATACATTGATGATCAATGACATTGAATGATGTGATTGTGCATTTGGAATCTGGAGAGCTTCTCATGTTCTTACGACGTCCAAAGATGAAACAAGTTCAATATTCAAACTCTAACACGGTCAGTATACATTGGTTTGGAATTGTTTGGAGCTTTTTCGTTTGAGCTAAGCTAATTCCTAGCCTCGGAAGGCTCTCAAGAAGCAGCTGCCCACCAGCAGAGCATTGGCGTTGGGAAAGAAGGACTTTTTAGTTTCCTGCTTGATTGTTGCAAGAGCACCTCGGACGTGGAAGAGCAAAGACCCCCTGTTTCTAGTTACTGAAGGCAAGACACAGACGATCACAACGACATGTTTGTGTGAGCAAGCCTCGACTAAGGAAAACACTAAAGATGATGCTGGACCTCCTGTGTATCAGGCCCCTTTCCAGAGTGAGATTATGTCAAGAAGACAAGCAACGAAAATAAACAACTTGTGTGGCGCAAGTGCTGCAGCTCGGTGGTTGTTTGTTTGGGCAAAAATATTTAAACAATGTTGAAATTTGTGACCTGATATAATATCCTGGAAGGAGACCAGTATACAGTCTGACCAATCCAGCAGCCTAGCAAAGCTTGGCTGCTTCGTCTTTGAAGTCTTATGATTCTTATGCTCCAGGCGGGAAAGCTATTGAGTGTTTCTTCGCGATCAAGAGGATACCTTGAGCTGTCAGACAAGGTCTGCTGACAATTTGACTTTAGTCAGTGTTTGGTGTGTTTTTTGCTATCAGCCAGGTGAAAACAGGTGGGAATGGGTCAGGTATGCTCAGATCATCCTTTCCCTTCAGCCTTGGAAGGACCATCGCCACACCATTTTTGCAGACTTCGTGGCTTCAGAGCTGCTGCAAAAGGAGGTTCTTGAAACATGTTAGAACATTGTGTGGACATGGGTGGGCAATGATTTCGACTCGGCGAGGCGTTTAATCATGAACCATGCGTTCAGAAAATGTGCTACCAACATCTCCCAACATCTACCAATGATCCCGCCAATGCTCCCACCAATTGGATCCAATTGGCGCACCTGTCAGGGCATTGGCGATGGCTATGTGCTTGAGGTCGCAGGCGGCAAAGGACACCAAAAAGTGAGAACGGTCAGAACAGTCAGAACAGTCAGAACGGGGTGAGCAAAGATCCCATGAAGATCCATGAAGGGGAAAGAGCGTCAAAGATTCAAAGGCAGGGTCTGCCCGAGCCTACCCCATTGTCTCGAAGATTATCGAAGTATGTCTAGAAGACTTGTGCAGTATGTTTTGGCACTTTTGGCACCATCCTTGAGGAGCGCTTGCTACTGCTTTGGGCTCCCGTGGGATGAAAGTACTGATGGTGGATCCTCGGTCAGCCACTGAACCAAAACAGGGACACAGGAAGAGAGGGGAGGTTGTCAAACCTGCTAGACTCCAAGGCCTTCAGAGGCATCAGAAGTTGTCGACGAGCTTGAAGCCACGGAGGCGCTTGTGTTGGAGTTGCTCAGATTGCATGTTTGGTCTTCTTACACAGTGTCTTGCAGGAAGGTGAAGATGAGCATGATCAAGCTGGTTCAGTCCGCAGAATTTGCTCCAACTTTGACGCTTCTTGCTTTGATAATTTGAGAGCTGAAAATTTGGCTTTCAAGTGTCGTATACATGAGCTGGTTGAAGCTGCAGAAGGAGTCGGGTTTGTTCAAAGCTGGCAGGCACCACTCACAGAGTGTGGAAAATGACCTGTGTAGCCAGCAGTGTAACTAGCGTATCAATTGGTGCTATCAAATGATCACTAAGGACTCTTCGATGTCTTTGGTAATTGGATCAGAAGCGGTGGTTGCGATGCACCCAGATGAGGCACAGGAACACGCGTTGAATATATATATATACCAAGAAAGGGCAGATGTGCAAACACAGATACTTAGAATTGGCGATGTGATTTGTACATATTTGTCTAGTATTTGTGCATATATTGGTGACACTTGTGGCAGTTGCTGATTGTCCTCTGTTCTCAATGTATTGCGGTTCGACAAAGATGGTCTCAAACGTCAGGCCACTGATGCTGTGGTCGAAGCTGCCTTGACTGCCCAACGGCCGTTTGCTGCTTCAAGCTCAGAGATCTCAGAGCATATCTAGCCGTCGCATTGCGTCGCAGCCTGCGTTTGTTCTTGCCAGACATGGAAGGACAACGACAAGAACAAGAGCAACAGTAATAATAAGAAGAACAAGAATAGAAAAGTCAAGGGAGCAAGCACAATAACCATCAGAATCAGAACCCTAAAAGTAGCAGCAGCCACCGCCACCAGGACGACCACTCGCTTGTACACCCCGATTTTCACTCGCTTGTACACCCACTTTTTCCCTCGCTTGTACACCCATGAAAATCATGATCATGCTGATGATGCTGATCCGATCATCATCATCATCATCATCATGATCTCATCTACAGCACCACCATCACAATCAGCATCAGCCCACCCCACCCCACCCCACCGGTATCTGATCATGAAAGAGCAGTGCCTGCTTCTGCAGGACAGCAAGAAAGATGATGAGGTTGCGGTGCCTGTGTGTGCACAGGAACATCGTTATTGTGCATGAAAGAGCAGTGCAAGAAAGATGATGAGGTTGCGGTGCCTGTGTGTGCACAGGAACATGGGCGTTATTGTCCCACCCCACCCCACCGCACCCCACAGCGAACAATGATGAAAGTGCAGTGACTACTTCCAGAATGAGAGAGGATGAGGGTGCACAAGTGGGCCACGTTTTGCTCACTGGGAGCGCAAGTGAGTGAGGGCGCGCAAGTGAGTGAAATTTCGGGTGCGCAAGTGAGGGTCTGACCCCGCGACCACGACCACAAAAACGACACTGTTTTTGTATGTATGTGTAACTTTGGATGTTTGTCTAACCGAAGGAAGTTTAGAAGTCAAACTTCCGACAATATGGACAGATGAAAAGCAGAGATGGGAAGAGTCAGAGAAGATCGAAAAAAAGAAAGTCTCAGAAGAAAGAAGATCCAGGTGCGCGAAAAGGTAGGAAAGTCGCGGAGCGCTGTGTTTTCTAAAGCGGCGGGTGCGGAGCCATGTGGTAGCCGTTGTGGCGCGAAGCACATTTCCAAGTCAACATGTTAAACACACCACATGTTCGGACCACTTTTGGAAGCTCCGATGTCGAAAAAGTGCACGCCGTTGCAGCGCGAAGCACATTTGGAAGTCAAAATGTACAAAACACACCATGTTCGGACCACTTTTGGAAGTTGAGATGTCGAAAAAGTGCACGCCGTTGTGGCGCGAAGCACGTTTGGAAGTCAAAATGTACAAATCGCACCATGTTCGGACCACTTTTTGACGTTCAGATGTCGAGGCAGAAGGGATTGTGCACCGTGTCAAAAGTGAGCAAAACGTGAGGGATTTGTGGCATTTCCGAAAACGATGGCAGGCGTGGGACATTTGAAGAGGTTCTGCAAAGATGCATATTCCGTGGCAGGCGCAGTACAAGAGACATGCTCATCAGAGATGTTAGGAGGTCCGGGCGCTGATTTCCTGAGAGGGGTTGCATTTTGGAGCATCAGATCTTCAGTTTTGGGAAGATGATTTTCTGACAGGTGCAGCACTTCGTATGACCTGGCCTCACTTTTTCGTGGCAGGCGCAATACTTTAGACAGGTGGAATGGAAAAATCGCACAACGCATTGGTACGAGGCCGTCAGCTCTGCACTCAACCTTCCATTTTTGAAAGAAGGCTCGCAGAATTGCTTTGTTTTTGATGTTGTCAACAAAGTCTCGCAGACTTGTTTTGTTTTAGTCGTTGTCAAGTTCAAAAATTAAGGAAGTCTCGCAGAATTGCTGCGTTTTTGATGTTGTCAAGTTCAAAAACCGAGGAAGTCTCGCAGAATAGCTTCGTTTTCAAACTTGCAGATAGACAGATATAGATAGATAGACAACTACAACTACAAGTACCACTACACTACACTACTACTACAACTACAAGTACAAATATACTACGCTACATTGCACGACACTAACTACACTACACTCCCCTAATTACATCTAATGCCACTACACTACACTAATTACACTACAACTACTACAACTACTACAACAGCTACTACTACTACGACGACGACGACGACCACCACCACCACCACCACCACCACGACTACGACTACGACTACGACTACGACTACGACTACGACTACGACTACTACTACTACTACTACTACGGCTACTACTACTACTACTACTACTCCTACTACTACTCCTACTTCTACTTCTACTTCTACTTCTACTACTACTTCTTCTTCTTCTACTACTACTACTCTGCTACTACTCCTACTCCTACTACTACTACTGCTACTCCTACTACTACTACTACTACTGCTACTCCTACTACTACTACTACTACTACCACTACCACTACTACTACTACTACTACTACTCCTACTACTCCTACTGCTGCTGCTACTGCTACTGCTACTGCTACTGCTACTGCTACTACTACTACTACTACCACCACCACCACCACCACCACCACCTCCACCACCACCACTACCACTAGGACTACGACGACGACCACCACCACCACAGCTACAACTACAATTACAGCTGCGCTACATTACACTACAATACAGTACTAATTAAACTGCAGTACATTACAGCTACAAATACAACTACAACTGCACTACATTACACAACACTACACTACACTAATTACATTACATTACACTGCAACTGCAACTACCGCTACATTCAACTACCACTGCATTGCACTTCACGACACTGCGCGACAACTACAACACACTACTTTACACAACAATACACTAGACTACAAAACACTATACCACGCTACAGTACGCAACACTACAGTACACTACAATACACTACACAAATTGCACCACACCACAACTACAACTGCAACTGCCACTACACTAATTACACTACATTACAACTACAACTTACAACTACAACTTAACTACAACCCCACTACACTACAACTACACCTACAACTAGAACTACAACTACAACTGCACCACACCACACTACATCCAGCAGTTGTGGTGAGGTGACCACTGCAACCATTGCAACCACTCCAGAAAACACAACTCCAACCACCTTTCGGTCCATCAGTGGGTTCGCTCTGCCATCCGTGAGTCACAACAACAAACCCTTCCTATAGGTTTCCTATTCTTGAAACTTCCGCCACTGCCTTGTGCGGTACTACTGGGAATACTGACCAAAAAGGCTCAAAGTGAGAGTTGGCAAAAAATGAGCTCAAGTGAGATGCTTTTCAGCTACTTCAGAACCTCTTAGCCACGCCCTTTTGTTTGAGAACATTCTGAGCTGATGTCTTCCCTGTGCGCGCGGCGCGTGGTATGTTGATCATGATGTTGCTTCCAGGTCGTGCCGTGCTGCGTTTTCCCACGGATTTTCCACCAGCGCCGCTTGAGAAACGGAGGAGGAGTTGTGGGCAACTGGTCTCAATAATAGGTCTGAATTGGTCTGAACTTGGATGTTGATTTTGACAATGTGACAATGGGATGACAATGGGTATGCATCGTCAATCTCTTGTTGCAGCAAGCGCTAAAGCTCTTTCACACTGTTACCTCAGCCTGCTGTGAAATGAAACCTGTGCAAGCCTCTGTGTTTGGACGTTTCTCAGGCTACACAGGGCTCTTGCGCTTTTTGAGGGAGAAGGCCAGCACTTAAAACATCATGAACCATGCTTCGGACTTTGATTCTATTTGCCCACATCGTTTGAACGTGCTCACCTCTTTGCAAGATGTCAGCCTAAGGATCCACGCATTCGTGCTGCACGATTGCCCTTTACAGGCCAGAATGATGCTTTGCTCTGTGAATTCCGCGTTTTCACCATCCATGAGAACTGCCCACCGCTGAAAGCAATAAGAAAGTAAAAACTTGTAAAAACCTTGCAGTCACAGAGTTGTAGACAGGGTATACACAGGGGATAAACTATGTCGCTGCACCGCTGGCTAGTGCTCGTCGAAGGTCAATAGTTTGGATGTGAGGCTTCCGAGTTACAGAATTGTTTTTGTTGAGGTTTTGAGGTTTTGTTTGCGTGTGTTGGGAGGATGTGATGTGCTTGACATGTTGCGTATTCCTGCCCAAAGTTCGCTGCGATGTGAGGCAAATGTGTTGTACCTCTACGTGTGTACTGTTGTTAGATAGTCACGTATATATATATATATACTGTAGGTATAGGCTGCGCCAGCAATGCGGTGTTCTTTGGGATTGCATCGGTTGGGTAGGAGGTGCTATCTGGGCCGCAGCATCTTTCGTGTAAATTTCCGCATAAAGTGGCTCTTGTGAAATCTTGACATGCGTTTCGACTGCGCGGGCTCGCACAAAGTGTGGTCCTAGGTTCTGGGCCGCGGCATTTTTCCCGTAAATTTGCGTATAAAGTGGCTCTTGTGAAATTTTGACATATGTATTGACTGCGCAGGCTCGCACAAAATATGTGTCTGCGTTCTGGGTTCATTCTGGGGCGCGCCATTTTTCCTGTACATTTCCGCGCCCAATAAAGTGGCTCTTGTGAAATCTTGACATGCGTTTCGACTGCGCGGGCTCGCTTAAAGTGTGGTCCTAGGTTCTGGGCCGCGGCATTTTTCCCGTAAATTTGCGTATAAAGTGGCTCTTGTGAAATGTTGAAGCGCATTTCGACTGCGAAGGTCGCACAAAACACGCAGCGCGGTCTTGGGATCGGTCCGCATCAACATCCTCAGTATCATCCTCTTCTTCCTCAACATCATCATTCTCCACGTCATCCTCTGACTCCCCCTTGACATCATCATCCTCAACATCATCATCCTCCACATCATCCTCAGCATCATTTTCTTCCTCCTCCTCAACATCATCATTCTCAACATCATCATCTTCCTCCCCCTTGGCATCATCATCCTCCACCTCCTCTTCCGCAACATCATCCTTCTCCACCTCATTTTCCGCAAGATTATCGTCCTTTCATCATCCTCCTCAACATTCTCATCCTCAACAGCACCATCTTCCTCCTTCTGAACATCATCCTTCTCCCCAATTTCATCTTCCACATTATCATCATCATCCTCATCCTCCTCAACATCATCACCCTTCACATCATCATCATCCTCCACCTCATCTTCCGCAACATCATCCTCGCAACATCATCCCCCTCCACCTCATCTTCGGGCACATTATCATCCTCAACATCATCGTCCGCATTCGTCCGCAACATTTTCATCCTCATCCTCATCCTCATCTTCCTCATCATCATCATCATCACCATCATCATCTACATTATCATACCTTATCCCCCCACTCCCCCGCACTGTTTGGGGTCTCTTGCCGCGATAGTTTTTGATGCTTCAAGTGCTGGAATGGCGCGACATTGTGGGCATCGGCGAGGGCGCAAAAGACGTGAAGATGATGGTAAATGGTGGCAGGTTGATATGTAGCACATACCCAGCCTTTGGTAACTCCTATTCCTGGTTCGTTCAGACTGTACTGACGTTACCCTGCCCAACATATGATATGTATATATGTTATATACGTATATATATATATAAATATATATATATGAATATATATATATATATGTGTCTGTGTGTGAATATACGTGTATATATATATATACATATATATATAATATTGTTTGCAGCGGTCCTGAGTCAATTAAGGTGGAGGGTCGTTTGGCCCAGGAATGCCTTGGATGCGTGGTGCCATAAATTTGTTCAAGTCGTTCTGGTTCTGACAGGACGAAATATTGTGCTTTACATGACAAAGAATGACTTTGGCAGCGAGAAGAAGGCCCAACCAATCGATATACCAATACATTAGCAATTCGCACAGTACCATGAGTACGATTGCCAAACTGAAAGTCAAAGTTCTTACCTTCCCAGAAGCTTTGCATGCAATGGGCTGTTCCACAGGTGGTTCAACTTGGCAGCCAGGCAACGGATGTTGGACCCCTTCGTGCTCCCGATTGGGTACATGTCCGCTGAAGCTTCACAGTGGATACGCAGATGAAAGATGCCACGTGCCTTGTCGGACTGTGCATCAATGGTTGCAGACCAACATATAGTAACTTGATGTAAGTTGGAAATATACACATTTATTTTGCAATCACAAACGTTACGCGAGCAACGATGCACCGTGATAGCAGTACAAATACATGGCATTCTTGTACGGTCAAAGGTATAGCCATGCAGAATCGTTTGTCATGGTTTTCAAATGTGGGAAACCAAAGAAGGAACTCTGATGCATCCTGCAAAGGTTCACCCATGGTCTGCAGCTGTGTTGCTAGATCTGCTAGATACAGCAGATTAAGCATGTTGAAACCATGATTGAATACTCTATATTTTTTTATGAATAGTTTTTCATGTTTTTCCCCAACAGCGCAAGTTAATGGGGTGTGCAGCCCAGAATAGCTCCGGCGTGCACTGGTGCAAGCGCCGGGTCAGGTTCAACGAGGTTGCGGAGAAGGTTCCGACGGTTCCGGAGAAGGTCTGGGAGGCTTTGGTGCAGAGCCAGGTCAGGGTTCCGGAGAAGGTTCCAGGAAGCCTTGGTGCAAAGCCGTGAGGTTCAGCAGGGTTGCGGAGAAGGTTCCGAAGAAGGTTCCGGAGAAGGTCGGGGAGGCTTTGGTGCAGAGCCAGGTCAGGTTCAACAGGGTTCCGGAGAAGGTTCCGGAGAAGGTCTGGGAGGCTTTGGTGCAGAGCCGGGTCAGGTTCAACAGGGTTCCGGAGAAGGTTTTGGAGAAGGTGTGGGAGGCTTTGGTGCAGAGCCAGGTTAGGTTCAACAGGGTTGCGGAGAAGGTTCCAGAGAAGGTTCCGAAGAAGGTTCCGGGAGGTTTTGGTGCAGAGCCAGGTCAGGTTCAACAGGGTTCCGGAGAAGGTTCCGGAGAAGGTCTGGGAGGCTTTGGTGCAGAGCCAGGTCAGGTTCAACAGGATTTGCGGCCATTTAACTCACGGAAACCCAGCTGAGGTGTTTCCAGCGCTTGGCTTCGCAGCACGCTTCAGAAAGATTTGTAAAAATAAGACGTTGCGCTGTTGGGGATACCACCGAAGCTTATGTCTGCTTACTTCAAAGATCAGGTTTGAACTTGAACCACTTGGAACCAATTTCCCGAGCGACCAAGCCAGATGTTGCACTCCATCAGGACAGTTTCACGGGAAACCGGGCTCCACGAATGGTTCTTGGCAAAATTGCTGGACGCACTCAGGCCGCGGATGAAGTTGGAAGCCGCCTGCCAGTAGGAATTTCTTGGAAAGTAAACCTATGTTGCTGCTGGCACGGCGCAACCTGGTATACCTATGCTATGAGGAGATGCGGACGATTATTTCCACGCCATTGAAACTGTACGAATTTTGCAGACTCCGACCCGATTCAGGCCTACAGAGATTGATGACATATGCTGATGCTGATAGAAAATTCGTGAAACTGACGTAATTCTACGATTCCTATTTGTTTGGGAAAGGTCCAGGTGGAGTGATAGCCGATGGCGTGACTTCCACATTGTTTCTGATGCGAGAGACGGAGAATCGGTTGGTGATACAATGCTCGCGTGGAACTACACTGATGAAGAGATGCTCGGCAGAAGGGTTTACAGAAATGGAGTTTTAAGCAAATGTGTTGTAGTCGATCAATGGTTGGGATCAAAACAGAAACGTTTGAAAAGACATGGATGGAACCAATAGGAGCAGCAAGACAGTTTCATATTGAAAGAACTACACGTTCAAAACCCACAGTGCACATGACTACGTTTGATTTGCTGCCGTGAAGTGGGTCTGTGGGGCCACGGCGAGTCGGCCAGGCAAATGGCAAGTGTCCACAGGCTGAAGACTTCAACTATTGAGTTGCAGTTGAGAGACTACACCAAGAGCTCTGACGTGCTCAGCTCCCTGGAAAACGTCTCTGACACCAATGGCTGTTTACGTAACTTAACCATCCGTAAGCAAGAGACAGACGAATGGCCACCTGCGCATACATGAGTATACATGAGTGCAAAGAAGTGACTCTCATTTACAAATCAATTTCTGCATTTCCCGGCATCGGTGCAATGATGTGCCGGAAACTGGTGCAATGAAGGTCCATTTGTGCATGGTTTTGTTCAAATGGCAGCAGTGTCAACACGAGCAGCATACCTCACTCTCGACTAATTTCCGTAGCTGCGAGCTGGATGCGCTGGATGCAGCAGGTTTTAATTTGACGGCAGCCATGGAGAAGCTACTGATTTGACTCTGTCTCGTTTTGATTTCACTGGCTTTGAAGAGACTCCAAGAGTTGCCGTTCGGACATATTCGGACATGCTCGCTGGCATTGACCTTGAAATTCTCCCAGGGCTGCTCGAGAACTCGAAACCAAGAAGATGCGGAGCGACAAAAAAAGTTCACTGGTTTCCTTGGGAAGTATTTTGGAGATAAGCATGCGCCTCCGGTTGCGGTGTGTGCACATTTCCATAGTGGTTCTGTGGGGCTGGCAGAAGGATAATTGGCGTTGCTAATGATTATTGATTCTCGCCCATCCAAAGCTTCGTAGTATATTTGTGTTTAACATTGTTTAACCCTAATCAAAATAATATCAATAATCAATACTAATCACATAGTGTGAATCAGTATGAATCGCAGTTCCCTGAGTTCCATGCACACCAATTGGACTTGCTGATACTTGCTGTCTTGTTTCTTTATTTTCTTTTCAAAACAAGATTAAGGATATTAAAGGGATTTAAAGGGGCTGCACATATGAATAATTGATAATAATTGGAGCATGATCTCTATGTGCCGCAGCTTTTTAGCTTCCAGCCTCCAAGTCATCTCTACACTACACTATGGGACTTCGTGCAGAGCTTGCGCCGCGCTCGTTTGACAGTCTCGAGAGGGCTGAAGCGAAAAGGTGCCGAACCGGATGAGGAAAACTGACCACGCTTGATTCGGACCATGCTGTCTAATCGCAACAATGGAGTGGTATTGATTGATACATTCGCAATGCCTTAATAATGCAATGAATATAACGGAATAATCTTGACTGGGAACATAACCTGCAATCGCAGAGATTTGAGGTGCCCTAACTCAGAGCTATTTGTTGCAGGCTGCAGTTGACCTTTGCACCAAGTGTTGGCAAGAAGTTCCGGCTTGTGCTGAGCCTAGAGCAACAGAGCTGTTTGATGCTGTTTGGACCATTAGAGTTTGGCATGATTTGTTTTTTACTCAGAAAATTTCCAATGCGCACCGAAAATGTCGAATGATTTTTTGTTCAAACATTTCTTACAACATTGAGTGTCACAGCAAGTAGAAAGCGTTGTCAAGCCGGTGGAAACTGCCGAGTGCAGCTGGCTGTGAATGGAGGCGCTGCATCAGGATGCTTCTTTGGGCATCGCTGGGGTTCTCTATGACTGCGCGCTGCTGTTGGCGCGACGCCTTGTTGAAGAGCCCCGGCTGCTGAGCGGCAAGGCGTGCTATGAAGATCAAACGTGATCAAACTCTCCTGCACAATTTCTCCATTGAGATCCATTGAGTCCATTCCATCTTCATTGATCTCAATTGATCTCAGTTGATCTCAATTGATCTTCCACAATTGTTTACGAGTTTTGCTTGTCAAAATTATCTTTGCAGATTTTGCAGGTGGTGGAGATTGGCTGCGGGACAGGCTGCGCGGGCCTCGCAGCAGCAGCACTTGGTGCAGAGGCGGTCCTACGCCCAAACACCATGTCTGTTGTGGTTGTGTCAGACTTGTGTCACTCCAAGTATTGTACGAATTTGTACGAGCCGTATGGTTGAGCACTTGACGTGCTTAGATGATGTGTATCTGTGTTTGGTATATTGATTGCGACATTGCATGATATTGCTATCATTTCACGGTTCTTTACGACAAAATAGAAGAGGCAAACAGATGCAAAACGTTCAAACAAAAAACTAAGGAGATCAAACGAGCATAAAAGAGTCATATACTCATGTATGTTCAGCATGTTGTGAAAGACCTGGCTTCTCCCTCTTCTGGCAAAAGTATGGCTTTGGATCCCATTTGATGTTTTCATTGTCAGATATTGTGAGCCGAGGCTACAGTCCTCACTTGAAACGTCTAAAGGAGGAACTTTAGGAGGAACTTTTGCTGCTCCCCCACTAGCGCGGTGTCTAATCAGGTCCAAGATTTGCAGAGGGGGGTCCCTGTTCTTCGGTGGTTGGGGGTTGAGGAGGTGTTTCGCAGGTCGTGTCGCACTTCAGAGGGGTTGTGTGGCCGGAGGTAGGGCAGGTCGAGGCATTTGGTTTTGAGGATCCTATCAAGTTGCCCTTGGTGTGGTGGATGACTCCTTCAGGTTGTGTTCTGTGTGCATAAGTGTTTTAGGAATTTTAGGAACAGCTGAGACTCAAAAGACTCCTCCGTGATGCCAAAGATAGAATCGAATCCGTCTGTTCATATCTTGTATCAGCCAGCCGTATCAATTGTATTCGACAATGTCATTCATGGCAGCAGATGTTTGACTGGATCTGGCCATTGACAGGTGATAAAATCAGCTGACACTTCATGAATCCTGATCGTACTCGGATCTTTGGATCACTGTACTATCTGTACTCTCAAATCATCTCAAACCGTGACTCAAACCGTGACTCCAATCAGTTCTGATCACAGCTCTTCAGGTTTGCTTGATCTATCTTGATCTTACAGGGCGTTTGCTTTAACTGCTTTGTTGCATGCTTTGGAGCCATTGTTGCAGTGCACTTCTCCAAGGGAAGACTCCTCCCCAAACGGCGTGCTTGAAATATCTTCAAATTCGAAGTGTATCATGGCAAAGGTAAACGAAGTTTTGTTGAGTCTTGTTGTCAACTCAGGATTTAAACATCAAACAACTGATTCTGCAGCTTGTTTACCTTGGTTTTGCCGTGTTCCTGTTTTAATCATAGTTAACGCCAACGCTATTTAAGATAGAATTGAACTTCTCTTGATAGATCTTGGAGTGACTCCCCGACAGCGCCTCTGGGAGGTCCTGCTGACTGACCGGAGCGAGCGGGCCCTTCAAGTCGCAAAGCAGTCTGCGAAGGCCGGCAGAGCAAACGAAAACAGAAAACACAGCAAACGCAATAGGAACACCATGCATCACAAAGCATCAACAAATATCAAAAAGCATACTATGAAAATCTAATAAAATCTATATATATAATAAGATCTATTCACATAGACGCACATCTATGCATACCATTCAGAAACCATTGCTACATCCAAAGGTGAAAAATGTTTCATAGATTGTCGAAGCCTAAGGCCTAAGGTTGCACAAAAGATGCATTGTCGCAAATGCAAATCTCGGGTCAAACCTCGGTTGATGCAGTGATCAAGTTTTTGCCCTTGTCAACTTGTCAACTTTCCATCCTTTGCTAAGCGATAGGAGAGTGGGCTTACAGTCTCCTGTCAGCGTTGGGACTGGGCAGATCCGTTGCCCCTGGAATGCCGTGGAGCATCCACTGTGATTGCAACGGATGTGGTGTACAGATCCTTGCCTGAAGACATCAAGAGTCTTTGCTTTCAATGAAGTTGAAGTCAAGAAAAGTGTCCGACATGAAAAGTATCATTCAAACAGCTGTAGAATGCTGTGGGCAGTTTCCAAGAATGTTGCCTTTTATATCCTTTTACTACAAAGCGATGTGAGGTGAGGATGTCTCGGCTTTATTGAATGCTCTCGAAGCACTGGCAGCACCTGGTTGTGTTGTGCTTCTGGTAGCAAAGGTGAGAAGTACCTTGGATGCAAAACATGCAAAAGACATGCAAAAGACATGCAAAAGACATGAAAAAGACATGCAAGAGACATGCAAAAGACATGCAATACTTCGACTTACTTCAACCCTTCATTTGTTCACTCATGTTCACTCTTTTCCATGGGAAGCTTCCCAAGATCATCTCCGGCAATAGAAGCGTTTGGCGATGCTCTTCTCAGAATTTCTTAGACTAGTACTGTTGCCTGTTCTACATTGACCTGATTTTGCATGAGTCCTTTCCTATGGTTACGAGGAGCATTTGTCTTGCTGACATCCCAATATGACTGCCTTGTGGGCCCGTGGACAGCGAAGGTCCTTCTTCTTTGGCCGGACTGCGCTCCTTGTTGAATGAAGCAAGCCACTTATTCAAGGCCTTTCTTTCGCTGATTTGCAAACATTTTTACAAAGAAAGTCCCGTTGCCAACAGAGCAGTCACAAGGCTCACAATTCTCACAATTCTGATTCATCTTGCAGGAGTGCGTTCCACTTTCGTTGCAGCCTGCAGCACAGGCAACGCTACAGCTGGCAGCAAAGGACACCGAGCACCGGCTACATGTCGCATTGCTGTTTCTGTTTTGAGTTTCTCCAAGCACCGTCCAGAAGGCTTGAACGTTCCTTTAAGATCTTTCAAGATCTTTTAGATCCTTTAAGAGATTGCAGAGATTTTAGTGCGCCATTTGCAAATGATTTGATAGGACCTTCCTTTGCCAGATGTGCAAGACAAGGCTGTGTATTTCTACAGGTTGGTGAGGTAGCTATTTTAATCAGCAGGACTTTGAGTGTCTGCAAAGTGAAGAGTTTAGAGTTTTACACTGCAGATCGAATCGGACTTTTGTTTGCTCAAAGTTGCAGCCATTCTCAGATACTGTGCGGCGCCCAACTTGTTTGTCATGCTTTGCGGCCTTCTGGCCGCCTCTGGCCCTGGCTATGAAATTTTAAGTGACTGCTGTCAGCGGGTAAGTCAGGCATTGTACAGAAACTCAGCCCCTTGCTCAAACGCATTCAGAGGTCCTGGAGACTTTGGGAATCTGCCATGCCATGTCCTAACACACTGACTTGTTTAGTGTGATTTGCTTCCGAAACCGCATTGAATTCCATTTCTTGAAGGGAATGGCGGTCAAGAACAAAAAGCCTATGGAGTGGATCTTGGAAATCAAAAAAAGCTTCAGGCACAATTCTGGATTTCAGTGTGCAAACCGAATTGACTCAGCAAAGGTGCTACCCGTACGCGCCCCAACTTTTGGTGGCGACTCCGCTGCAGGGCGTTAGGATTTGAATTTATTTCAGAGCTGGGCTGAACTGTGCCCATAATCACAGAAAAACTGCATCCAAGACGCGCAAAAAGGAGACGTAGAATTGTTACATTCATGTACATTCTATCATTGCAATTGTGTTTGGGATGAAGACCCCCCGTGTGAGAGGGATCCAATATAATGTAATAAGGGCATCCCCGTTCGAATTTCAACTACAGAATGGGAGGCCTTGTGCCCCGTATCAAGGGCATTTCCGGGCTTAAATTAAGATGCCAAAATGGAAAATGGGGTTGGGCTAGGCATTTTGTAGCCACAGCTTGGGAATTGCATTTTACAAGTTAAGACTTTTAAAAATCGAAAGTCATTTTGTAGCAAGGGAATTTGTAATGGTAGTGGTTCAGTGTCCCCTTAATGTAACTTGATGATAAAAAGCAATCTTCATTTTGTAGTGGTGAAGTGTCCCCTTCAAGTAACCTCATGATAAGAACCAATCTTCATTTTGTAGCAGTATCATGTTGTCATTTTCCGTAACCCTCTGGAGGTTGAGAACCTTCATTTTATAATGGCTGACGATGGCTGACGTTAGGAACTTTTTGCAATGCTTACAAAATGAGGGTCTCGACCCCATAGGTGACATTCAAACCGGGATATAAGGGCATTTTTTTGTATCACGGTATATCACGCTAACCTTGCATTTGTGGGGTAGATTGGTGACTCTGATTTAAAGTGACCCCAGCGCCTCTGATTTTGCAGTTTCTTGACACTTTGATGTTGTGGCGGGTTATGGGTAACTATTTCATATGAGCTGCATGGCGTACATAGCAGAGCATGCGATATCGTTGCAGATAATCACTATGGCATTTGATGACTCCATTATAAAATATTGTAAAATTCTTGGGATTTAGCTCTTTGTGATTGGACTTGATTGTTCCTTACAATATGTTTGAATCTTAATTGTAAACAGATTGGAAATATGATCTCTGAAACTTTCTTCTACTGTAGAAAGGGAGCGTTCGTATTTAGTACAAATGGTTTATCATGTCTTTTTCATGTCTTTTTTGGATAGAAAACATGCAAATATATACCTGATGTGTTGGCATGATATCTGTAAGATAGTTATATAGAAATCACTTGAAATCGTTAAAAATGATATGAGAATAATTGAGAATATCTATTATATTAATTAGTATTACTATGTCGCATGCATTATGATCACGTGACAAATTGTAGTGACATACGAACGTTGTTTGAATTCTGAAATCCAGTTGCTGGCACGTGGGTCTAAAACAAAATTCCATTCCCAGAGGCATTACTGTAACGTATTGTTTCTGAATTAGATTTTTGCATTGTCAGTGGCATGACAAGTTGCTTTGCGCTGCATCATTCGTGTCAAAGGAAAAATGTATTTTTGGCAAGCGCAACCGCATGGGCTATCTCCATGTGCTATTCTAGCATTGGTCCTTTGCCGGTGCGCCACTGAAAAAGTGAAAACGGTTGCTTGTGACAAAATTACATCCCCACATGCCTGGTGTGAATTCCGCCCTCGAGATGACACGCTCAATGCGGAACCGGTCCTTTTCAAGTCAACGTCTTCTGCGCTGGTTGGGCTTGATTGGTATTCCATCATTGAAGATGACAAAGTGGTGAATGTCGAATTTTCGGACACATTTATTTTCAAAGCACACGCAAATGTTCACCAAACGAGCTTGGAGATGAAATGGGCCTTGGCCAAGAAGATATTGCGTGGAGAACACGCAGTGAATTCAAAATTTGCAACCTACGTTCATCAACAATCACTGGTATCTCCGACCGATCCAATTTTGGAAAAAATAGCTCAACATTTGCCGAAATGGTTTTTGGAAGTGGTTGCACAGAAAGTCCTTTTCTGGCTTGGTGGCCCAAGGAATCATACAACAGGCGAGGGGTTGTTGGTCAAATGGCATAGTAGCGCATAGTGTGGCACAGTGCGGCATAGTCAGTGCCGCATCGTGCGGTGTAGTGTTTGTGCAAGAAAATGCTTGAAGTGAGTGCTACAGGTCTTCATTTCGACCCGCTTGACAACCTCTATGTGGTTGTAAAGGGCTCCAAGGAAGTTACTTCAAATGTTGTGTATGTGTTTCTCGAATTCTATCGAAGTAGGTTGGTGTGTGTGTGTGTGCATGTGTGCGCCGTTTTCTTTATTTTGCCAAAACCGATCTATATCCAAGCACGTTTTGGACATGTTTGGTATCCAAGGTTTTCTCTCTGGGGACAAAAGTATGTTTCAGATAATTATAGGTATCATTGACATGTGAGCAAACACTTGGTCAGATTCCAGATGATTCCCAGGTTCTTCTTCATCCTCCATGGCATGCGGCAGATTTAGGCTGTGGTGGCAGGCCTGTGGGAGCTCCAAAACAGCGGACAGATACAAAACCTCAATTGTTGAACGTAATGCCATGTCTTCATTTGTCTTCTCATATCAAATGAAATCTTTGAGTATATATAACATCTCATTTGTTTGCTGTGGTGTGGCTGTGTCAGCTCGCCAGCTCAAGTAAATTCAATGACCACGTGTATACCATGGTTCATTACCTTTCTTTCATGTTCTAGGACATTCTAGGACTGGTGGAGTGGCTGCTCATGGCTGCTCGATCAAGCATCCACACAGCATCCCCCTAAACGTGAAAGGTTGTTGAAGAATTCCTTTCTTCTGGACGAGGACGAAACTCGTATTCGATCTGGTGATATGGACGTTGAAACCATTTCCCAGTTGCAGCCCAGGCGCTCATGCGGATGGGTCGGTTCTCTTGAAAGCCTGAATAGTGAGTGTATTTTTCCCCCCTTTCTCTATCTCTATCTATCTCTATCTCTCTCTATCTATCTGTCTGTCTGTCTATCTATCTGTCTGTCTATCTATCTGTCTATCTATCTATCTATCTATCTCGCTCTCTCTCTCTCTCTCTATCTCCCTTTCGTGCCGTATGTTTCTCCATTGGTTTCGCTGTTGATTTGTTTGATTGTTAAAACCCATTGATGCTTTTTGCCCTGATTACATTCACTGTTACATTCACTGTTACATCCGTCCGTCCGTCCCTCCGTCCCTCCGTCCCTCCGTCCGTCCCTCCCTCCCTCCATCCATCCATACATACATATGGGGCTGTGTATATTATATATATAATATACGTATATGTGTATATATATATACATATACGTATATATATATATATAATGTTACATTGTAAGTTAAGAGTTCTCCAAAGGTTCACACCATACAGCATAGGTATGCATGAATCTTTTGCAACACCTTTCGTCCCAGGTGTGATGGTTCGCTTGGTATTACCAATTTGTCGGCGTTGGTTGAAGCTGGCGCCCCTTGGTTGGCCACTCCACTACAGCGATTTTTTTAATTTACCAACATCAAACAACATGCATTCTTGAAATGACCTATGTCCAGGACAATTTTTTTTGTGTTTTGTCTATTCCACTCGGCCTCATACCAAAACTCTTTGTTTTGAGGATATATTGTGGATCCCAACTGGGTGGTTTCATACCCTCAGAAGCAGTGCCAATGCCGTGGCTATTAGCATTTTTTACACGAGAATGACTTCGATCCCACAGCTTCTACTGGGTCTGTTGACACCGCACCATTTGCTGCATTCGGAGAACCCGGATGTTGATGACGCACAGGAGGCTTTGAGTGAAGAATTGAGGTCCACTTACCCAGATCTGAGAAACAACGAGACAAACCAAGAGAACGAGGATGCTGATGATGATGATGATGATATAGCCGAGGACTACGCGGGTTTGAATCCCTCAGATTTTTTGTTTCATGTGGATGTGGATTCCCCGTCCCAGAAACAGTCGCACAAGTTTCGCGGACTACTGCAATTATTTGTTCGGTTGATTCTGTTGCTAGACTAACTATGGTGTTTGCAATCTGTTCGTAGCTTTTGAGCTTTGAGATAGAACCATTTAAGTTTTGAGATGCTTAAAAAATCTTTAAAAAAAGAAGAGATGCCAAATCTTATTGATGCCATGTTCGAGAGGCCTCTCATCGAACACTGTAGCACTTGGATTTAGCACTATTTCTCCAATGCATATTGACATGAAGATGTGCCGCACTGTTGTCCTGGCGGATTCATTTTGCTGATGTTTTTTCCTGTATTTACGGGTGTGTGTTTTTTTGTGTTTTGTTCCTGCGTACACGTGTTTCTCTACGGGCTCATTTGATGCACTTGTTTTTGTGTTGTTAAAAGTTCCAGAACTGAAAAAGCTAGTAGTCGCTAAGGTGTGGTTGGAGATAGCGCTCAGAGTTTTGAAAGGCAGCAGTTTCGTGGAAGCATACAACCCCAACTCCCCTCGAGTTTCTCGACTTTTTGAGGAGCAACATGATCGCAAAGTCGCTGCTGCATTTAATCGCCACTTGAAGCCATTGTCCTCAGCACACCGTTCGCGGCAAGCGGCGCCACTTTCAGCGCATAAACTACTGGGAAAACTCAGTGATGCTCCCCTCCTGGTACATCTGGCAAAATCCCTTGCAAGGAAGCTGATGCCAAAGTCCAGTAAAGCTTTATTTCAGGTTGACTGAGAAGATTGAGAGAAAGGACAAGGAAATGCATATTCATGTTCCATCATGTTCCATCCATTGTGGTCCAGTGACTAGGACTCAACATGGCCATGATGGAGCTGGCAAATCCCCCCCGCACACCTGGGCACAGACTGCCTTGCATAGTTTGAGCATGCAGAGCAATGCAAGCACTCTTTTAGGCTGGGGGAAGCCGTTTGACACTGTCAGACGTTCTTTATAGACAAACCGTAGCCGCAGCCTTGTTTCAACTTAAAACATGCTGCTATGATGGCTATGATGCCATGATATTTCATGACACATCTACAGTTCCCTGCCAAAAAAACAAAACAAGCCAGCTGTTTTGACTCCATTGAGGCTGGTGGCAAGAAGTCTTTCCAGACTGTTCGCCTGGTATTGGGAGAGGTAGTTGCACAGAGGCTGTACAGAAAGTGGCGATGATTTCTTCAGATCCTTTACTGTGTAGATGCTCAGATCTGAAGGGCAGCGTTGAATTGTGATCTGCATCGATATCAAAGTCTCAGCAGAAAAAGGAGATCTTGACTGGTTCTCCTGTGGCACAGTGACTCCGACTCAACCACTTGCGGCTGGTTCAAAACATCAAATCTCAACAAATGCTCAAGCTGGCAGTCAAGGGAAGTTCTTGCCTCTAAACTTGGCACTTGCTTCTTGCTTGACCTATTTTCCAAATCCGAAACTTCGAGATACCTTGCGAAATTCCTGGCAACAAGCATGCATCTCGTGTTTTATTGAAGTGGTTCAAAACCTGATGTTCTTAAGATAAGACATACAGTGCGCATTTCAAGTTCCATTCAGATCCCAACCGGGGCCAGTGCCAACAAGCTGACACAAAGCTACTTTCCATTACTTTCCTATACTTTCCCTGAATGTTTGGAATATTGGGCATTTCTCCTCGCCTATTCAGATTGCCAGGGCCCAAACAGATTCCGTCTTTGGTGCTGCCAAGGGCAACTCGAAATGGTTCTCCTGCGGCCTTTGAGGTCTGGAATCGTGGTACTTCTTCATGGTGTCGCAGCAGTTTGCACTGAGTATGTGTTTCAGGTTGAAGGCCTGTCCAGGGTTGGATGCCAATCGACATCAATCAACACGTTTCCATTTCAGTGCAAGACTGGTGTTCTGGAGGCTTTGCCTTTGGACTCTTCTATACTTTTGTACAATGTTTCTTGGTGCAATACACTACAAACTACGTGGTTGTGTCATTTTAGAGTAATTTTCTGACTTGTGATGTTGTGTGTGTGTGTAACATTCATCCTCTCATGAATTGCAAATCCCGAGGCTTTACATTTGCGGCCTTGGCACTGGCGAAGTGCCTCGTAGCAGGCTAGGAGCGCCCAGGATGCCAAGGATGTGAGCAGACTCCGGTTGTAACCTGTTTCACTATGTTTCACTATGGATTCTTCTCATGCAGTGTGAATTTGTGAATTTGAACGGTCTGCAGGCAAAATTCAATTGAACTCTTCAATGCTTAGAGGTTCAGGTGTTGCAGGGTCTCAACCTTACACCTGGTGCAATTCAGTGTCATTAATCTTGGGAAGTCAGCATGCTTCGTGCACTGAGTGTAAACTTGACCTTAGCTGCTTAGCTCGCAGCACTCAGACCAAGGCTGTCCATGACAGCAACTTGTTTGCAGATTTTGCAGAATCAGCCAGTCTTGTTTGCACTTCCCGTCACTTCCCTTTCAAAGTATGCTTCCCTGCTTACCATAAAGGTCTCTCATGGTGCGGGTATCCTCTCGTACTTGCATGTGAACTACACAACTGCTATGATCTTCAAAAGCGCGAAGGTTCCAAGTGTGGCCTGTCAGACTTGGGCCAAAGTTGCCACGGCCATGGTTCAGTTGACTACTTGAGATATCTTGAAATATTTTGAAAGATGTTAAACCGTATATTTGCATAAAGTGATTAAACAACCTTATATAAATACTTTCCCAATGCATTGTGGTGAAAATCAAAAAGATTCTGAATGTGATACCAGTAAAACTCTGGAGGGTGAAGCACTGAATCTTCTCTAACTGTGCTGGGCAGTAGACGCGCAATCCAGGTGGTTCTTGTAAATAATCAAAAGAAGAAAATCATAGGCATTGTTCTGTTATAATATGTTGTATAGACAAACTATGACAAAATGAACAAAGTTGTCAGATTCAAACTGACAGAAGGGCAAAATACCATTCTAATGGCTACCAGAGAGGCTTGGTCACAATTTGTGAGGAGGTGTAACTTATTTATAGAAACGATGAAGGATAAGTTTATAGGAACAATAGGCCTACATTTACATTCGATTCATTAGATGATTCCATAAAAGATCAAGGCAAGTAGATAAAACTGGTGCCAGTGTGCAGGTGTGAATATACTGAGGGTGATGGATGGTAGTTAAATATAGATATACATATACAAGTTCTCCCCCTTCATGTCCTACCTTGTACCTTGTACATTACTGAATTCTTTGTGAGAGGCGAGAATTGTGTAATCAAAGTCGGTACTTATGCATCATCATGCATCAGTATTCGCGCTCCACATAGGTGTGGGGCATTTCATGCAGTGTCTAATCTGGACAAAGGCAAAATTGTGATGTTTGCTCTTTGCCAAGCAATTCTTCAGCCAGACCTGACAATATATGTTGTGCCCTGGTTGTGCCTACCTATAATTGTGGCATGTTGAAGGCTTGCTTGTACACCACGTACTGTACTGTCACGATATAGATTATGCCTTTCATGTATTGAAAGCATCGATTAGGTCTGGCTGTTGGCCTAGTATTTCAGCTAGATAACCACCTTTCAATTTTCTTTTTCATCGTAAGGCAAACGGCGACCGCTTTCCAGAGATGTGACCCAAGGTTGTTCTTGGAGGCCGCTGGATAAACAAGAACGAGCGCACATCGCATGAAATGCTTTGGGCGATTTGCATGATGTTCCTTGGCTCGGCTCCGTCGGAGAAGCGTAATACATAGAATCAAATATAATCATATATATAATATAATTATATATATATAATTATATATATACATAGAGCAACGGAAAGCATGAGGAGCACGGAGGAGTAGTCAGACAGACTGGGAACCAACTCCACACAGTCGGACTGGCAGAGCTGCCTAGGACTGGGCTTCTTCTTTTCGGCCTCGGTGATGGTCTGGAATCAGCGCGATTCACCATGTTTGGGTCTCTAGCCTTGACTAAGTCTGCCTGAGGGTATTGCATCTTCAGGCAATTTGCACTGTTCAGGGAAGCCAACGCTGATGCTTTGAAACATAATCTGAATGCAGTTTGGCTTCTTGTGCTTATGCTTTATCACGGAAATTGAACAACTGCCTCGAAGACTGTGCTGGCGGGCACTAAGACTTGTTTGCATCGGCATCAATCTGGCTGGCAGCACTCTCACCGCCAATCTACAACAGAAAGTCTTGCAGTCACCAATTCCATGCTCAGCCACAGCCTCAGCACATTCAGAGATGCAACCAGCGGTTTTGGTATCTTGACTTATTTGACTTGGCTCTGTGTGTTTCCTACACTCTGTGCAGTAAACCTTTATCAAAATCAGGATCTGCACATCAATATCTGCGTTCATCCATTTTGACTTGTTTGTCCTATAGTTTGGAAAACTTTGCTATTGCTATTGCTGCTATTGCTGCACTGGCAAGTCCGAGTTTGTGGATAGGACAAACAAAATAAGAAATGCATTTACAGGAACAAAAGGCAAAGGTTTCCCTTTCTTATTTGTCTCCGCTTCCAAAGAGTTTGCATTTGGGGGCATTCGAATGACTCCACTTTGGCAGTATACTTTGCAAAGGAGAAAGTGCATCGGCGTCCTGCCTACATGAATAATGTATGTGTACATGCTTGCAATATTTCAATTATTCTTCCTCTATGCGAGAGTTTGGAATGAAGCCGGCTCTTGTCTTTGCTGGCACAGCGTCTACAGAAAGACGCGGCCGCTGTGGTCCAGGTGGTCTATTTGATTCTGAGTTGTATCTCATGGACTCATGGCCATTGCCTTCGGGATTGGTCGTTGCAAGAGCTACTGTAGCAGCTACCTCCCAAAAAGTGTTGGCTATCTAAAAACTGAACTGATAGAAGGGTACCAAGCAGATCTACCATCATGCCCATCCGGTAAAGGATTCAATGAACAATAGGAGAGGAATTGGCAGGTACCATATGGAAAACAGATTCAGTCCGATGAGTGAATGCTTTTGTTCTTATAATGTATCGCAGGCATGTACTGAAATCATCTCTTGCTTGTACAACTAGGTTGAAAGCATGATGCTGGTGCAATATGATACTTGGTGGCATCAGGGCACATGGAAAATGCCTGGACGTACGTGGAAGGAGGATGCATATATTATCATACATTCATATTTGATCATACGTGTGAGTCATGAGGCAACGGCATCTGCTGTACTGCTGCTGTACATTGCCAATACTGCAGATGCTTGGCAAAGATGATAGAATGGATTGCATCGTTTGAAACGTTTTTGAAACGTTCCACCGAAAAGAGCGAATGAACTTCTTCATTTCCTTCCTGTTCCTTCCTTCGCCTTTTTGCCTTCAGGAGTTGTCCAGAGCTGTGGAATGGTACCTCAACAATCCATCCGCTTTCAACTACACTATGTTGGACAATTTGCTGACCTATATTGGCCAAAGTCTCAGTTACGTTTGTATATGATTGTATATGTTTGTATTGACAATCTGACAATCTGATTCCAATGATTGAAGGCATTACGCCACGGAACGACCCAAGGGTTCTAAGAGTTCTAAGAGTGTCGAGAAGATCTCGGGTGTGTTTGAGCTGAGGCTTGGAGGCTGTCATGTGCATCACAAAGGAATTTGATGCTACCAGAGCCAATGTTGTTTGCTCGGGGAGAAAAGCGTGACTTGAATGAAAAGGAGATGGAAGATATTGGAAGATGATGAAAGGACATGAACGGTGCACACACTTCGGCCATGTGACAGCATGTTTGGCCCCGGGTTTTTTTCTTATTCGTTTGTGCATTCTGAGGATTACTTTTCTCTTCTCGTATTGGTTTTTCCCGAAGGCTTTTGGCCCCTTCCACGCGCTGCTCGGCGAATCTGCGTGTTACTACGCCGTGTGAAACAGCAAAGTTGTTCAGTGAACATTTGTGAACTCTTTGACTTCTCTTTGAAAATTTCAAGTTTCCAAATGTTTCGAGATATTTTGAGCACTTGAACGAGGCTTGGCTTGCTGTTGACCTTGCTGGGTGGGTGGAGTCTGCAGCGTGTGAAATGGCAAAAAGATGCAAAAAGGATAATAAAAAAAAGGCTTGAAAAGAGATAAACCTAGAGAAACCATAGAGAAATCATCAGAACCTTTTTCTTTCTGAGACTTTGTGTTTGCTCAGGAATTGAGGTGAAAGCAGACAACTGTCCAGCCTGTGCAAAGATATTTGCTGCAAATGTTCATGGCTTGCAGCCTGCTTTCGTAGAGTGAGAGTGTATTGATGTGAGGTAGGTGCAACGCAAAGACAAGTGATCCAGACAGAGACATCCCAACTTAACATAGACGGCTTTTCTCGCCTTTGCACCATTGATTCTCTGTCTACAGCATACAGCCAACAAGCAGTCTATCTTCAATACAGGACCAATACCGCAAATTCAGGCTGAATTTCGGCTGAATCTTGAGTGGTTGCGATGACAGTCACGGAAGGCGGCTTGAGATGGCTGGATATCCTGAGGCCGTTGCGTGTGAAATCTATTGATTTTATAGAATCTGAGCCAGAAAGAATCAGAAGAAGACAATATGAAAGATAGATAAAGATAGAAAGAAAGATATAGAAAGATCAGAAAGACGCAGGATGCGCCGCCACGACCTCTTGCAGCCAACGATTTCGTGGTGGGTGAAAATGTGGAGGCAGTGTGCCTATGCACGAATGGCATCGAAATGAATCGAAATGAATCAAATGGACGTTTCTGATTGATTTTTAGGTGGAATAGAGTTGAATAGAGATCTATAGATTGCAATATATATATATACAATTATACATATATATATATATACACATAGAGTGTGTATATACTGCAGGGCCCCTCAGCTTCCTGCAGAATCGCTACAATGCAGTGCTGTACCACGTAGGTTTGGAGCAATGGCCGCGGAAAGTGGTTGCCAGCAGTGGTGACCAGCTCAAATAATGGGAGTCACCCGAAAAGCGAAAAGATCCAAAAAAGTCGTATCTTCCTGAGGTCTTCCTGAGGTCTTCCTCAAGTCTTCCTGCCTTTACGCGGCCAAGGTTCATGGTGTCTATATCCAAGCCACTACCACTGAGGGCTTCGATGTGCCTCCGGGTTCTGTAACGCTGTCAAGTTTGGAATCGTGGTCCCTTTGGGTCAGCTGATGTAAAGGTGTAGGGAGTGAATGCCGAGTGATGCCGTGTGATGCCGTGTGCTTGCCAGGTGAAAGTCTTGTCAGAGGCTGGTGTCAAGTGGGCAGAAGCCTTGGGCCATTGGGGTGCAACGTGTGAATTTTACGGTGCATTGAAAGGTAGACTCCACCCCCCACCTAGCACCACCTCCAAGGTGCTTGCTGACAGCGTAGCGACAGTGCTACGAAAAGTCAAGGAGGCGACAACTGGCGACAACGTCATCAAAGTATATCAAAGTCAACTTATGGATTGATGAACAGAAGTCAATAGATTTGTTACCAGTAGTACCGCACAAGGCGGTGGCGGAAGTTTCAAAAATAGGAAACCTATAGGAGAAATTGGTTGTTGTGAATCAGGGATGGCAGAGCGAAGCCACTGATGGACTGAAAGGTGCTTGATCTCTCTCACTCTTTCTCTCCCTTTCTCTGGCTATCTACCTACCTACCCATCTATTTTCTATGTATCTATCTATCTGTTGATCTAGCTATCTATCTCTCTCTTTCTCTCTTTCATCTCATTACCTATCTACCTATCTACCTATCGACCTATCTACCTATCTATCTATCTATCTATCGACCTGTCTATCTATCTCTCTCTCTATCTATCTCTCCGTCTATCTATCTATCTCTCTATGTATCTATCTAGCTCTCCATGTATCGATCTTTGCATCGATCGATGTATCTATCTATTTATCTATCTATCTATCTGTCTATCTATCTATCTATGTATCTATGTATCTATGTATCTATCTATCTATCTATCTATCTGTCTATCTGTCTATCTATGTATCTATGTATCTATGTATCTATCTATGTATCTATCTATCTATCTATCTATCTATCTATCTAATCTATCTAATCTATCTAATCTATCTAATCTATCTAATCTATCTATCTATCTATCTATCTATCTATCTAGCTAGCTAGCTATCTATCAATCTATCTATCTATCTATCTCTCCATCTATCGATCTATTGTAGTTGTAGTTGTACTTGTAGTTGTTGTTGTTGTTGTTGTTGTTGCTGTTGCTGTTGTTGTTGTTGCTGTTGTTGTTGTAGCTGTTGTAGTTGTAGTTCTAGATTCTAGTTGTAGTTGTAGTTGTTGTGTAGTTGTTGTAGTTGTAGTTGTAGTTGTAGTTGTTGTTGTTGTTGTTGCTGTTGTCGTCGAAGTTAGGGTAGTTAAGTTGGTGAAGTTACTTAAGTTAGTCAAGTTAGTTAAGTTAATCAGTGTCTACTTTTTCGACATCAGCACGTCAAAAAAGGCTCAAAACCCTCACTTTTTTTACACTTTTGACTTCCAAATGTGCTTCGCGCCACAACGGCGTGCACTTTTTCGACACTTTTTCGACATCTGAACCTCCAAAAGTGGTCCGAGACCGTCAGTTTTAACACTTTTGACTTGAAAATGGGCTTCGCGCCACAACGGCGTGCACTTTTTCGACATCGCAACCTCCAAAAGTGGTCCGAACCCCTGGTGTTTTGTACATTTTGACTTGGAAATGTGCTTCGCGCCACAACGGCGTGCACTTTTTCAACATCTTAACTTCCAAAAGTGGTCCGAGCATGGTGTGTTTTGTACATGTTGACTTGGAAATGTGCTTCGCGCCACAACGGCGTGCACTTTTTCAACATCTTAACTTCCAAAAGTGGTCCGAGCATGGTGTGTTTTGTACATTTTGACTTGGAAATGTGCTTCGCGCCACAACGGCGTGCAACGTTTCATCTCTCATCTGGCCAGCTGGCTCCGCACCCGCCGCTTTAGCGAGCCTACTTTTCAACTCTCCGGAGCCACAAATCATTGGAAAAACACAGTGTTTCGCGACTTTCCTACCTTTTCGCGCATCTGCATCTTCTTTCTTCTGACTCTTTCTCTTCTACTCTTCTCTCTTCTAATCTTTCTCTTCTCTCTGCCTCTGCCCTGCTCTGCTTTTCATCTGTCCATATTGTCGGAAGTTTGACTTCTAAACTTCCTTCGATGATTTGTTGACACTGCGATGTTGCTTGAACGCTTTTTCATTGGCAGTCAGTAGCCAATGGGCAAAACTGTCAAGCTGGCTCTGTGGTCCCTACCAAACAAGTGTTCTTGGAGAAGTGCCACATGGTCAAGAAATCATGTTTGGACAAGTTTGCTTGTTTTCACATGTTTTGACCGAAGCTCTCCCCTGTCACCATTTCTTCTATTGTCTCAGTGGCTTGTTGTCCTCGTGCTCTGACTATCTCTCACTATTTGGCGCTACCATTCCCACTTTTTGTAGGTGAGTGGCCCCAGTGTGGAAGCCAAAGGCGCATGCTGTGAGAGTCCACTGAGTTCACAGAACTCAAAGTTTTGGAGTCAGCATCTTTCAACACACTCGCATTCCTCACATTCACTTAGTCACTGACTTAGTCATCTTAGTCTACATTTTGTGTTTGAATGACCTGAAATGTCTCCTTGCTGCATCCTTTGAGCTTCCAAAAGTTTGGTCTACTTGTTCGAAGGATCTAATGGTGTCAAGGGATCTACTCAATCTACTCCAGCAGCTCTAGCGTGTCTGAGCTTGTGGGCAGAGACGATGCCTTGAAAATCTCAAGACAAAGACCCATGGGCATCTCAGACTCGTCATAGACTGCAGATAGACTTTCAAGGATACAGGAAAATATAGAGGGTAACTGAAATCCAATAAATCTGGATGAATTTGGCCACCTCAGACCTCAAATCCGTCAAACATGATCAGAAAACACTCGGAATTTAATCTAGTTTAACCAAATGTTTATCCAAATTTGACTAATACGTATCCACAAAAACGCGTACCTTTTATTTTACCGCAAAAGGGTCCATTTTTTACATCAGGACTATAAGCAAAGACAAATATCCCATAATATCCATTGTTTTTGCTTCAAACTTTTGGGGTAAGACTTGGTACATCTTGCAACTTATTGCTCTGGTAAGATGCAGGTGCTCAAAGTCCAACAGCCAAACTTTGCCAAGCTCTCAAAACTGGCTTTGTTTGCAGACTGAAAGGTGAACCGATGATGAACCAGTTTTGTTTGGTGAATCTGTTGCCTTCCACATGCTTGAATTTGAGGCAAAAACAATTGCGGCAGGCTTCTGGGTTTTCCACAAGCCCTTCCTCATGAGTCCTTCATTTTGCAGTCTGTGGCTTTTTTTCTGAGTATTCCTGTAGAACCCTGCAGGGCGGTGCAGCCCGGACTCACAAGAGGCTTGGACCAATCAACAAAAATCATTATTTGACCTTGTGCTGGACAGAAAGTCGCAAAAGGATACAAAAGGTAGAGAAGCACAGTTTCCTCAGGCTTCAAATTTCCGTATGTTGCAGCACTGCCGGAAAGGTCTCAAGCCGTATGACACTTGTTGTAAGCGGTGCGCAAAGAGCCCGGGAAGCAACGAACATGACGAGCTGAGCCCTCGGTCATCCTTGCGATGAACTCTTCAGTTCACATTGAGAATTCTGAAGGTCTGAAAACTTCGGCAGACATGCCAGACATGCATTCTACCACACTCAAAGCCGCGTTTTTATGTTTTTTTCACATCTCAGTGTCGACAATTCTTGGATACCTTTGTGACCAAATCAGGCCAGACATTTCAAACGAACCAAGGAACTGCGGGGGCCGGCAGCCAGACAGAAGCCCAAGCCTCCCAAGCAGCAGACCAAGTCCAGAAGCGCCCAAATGAGACTATTCGGCACATCATGAAATTAGGGATGTGCCCAAGAATGCTAAAAAGCTGGTTGATTCATGTTGATTCCATTCAAGTGAACTGAATCGCGATTTTGATATATGGCCAATTTGGTCTCCAGGTCTGGATTTGCAGCGCAGCCTTCGGAATGAGTTAGAGGCGATAATATTTGTGTGATGGTAGTTTTTGGTGTTCAGTGATTTGGTGCACTGAAAATGTTAGCTAGTCATCCTCTCATTAGGGGTACACATGGAAGATGGCTTCTCGTGAAGTGCCACGCTTCTATAGAATATTCTGTTTGGATCTTTTTGGACTGCGGTCAGTTTCCTGAAGGCCATGCTGACCAATCCAAGTGCCCTAGAAGAGACGGTGTGGAAGCAAAGATGAGAGCGACAGGAAAGAGTCAGAGCACTTGAAACACTTGAAGCACTTGACTGTTTGTCCCTAAAGTGCTCATTGCATTGAAATGTGCTTCTGCGTATGCTCGAGGTGAAAGGTGCCTTTGCCAGAGCTGGACAGCCCCTAAATAGGTGAGGGAGACAGAAAAGACTGGAAGAGAATTGAAAGCCAGGCTTTGCCAAGTCCAAGTGGATCACATAGCGGATCTATATTCGGTGTAGTCTCTGTTATTAATATTACATATATATATATAGAATTATATATATATACGATTCTAGTGTCACTATAAGTGGCGGTCGCAGGCTGAGCTGGGACGAGCTTCAATCACCTCTGGAGGTGGGGTCAGATCCGAACACATGGCATAGTATCGCATCACAGCGCATCATTGTATTTCAATTTGATCAAAGAAAGTCTCTCTGCTTCACTTTAGTATTATAAAAGTGTCAGAGAGACTTCCTGAGACTTCACTATTTGGGGTGCCGGGATGCCCATAGCCGCCATAGCCTTTCCGTATTTTGCTTTCTCTTCAGCCGTATTTTTGCTTCGGCAGAGGCTCTTCTGGAGCCCTTCGGTGTTCACTTGGGTGTGATTGGCCTCAGCACCATGGAGAGCAAAGCTGAAGCTCCTGGATGGGGGAAACATGCTACGTCGGCATACTTCAGCTTTGGAATTTCAAAGTGAAGTGAGGAAAAGCGGAAGCAAAAGACTATCTTTTGTGCTGTATTTACTTGCCGCCAGAATTCACGTTCCGTGCTTGAGGTGAAAGAGCAATTTCTTCAGCATTTGTGTCAAATGCACGGACAAGAGGAGGACTTTGGGATATTTTGGGATATCATATTGTCTTCTGTACAAAGCATCAACTATCCCGCAAAAACTTGGCTGCCGGAAATAACGATGTTTCCTGTGGGGCCTCTGGAGGACCGCACAATAGACAAAAGCGGCATCCTTGCGCTTAGCAAGACAGTGCTTCAGGCGCATAAGTTTTGGAATCAGCAGTTTGCTAGGGAGGAGGCGGATAGAGACGGAGAGAGCAAGAGAGAGAGAGAGAGGGAGGGAGGGAGGGAGGGAGGGAGTGAGAGTGAGAGAGAGAGAGAGTCTGTGGCCAAAACTGCAAACTCATGAAACCGTTCCAAAATTTGAAACATAACTCTGCAACTTTCCTAGCAATGTCTTCAGAAAAATCAAGAGGCCTCGAGGGTGAAACAGTCAAAATTATGGAAAGCGAAGCTTTAACTGTCCACATGGCTGTGAACTGCTACACCGTGGAAGCCAGGACCGATATCGCTCTTGGTTCCCTGAGATTCTTCCGGTACGAAAGGGCCTCCGTGTGTGCTTGACATTGAGCGACCTGTCCACAGCACTATCAGACTGAACATTGGCCAAAGTCATCAAAAGTCCCACTGTTTTTGTGGGACTTCACACAGTTCACGCCCGACAAGACCTCTATCCCGATTTCAGTGACGCAGTGACGAGGGTTTGACAGCAAGATGGACAGGTCTAGGTGAAGTAGGGAAGCGTACATGAGTCTCATCGAGCTTGTAGGTCTCAACGGCGAACTTTGTGAAGCAAAACCGTCGTCCTCTGGAGGAGGCAAGACCTCCAACTCCCTGATGTTTGGTCAGTTTAGTCATTTTCATTTTGCTCAAGGATAGGTTGGAGAGGAAGAATTCAGGTACAGAGCCCGACACTTTGCGTCCATGGCTTTCATTTTGCATTTGCTGCAGTGCTACACGATGGGCAAAAAGCTTGGCCTCCGCCTCAACCTTTCACTGGCGTTAGGGTCCCTTGCAAGCCATCAGTCAACTTGATACATGTAGATAAATAAGGAAGCAGATTAGATGATTTAGATAGATCGATTGCATGGGGGATTAGAGGTTAGAGGTTAGAGGTTAGAGGTTAGATTAGATAGTTTAGAATAGCGTTGATAGGTCGGATAGATTAGATAGCTGGGATAGATAGGATAGATAGAATAGGTAAATACTAGTAGGAAGGATTAATAGGATAGATGGATAGATGCTAGTAGGACGGATAGGAAGGATAGGAAGGATAGGAAGGATTAGAGTAGTTTAGATTAGATTAGGTGTAGATGATGATAGATAAGGATAGAAAAGGATAGATCATGACAGGTGATGCTAGATGATGCTAGATGATGCTAGATGATGATAGATGATGATAGATGATGATAGATGATGATAGATAAGCGAGGGACTGTAACATCCATAAACAGGTATGCATATATATACATATAGTGTACTGTATACATATATATATATGGTTGTATATGTACATATGAATGTAATTGCGCATGTCCTCAAAGTTGCATTGGACATTTGAATATAGTTTCGGGCGGCAGCGGGCAAATTAATAAGGTGAAGGTAGCTTCGGGACAGTCTACGAAGTGGATCACAAGGCGGGCCCCAAAGAGTGGAATTGACCAGCCATGAGTGGTTCCTTAGACGCGGTTTTCCATGGTTTACATTGAGTTTTTAAGAAACGTGCCAACGGATATGGCAAGACATAACAGGTATGGCTAGCATGGAGTATCCATGAGATTCCATGAGATTCCATGAGTATCCTCTCTACTTTTGATGCCTTGTTTTTTTTTCCTTGCCCGTCGACCTTGCAGCTCTCTGGAGAACGCCGAGTTTGCAAGAAGATCTGGAAGACAAAGCCACTCAACTGTTCGTAGTTTTTTCGGTATTTTTCCGAGTGTTTGTCGTACTGCCACATGTCCAGTCAACTGGCAAATTTGGTGAGTGTTGTATTTTCTGAGGTCAGATATGACGAGTCAACAGATTCTCCAAGAAATTGGAAATATGGCTATGCTTGACCATCCGAATGCGGGCAGCTCACAGGATGGGGGGATGGGGTGTCAGATGACACAATCCAAAGAGCAAGGGAGTTTATTTTGATTCGAAGACCATGCACATGCTGATGAGGTCATCAAAGTCTTTGAGTACTTCGACGAACCTAATTTTGTACAGTCCCTAGTAGTTCTGCTCTCCTCGAAGAGTGTGTTGCTGTTTCGCTCCCAACCGTGCCTTCAGTGTTTTCTCAAATGCTCATAGCTGCTACAAGTCCACAAGACTTGGACAGAAAGATTGTAATGCACTCAGGGAGCCTCTTTGTGCGAGGGGTAGTCGAGCTAGTCTGTCAAACTTTGTGCAAGGTGAGCCAGATTATGGAGCCATGTTATGGCGGCGAGCTCCAAGACAAGGCAGCCATGAGCGATTCCAAAAACAAAAAATGAGAAGAAATTTTGGAACAGCAATGAACAGTAGGATTCCTATGGATTCCTCACTGCTTGTTGTTCTTGATGTACCAGATCAGGGGTTCAAGTAGTACCACGTGTTTTCTCAGCAAGTTGGATTTTGCCACCAAGACACTAAGATATTTCGAATATGTTGGGAAAGAGTCTTTTTCATCTGCCTGTGAAACTGAGACTAGCGCTGGCACTCCAGCATACGTGGGAGAGCGAAACCATGTTTCTCTCATGACCCTTTTTGTAGACATTGGCAGGTGAATGTACTGAGAAAGACTGGCAAGGTGCCAACGACACTGCATTGTGGAGTTCCTTGATTTGGGCTTTGTCCAGCTGGTTCTTTTCATATCTTTTCATATCCAATGACGGTTTGCTGTTTCTTGACAGATTTCTAAGTTTTGCAGGCCCCATACGATGAAGCATTCGTGTGTGATGTCATGAAGCAAACACTTCGGGACACTCAGCTGAGCCAAAAGAAGTGGATAAGTGGCACATAGTGACACAGCTGTTTTGGCACGGCTTTTTTGATGACAAAAGGCTGCCAAAAAGGCTACCACTTTAGTGCTTCAGAGCTGGATTCAGTTTTATTTTGGGCATGGCTTGATTGGTGCATGTAGCATATGTAGCTGATTGTAGCTGTACATCTGTATATGCGAGTCCCTCTGACGGAGCTCAAGGCATTGGCCTTCATGCACAAGAAGCCCTTCTTGCACAAGGACATTTCAGAATTGTTCGGTGCCCCGTCCCCGGCCTTTCCCGGACTTGGTGCGAAGGACTTGAAGCCCCAAAACATCATGCTGGTGGATCAGGCCGCTGGCTCAAATATCTTGCTACTGTAACTCAAAGTTGCCATATTTTGATTTCTTCTGCGGCTTTGCTGGGTCTTGAACTAATCCAGCTTTCCAATCCAACACCAGGGCAGGGGACGAAAAACAATGTGTGATTTATGGCAATTTATTGCATGGTAGTTTATTCCTAACTTGAGACAGAGTTTTTTCCTTTGATCTTTTTGCGCACATCAATCTCTGCGCAATGACGAAGCTGTTTGCGTTTCGCGCAAACAGCTACAGTCTACAGTATATATTTACAGCTGCAAACAATGTTCTAGGGATTTCTAGGGTTTCTGGGTGCAAGATTCGCAGGGTTCAGAGGTTCCAAGGCTTCCAGATTTCGAGGGTGCCTAGCTTCAAGGGTTGCAGCATAGCTTGTATCCAGTTTCAACAGCTTCAGGGTTCCAAGATTCCACGGTTCCGGCGGTTCCGGGATTTATGTGTCCAAGCTTCCAATAGCTTCCATTAGCTTCCGTGCTTTCAAGGTTCCAGGGTTATCCAGGGTTATTCAGGGTTCCAGGCAAGCCACCTAGTTTGATGCGACATGGAGACTGAACTGTAAAATACTGTAAACCTGTAAACCTGTTCGGACCCTGTTGGGATAGTCGAAAATGTCGAAAAAACAAACGTTTGGTTCTAAAGTCTGTCGAGAAACACCTGATTCCCTGCCAACGGCAGTGCTTGTTGGATTTCAATCGCTGGCTCTTCATGTAGGACGAGTGTTGCCGAGCCAAAAAACGAATTCCACTTCCAATGCGCCAGAGACAGCCACCAAAGGCATCCCAACGCTGTTGTGTGATCTAACCCCGACTATATAACTCTATATACATATATGTACAGATACATCATTCAGTGATTGCCCATTCACCACGTGATTACATAATGGACCAGACCCATCGGCCCCATCAAACAACTTGTTGCCGGAACTAGGCATTATATACAAGAGATAAAATCCACCAGCCCTATCAAAAATGTGATCTCAGCAAAGGGTCGCCAAATCAGATCTGAATTCTTACATTCCGGCCGTGCCATATATGCCAACCAAGAGGGGCATATAGACAGTGACAACATCCATGTTTGCATAAGATCCAACACATTTGACCATTTAGTGCAGGAAGCATGGCATTGTGTAACAGCACATCCAAGGACAGTTCTTCCATCAAAGTCATTGATTTTGGACTTGCAGAGCTCTTCAACCCCCAACAAAAGCCAGGCACCCAGCTGCAAAGACTCCTGCAACCTTGCTGTGGCTACTATAGATTCTGGAAGGAACATTTTATCAACTGTTATCAAGTCATATTGAAATATATTAAATCGTTCGTCATCAGCCAATTGTGTTTTGACTGCAATTCAAGAACTCCTGCTGTCTCAATCTTGCCAGCATGGCAGACCAATGCCAGAAGATCCATTCAATTTTGTGCCTACCGTTGACCAGCCTGTTTTGAGGTTTGCCAACTTTATTGGTGGTACACGCTTGTACATGGCCCCGGAAGCCACACTCTAAGCCTGCCAAAGAAGCTGAGGACACGGTGGAATTACGTGGAATTTATCTTTGCACATTTTCAAACATCCAGTCCTTCAGCGACCAACAATGGCATTGTGGTGAATTTAGCGCAGTCATCGGCAGTGCTCAGGTTTTTCGACAGCAAATGACCGTGAAGACAGACATTTGGAGCGCAATAGCCTTGGCATAAGACGTTGATGCAATTCTGTCTTCAGATTCTGTCCTTCGCCCTGTTAAATAATTAAACACAAATGGTCCTGGTAGACCAGGCGGGAGTGATCTTGTACAACTTGATGACGGGAGACTTTCCGTTCCTTGCCCAGTGGTTTCGACCTCAATTCTGCAAGTTTCAAATTTGGAAGGGGTAAAATGGTAAAACAGGATCGATTTCTTTGATATGACTTGATATCCATATTGTTTGAGGCCACCACCCAAAGGCAAAGATGAAGCATGGCCGGGGGCCTGAAAATTGGATCCCAGCGGCATCTATCTCGAGATGCGATTGGATCAACCTTTTCTTGAGTTCCCGGATTTTGCATTCTATCTTTCTCCTCGCTAAGGTGGGAAGAACAAACCGTTCTGAAGATCAAGAATGAGCAACCTGTGAGGCTTCACCACGACCTCATACACTTGTGTGTCATTGTTGAATTTACACATGTTGGCAACAGAGTCGGTGTCAGCAGAATGAATGCAAACCCCACAACCAGGCTGCAACAGACCGTTGAACAGCCTCATTAGTGACTTCCCGTAGTGACTTCCCGGCCTTGCTAGGAATCCACTGCTCAATAAGTGGTCGCCTCAATGTTGAGACCTCAGAGATCTTCAGCAGGTGCTTCGTTTCTATCCGCAACCAGCACTGTAAAATCTGTAAAGTTTCGTGAAGCTCTAACACTGCCGACAGAATCATGGCATGCTGCCACTGCGAATTGAATGTCAAGCCCACAATGGGCTGGGTGGATTTTTGAAAAGCAAGAGAGAAGTCAGTACTAGCAACTACTACAGGACTGTCAAAATTTCAAAACCAAATGCGCCAACATTTGACAACCCACAGAAAGACTAGAATTGCTGAACTCCTGACCTGTACGCGGAGCCATGGTATTTGAGAGCCCAGCCACCGTCAGAACTGTTTCAAGAGGCCGAGAGCCAGGCGATGCCTACTACACACGAGCCACGGCGACTGTGAGTATAATGACCACAATGACCATGAACCGATAGGATCTGATAGGATCAATCGCATCGTTTTGCACACCAGTGCTACCTCTGCTCAAAAATTCAGAGGGGATCAAGGGGATCAAGGGGATCCAATAGATTTTCAGAACCGCCCTATGAGTGCACTCTTGCAATACAACTGCAATAGGTTTTCAACACTATTCAAGATTTCTCAGAGATTTGACTGCCTGAACAGATGGCTTAGTGCATGTTCCAAATTAGACCACTGAACCTGTTTTACATTTTTACTTCATGATTACTCCTCATTTTGTTGACGGGTACCTTGCAAGCTCGAGACTACCAGTACCGCAGCTGAAACCTTGAAAGGGTAATTAATGGAAAAACAAGATGCAGCCCACGAACCCGAATGCTCACACGTATGTTAATTGTACAGATGTCGAAGCACATGGATATGCAGTCACGGAGAACACTTTTGTGAAACAGTTTATTTGAACAGTCTTGTATATTTTTCCCCTGTTACCATACCAGTGCACCGTAGACTGTGGAGCATGGAAGAAAGTGGCGTGCTAAGTGTGGAGTGTGGAGTGCAAAGTGTCAACTGCAAAGCCCGGAGTGTAAAGTGTGGAGTGTAGAGTGTGGAGTGTGAAGTGTAGAGTGTAAAGTGTCAAGTGTAAAGCGTCGAGTGTAGAGTGTGCAGTGTAAAGTGTGGAGTGTAGAGTGTGGAGTGTAAAGTGTAGAGTGTGGAGTGTAAAGTGTGGAGTGCAAAGTGTGGAGCGTAGAGTGTACAGTGTGGAGTGTGGAGTGTAAAGTGTAGAGTGTAGAGTGTAGAATGTGGAGTGTGGAGTGTACAGTGTAGAGTGTGGAGTGTGAAGTGTGGAGTGTAAAGTGTAAAGTGAGGGGTGTAGAGTGTGGAGTGTAAAGTGTGCGGTGTAAAGTGCGGAGTGTAAAGTGTAGAGTGTGGAGTGTACAGTGTGGAGTGTAAAGTGTGGAGTGTGGAGTGTAAAGTGTGGAGTGTAAAGTGGAGAGTGGGGAGTGTCGTGTGTAGAGTGTGGTGTGTAAAGTGTAAAGTGTCAAGTGTAAAGCGTGGAGTGTGGAGTGTAAAGTGTGGAGTGTGGAGGGTAGAGTGTGGAGTGTAGAGTGTAAAGTGTGAAGTATGGAGTGTAAAGTGTGAAGTCTGGAGTCTAAAGTGTAGAGTGTGGAGTGTAGAGTGTGGAGGGCAAAGTGTGGAGTGTAAAGTGTGGAGTGTGGAGGGTAGAGTGTGGAGTGTAGAGTGTAAAGTGTGAAGTATGGAGTGTAAAGTGTGGAGTCTGGAGTCTAAAGTGTAGAGTGTGGAGTGTGGAGTGTGGAGGGCAAAGTGTGGAGTGTAAAGTGTGGAGTGTAAACTGTAGAGGCTGGAGTGTAGAGTGTAAAGTCTAGAGTGTAAAGTGCAGAGTCTGGAGTGTAGAGTGTAAAGCGTGGAATGCATGAAGTGTAAAGGGTGGACTGTGGAGTGTGGAGTGTAGAGCACGCACGTCTGAAGTGAATGACGACAGAGATCTCCAAAATCTTGCGCCTGCCACGAAAACTGCAACGCATCTTGTGAAAACCTCGCAAAAGTACTGCGCTTGCCACACAAAACGACTTTCGACACGTTATCAAACAGGTTGTAATGTCACAAAGCGCCGCGCCTGCCACGGAAAACGACATGACAGACAGCCTGCTTGGAAACCTTCTAAAAGGAGAGGTTTTGCAGCTTCCCCGCATAGACACGGCGAGGCCACAGTCAAACCAGAGACTCGAGACGAGACACGTGGGAGCATCAAAACGAGCATTTCGCGCGAGACTTCCTCCAATTTTCACACTTTGTAGCTTCAAAATCGACGTTTTCTTACGAGTTTTCTTATGAAGCTCCAAAATTGCTACCTTAAAATCTATGTTTCGTGCAAGGCTTCCGTCAATTTTCAGCACATCTCACAAAATGCCACGCCTGTCACGGAATTTGCACCTTGTCGCCACTTGACGCAGCCCTGACAACGCGATTCGCAAAAAACACGCAACACGACACGTCTAAAGTGCTGCGGCTGCCACGCAAAATGATGATGGATGCGTCCAAAGTGCTGCGCCTGCCACGAAAACTGCAACGCATCTTCTGAAAACGTCGCAAAAGTATTGCTCCTGCCGCACAAAAAGACTTTCGACACGTTACAAAACACGTCTGAATGTCACGAAGTGCCACGCCTGCCACGCGAAACGAAGCAACGCGACATGCGCAACCTCCAAAAGTGACCCCTTTTGCAGAACTTACCATAGGCAGCGAACAGTTGCGGATGGTGGCGCGCACAAACGCAACGTCGAGCGAACACACCCTCAACCCCCAGACCCCCAGAGTGAAACGGGAACCCTTGCTACGCATTCGGGAAAAGACCTCGAAAAAACAAAACAATCCAAAAACAATTCTCAGAGACTCTTGTCTGGGACTGCACAACATTCCCACAGATTACCATGTACAAGTGTTCAAAGTTGCCCTATTCTTTTTAAAAGTGCACTATTCTTTCGGCAAAAGTAGATGTCCTTGCTAAAAATGCATCTTTCTTGCAAAGAAGCAGCATTGATTAAAACGCACAGCAAATTTTTCAAGACTGCAGTATATATAGTCTAGTGCGCCTATTGTCATTGAAGAATATACAATATTCCTGCAAAATATTCAGCATGCCTTTTTCATATGCAGTAGTTCATTCTGAAAGTGCAGTAGCTCTCCAAAAGCTACAGTTTCCATTTAAACTGCGCAGTATTCCTTTGAACTGTTTTTTCCCCTTCGAAGACGTGCAGTCTTCTCTGACAGCATGTTCATTTTAAGGTGCTGTATTCTTTGAGACACACGTCGGCTTCTGACGGGTCCTTTCAAGAAAGCAGGTTTTAAGAAGTAGGAGTGCTTTCAAACACGGCACATGCTTTAGGTCAGTATACTGTTTAAGCATGTTTAAGCAGTATTCGTGTAAAAAATGGTGTATGCCCTGAAAGCATGCAGCACTTGGTTCAAAGATAAAGCATTCCACAAAGATTTTTTCTTGAAGGAAGAAACATTTCCGCATAATATATACTCTTGTTTTAGGTGTAAACGCCAGTAAGAGGCCATGCTCCTGTTTATATTTTGGGGTGGGGGGCTGGGGGGTGGGGGAGGTAATAAGAATCTTTTTGACTTCAACTACATGGTACGTTCTCTTGCACTTCCGGATGTTGTGACGTTCTCTTGCACTTCAACACATAAGTCATGCTACGCTGCTGGACGTTCTCTTGCACTTCCACAAATACGTCATGCATCGTCATGCTACGCTGCTGGACGTTCCCTTGCCAAAAAAGGAACTTTTCCACGAAGCTCTCAGGACACAAAATTACAGTTTTGTTGTGGTAAAACACTAGATTTTCCAATTTTGAGGCGACCGTTCCATGGAATTTTAATGGAAATTTGTTGAAGAAAATGAACATGTGCAAATTACTACGGTTTCGGACAATTCCACCATCATCCTGTGATTGTCTGATGTCATAACCGACACGGCTTCTTACAGGCGTTGAAACCTTGTTTTAAACAGAAAATCCATCTCTACTTTTTGTATACATTACATATTAATACATATTATATATATATTCTTTGATAAAGATTGCATTCCATGAAATATATGGTGGTTTCCGTTAGAGACGTAGTTGTGAATTTCATGTATTGTAATGAAATTTTGAAAAAAGGCATTGCAATCTCTAGATTTTTTGCTAGATCCGACAAAGCCGTAGTGTTTCTTCCTGATTCCTTTCAAACGAAAAATTTCAAAGACATTCTGGGCTGGAAGAGGGGCAGTAGATGATGACCAACATTTTCAGATAGGTCGCGCATGCTACAGAACCAACCACTGGGACATCAGATTGATCAATGGGATCAATTCTGCTTCACCCCCTGCATGTCTAAATTAAGCCCTACTGTTTTTACTTTCAATCTGCAGCGATATGGTGCGATAAACATGGGTTTTGCATGACTTTGCTCTGTGTGATGTGGCCCTGCTTTGGAGCATTTGACGCAAGGAGTGGATGCACAAGAACCTCGTGATCAGCTAGACGATTGTGAGCAGTGCGGAGAAGGCGATTGTGGCGGCTTGGATGCAGCATCCTGATGGCAACCTCCATCCTTGAAGATCCCTGAAACACAAGTTTTCTTTTTATCTCCTTGAGTTCCCATGCGGCACATGTTTGTTTAGTTTCTAGCTTCTGCCTCTAAGGATTCTCCACTGTCCAGCGGGAGAAATGGGTACATGTTGGTGCTGGTCAGGGCAGCTACTCAAAGACCGGTCCTCATGTCATGTCAGCTGCCATCTGCTGTCAGGTTTACAGATCTCATTTTTGTTGATGTTGCAGATGTTGCAGGCAAGTTCTGCAGGACAGTTTTAACCTTTGGAATGCAGATTGAGCATCCGTGAAACCAGCTGCGAAGCTTCTAGTCCCCCAAATCAGATCCGAATGAGGACCAACCAGATGCTGTTTGTCGGGGAGAGGCATGGGGCCTACGAGAAAGAACATGTCGTCCATCACAAGTGCCTGAAGCTGCAAAGTAGTTGGACTCTCCACCTGAAGCAAGGCTATTTGCACAGCTTGGGAGAGCAAGAATCAGATAATGCAGGCAGCATGGGTTTAGTTTAATCCAGTCAAGCTAAGAAAGCGACATCCAAATTGTACAAGGAGTTTTGGCCTGCTTGCACAAAGGATCATTCTCTGTACAGGCCAAAATAATTCACTGCCATGTGCTTGTGGGTCATTTGCAGAGGGCTTTGTGGTAGTAGAAAAGTGTCTAGAGGAAAGATAAGGGTTGTTATCAGGGACCTCAAACAGAATGTACAGCCCATACACCTCTTTGCGGCCTATTCCATTATGATCCTTCCAGAGGTCACTGAATGAACTCTAGTGTTCGCCTTACTATTTGCTTTCCTTCTAAGCAGTGCTCTCTGTATCTCAGTCTTAGTCTTTGTTTCCTTAAGTGGGTTTCGCAGGAAATGGTTGGTCAAGATGGCTAGCAGACTTACAAACTACACTGACACTCCAAAGAAACATGACAGGATCAGAAGGACCAGATGCATTCTATGAAGATCTATGAAGATGATTGAAGATCCAGGAAGTAGTTCATGGGTTAAGTCTGGGCACTGTCGTAGAATGTAGAACATATAAATGTGCATGATTCTGTATATATATATATGTATATATATGTATATGGGAATATAGCTTTCCAGTCGCATGGTGTGACATCAGTTGATACGACACAATCTGCGAGGTTATATTTGTTGCGGAGGTCATTATGTTGACACCCAACCAACAGTATCGTTTTTCCATGTGCTCCGAACATTTGAAAAATCGATAAATGTATGAAGCTTTCATACTCATCATACTCGTAATTTATAAGAAGCTTTTGACCTGGATGGATGGTGATCTTTTGCCAGCTCACAGTCACAGAGGCAAATTTAGCCCCACAGTAGGAAAGAGCAATAGTGACTTAGTGCAGGAAAACATGTTCATTTATGATATTCATGAGAAATTGACGCCCCTTGGTAAGAAACAGCCTTTTGTCCTTTTTTGATTTCTTTGGGGAAGAAGTCTGTCGGAAAAGTTGTCATTAAATCAATTTGCAAAGGAGACATCGGGCAACCAAGGTGCCTGTACAGTGGCAGCACATCGAAGAAGCAATGGCTATTTAACATTATTCAACTATTTGCTTAATTCTTATGTCTAATTATTTTGTGCTTTGAAATACTATAGCCATCCCTTCTCCCTACAATCATTTACAATCTTTTCGACCACTGCCAATCATTCAGGGGCTCAGCAGCCTACCCCTTTGCCCTTGGGCTGGATTCTGTCTTGCAAGCACCAATCTTTCAAAAATTGAATGAAGGGATTCATGTGATGCTTCATGGTCAGAAATCAAAAGTGCAATCCAAGGTACGGAGGTTGTTCCTGCGGCAACGTCTTTTGTATGTTGTTGGGTATGATTTTGACTGTACTTGCGGGATATGGCATTGGTCTACTGCTCAAGAACTACTTTGTCACGGAGCAGAGTTCAATGAGGACCAAGGGCAAAAAGGATGGGAATTGTCCTTTTCACTCTGCCCCTCCAACACCACCTGCCAATGCTCAAGTATCAAGATATATCAGGCATTTCATATTTATCGCTGCGCTTGGACTCGCATTGGTCCTCTTTGGTCTCTGGTGCTAAAAGAGAACTGATTTCGCAGCGCTGCTTTTGTTTTACCTTTCCTCATAGCCAGAGCCAGTTAAGATGATGTTAAAAGGACTCTGACAATGCAAGGACTCTAAAATTTAGTCCTTTTGACAGCGGTGCTCATTCTGCGGGCAAAACCCATCATGTACACCCAGCTTCGGGCTACTGGAGTCATGCATCCACGGCCACATCCTTTGACTGTGCCCTACTCAGTCGAACAGTCAGACTTTCAAGTGCTTGGGAATAAGTATGTGTATGTTATACATATGTGTACGTATGCTTGGCCCTATTCCCTAGGCAACGTGGAAAAGGAAAGCTGGGATCTCAATTGGTCGGAGGAGAAGAAGGCCAATAGTCATGAGTTTCTGCAGCCTTTTCCAAAGAGTTGTCCTGTTCAAAACATCAAAGGTCGAGCAGCTTGTGCATTGCGATCCGTCTTCGCCACCAGAAGTCTGTGTTTTCGATTCTGCCCTTGAAATTGCACAACCGCTCAAATGACAGGCGTATTGCTGCGCCCAGACCAAGCAAGAAGGCTGCTCTTCAGATCCCTTTGATTGTGAGTTGCAAAAAGACAGCTACAAGACAGCATGGACATCAAAGAAGCTCCTTGGTTGATGCAGGGTCCTACGCCGGCAGCCAGCTCATAGCCCAAAATATTAATTAAGTAGGTTTTAAGACGTTTAACAGCGTTCATGCCGTGTTTTAGCATGTTTCAGGAATGCATTTAACCAATGATCATATGGTGTCAAAACAAATGATTGAACAAAGGCCCAAAGTGAGCACATTGTTGTAGGGCTCGGATTAATAGCCCCCCGCCTTTCAAGGAAGGGGAGTGAATAGCTTTGCCCAACAAATCGCCTGATGAAAACGAATACATAGTTGCAAAAGAACGTGAGAACAAATATTGCCGAACAGCAAAAAGAAACATTACCACCAAAGTTGGCTTACTTTATCTATGGCGTAGATTTGGGGTTGTAATTATTACCGCTGGCGACAATTGCTTTCTTTGTTCGGATTGGATTTGTTAAGCCCAGGTTCAGCCTAAAAGTGGAAGCATGAAGGCACGTTTCCGCTCCTCTGAGGACTGCTTATTGCTGCGACAAGCATGGTGTTGCGTGTGATCATGCTGCCTTGGGCTGTGACCGGCTTTGTAGCATTTTTGGTCAGAAGCTTGGCAGGACACAATAGATAATATGCGTTTTGTACTTATCTCATTCAAGGTTTGTCTTGAATGTGCAGGGCCAAAAGAAATCTTAAACCAGCACATCGTAATGGGAGAAGAGCCAGGCTGACATGAAACTCATCTATGGGTCCATGGGTCAACCCTGAGGCTTCGTTGTTGAGGTCATCGTTCAAAGTCAGACGCAAAGTATACAAAGAGGACTTCACCAAATTTTGACAAGCCAAGGACGGCGTCTTGTAAAGATCGCGCGATGCATGCTTTCTCAAAGGTGCGCGGACTGTTTACGGGTCTTGAGACTTCCCCTTAGCTGCAATCGAGCCAAGTGAAGAAAAATGGTGTCAGGGACGCGACCAATTGATGACTCAAGAACACACGCACACACACTGACTGGTATGCTTCAATAAGCATGCTTTCCTACGATGTTGTTGTGAGGTTGTAGCACGAAAAGCCACTGATAGGCAGTCAGATGGCGCTGTGTGGCAGGTGGGAAGCTGTGCAAAAGCACACAAGGAAGTGCTAGATCTATGCTGGGTGTGCAATGCTTGCCCTCTAAACGGGCTGCAATGTCATAAGGAAGGGGAAGAGAAAGTGGAGGAGGCAATACAGGATGACCACGCGAAAGGGCCAAGACTACCATGTGAAAGGCCTCTTGAGGATGGATTTATGTGGAAGTTTGAGAGCTCAGGACGTGAGTGGAAGCAGCCTGCCCAAAACTCATGACATGGGAGGGTTCAAATTTCACTATTGCCTTTGGAATTCAAGTTGGAGCCAGTAAGCTCTGAGTGCTTTCAAGGATCCAAGGTGTCCGTGTGACCTACCAAGGGTTTTTGGCGTTTCTTTCGCTGTGTCTCTCAGAATCTCAAGCCCCCATCAAACCTGCTCAGTCCTAGGCAGCATCGGATACCTGATGGAGTTCACAAGAACCCCGCAGGGCGTGGCTTCATGTGGCTACAGGACGGTTCTACGTGGAAGCAAGTTGCTGGAAACGTTATATGCGAGCGAACTCCTGTTGTTGTAGGGACATGTAAGGCGTGGATCACGCAGGTTTGATCACGCAGGTTTGATGCAGTCGATTTGCTAGATTGGTGCAGTTCAAACAGGCTCTGGAAAGGTAAAGCCACAGGTTGAGCTGCGGTTGGGAGGGCCAGGAACCCTTAGAGTCTTGACGGCTTTGATACGGAAGCCACAAACTCTGCAACTTCCCAGGTTATCCTTTGTGAGTTTCCGTTTCTTCATGTTGCCCAGGTTTGTATTCCAAATGCAACTTCTCTGGATATGCCAAAAACACCTGTGGGGGATGGCTTCATTTGGCATCGACGGTCCGATCTCAAAGGAGAGAGCAGCGGAAGGTATTTGGAGTGAGACAAGATTTGCTGGCATCTTTTTTTAAATCTGCTCAGTGATTCCTAAAAGTTCTTCCTGCTCACAGTGGGAAATGCCTTTTTTGGGAGTCACAGATTCCATTGCAGTTGCAGGACCCATTTGGGAACAAATTCCTGCGCAAATGCGCCATGGTGGTATTGGAGAAATTCCACGGATACCAGCAACTTGACTTGTGCAGTTTGTGCTGCCACTTGCCCTGGTTCGATCTGGTTCGTTACAGCTGTGTATTCTTGAGGCTGGTCCTGGGCTGCAGTGGAAGCACACGATATACGGATGGACCCAGGTGATTCTGGCTGGGGATACCGGAACGGGAGTTTGATTTTTTACTGGCCGTGAAATCGATGCTATCAAAAATGGGGAAAGTGCCTGAATGTGCGTCAAAGTCCACATTTCTTTACACTCTTGCATACATATGTATTCCATGGCTGAGGCAGCGCCGACTTGTGAACTAGGTGCATTCTTGGGGCTGTCTTGAAAACGCACAGCTTCCAGGAGGAACTGCCAAAAGAGATGCAGAATCCTTCGCGTCCATGCAATACTCGGGCTGGTCCTGGTATGCGGTGGGTTTTCCAAGAGAGACACGGCAAAGTGGCTTGGCTGAAATACTGTATCAATACAGCGTTCCTGCATGCCGCCTTGTAGACTGCTAGATCCAGCCAAGAGGGTAAGCGGGTAAGCCGGTAAGCCAAGAACCGGTCAAGACATTTCAGGTCTGGGAACAGCTCCTCATCCCTGGATGGATCGCAAAGGAGGTCAACCCGCAACCTGCTGTGCCGCCTGGAAGAGGCCAGCAATCTGAAGTGGCAGCTTCAAGATAAGACAATAAACATCAATAAACGATCAATTGAAAAGGCCAGTTCATCCAAGATCATCCCGTCAATGCCAAAGCAAAACACCTTATAGTCAATATAATAGATCTCAAAATTACCACACGTCTCAATTTCAAAAGGTTTGCTCTAGCAGAAAACCAGCAAACGCAAGATGAACCATGCTTTTGAGAAAGCCATCACATCCACAACTCTTCACCTGGTAGCAGGCTTCATGTGGAGCTTTGAGCCACAAGACTACGGCTGGACACAGATTTGCATCCCAGGACTGACGCAGTTGCTGCATGCGCAACATGCAAAAACAATGTCGTGGAAGGTTCCTGATGCTAGTCTGCCTACTTGGCAGCTTAGGAGTAGTTTGTGTTGACGAATTGGGCCAAGTACATGCCAAGCATGAGCAGTTCGAAAGAAAAGGACCTCAGCATGTTAAAAGATGTGCACCTACTGAACAAGCTGCAATCCCTCGGTTCAGAGAATTGTAAGCAAGTCATTAAAAAAAGATCAAACTGTGTGCAAGTATCCATGCTTCAGGCTGGTCAGATGGTCAGCCAGAACCCCCAAGCATGGATGCTGGCACTGGGTTTATGTGGCTTCAGCAGGCTGGATGTACAAAGAATCAGAAGTTGGCACCCGGCCACGTGCATGATGCAGATGAGAGATCAGACTATATAATATGGCTATGGGCAAGGGAGATCAGGTCGGATAAGGCAAAGTTGACCCTTTTTGCACATCATTACAGAATAAAATTCTAACCGTAAGGACAATTGATAAGACCCTCCAAATGTGACGCAAGAAACACTCATGAGCCACCAAGGCGGCGACAGATTTCGGGATTGAGATTTGTGTAGCAGCTTTTGAAACAGTTTTCTTGATGTTTCTTGACCAGCCCACCAATATGTAGAAGATGCCCGAAGAGTGCCGCCCTTGACCACCTCAATGCTAGGTTGTATCACCGTGAGTTGTTACTACTTGAGCGCGTTGTCGCTGATTCAGGGTGGCGCCTGGCATCAAGTTCCTGTTCCTCGGGGACTGCGCGGTTTATGTGCAGATCAGCCTGCGAAGCACTTCCTGCCTGCAGGTGCCCAATGATGTTAAGTTTGATGATTTTGCCGTGCCAAAAGAGCTCGGACTATTGGGGGTGTAATGTTCCAAGGGACGGAAGACCTTAAAGAAAGGAAGGCCTACAATGAGAGTGCTTGAGCAATTGAGTAAATGAGTGAGCAATTCGATAAGTCGTTGGTTGATTTCTTGCGTGAAGATGGAGTCCGTGTCATCCAGGGATCTCTGAGGTCTGTAACGTACTCTGAGGCTAGGGAATGTGGTTACCAAACTGTACAACAGCATGCAGGGATGTACAAAATCACGCGACAGTGCATGACAAGACACTACGCATACATACAACGTGGAAAAAGGATGTTTAGGAGAGAAATTTCCGTCGTGCCGACATTCAAAGAGAAAGGAACAGTTGAGAAGAGCTGAGCGGAGCTGAGAAGAGGTGAGAAGAGCTGAGAAGAGCTGTCAAGAGCTGAGATGAGAAGAGCTGTCAAGAGCTGAGATGAGAAGAGCTGAGAGAAGAGTTGAGATGAGAAGAGCTGAGAAGAGATTCGAGGAGATGAGATGAGATGAGAAGAGGAGAAAAGAGGGTCCATGATAAGGACATTTCAAGAAGAAAGAAACTAATAGCAATAGATGTCAAGAGAATTCTTCTGCAGCGCACATGGTGCTGTTTGACATCCTCTGGGCGCATTCTGTTTTTGCCCATAAGTTTTAATTCTTGAAACTTCTGGCCCCAGCTTGCCCGGGTACTACTTGGACAAGAATAAATTTGGCCGTGCTAGCAGCTACGACACACACTTTAGATCCTGACATTTCTTATTGAACCAGAAGGAAGTACTAGAGAGAAGTACTTAGCAGAACCTTGGCCCGACCCCTACAACTCGATTTGCTACCTTGGGGCAGACCGCCGGGGATTGGCTGGCGGGCAATTTGGTGGCATGTGAATGTGAGTAAGTGCGTTGAACGATAATGAATGCGTACACGGGTCCATCGATACTCGGATCATTGAGTTACTGTACTGTAGCTGAGTATGTCTATTTCTGAGGACCACGAGAGCTCTTCCCATGGAAGTTAATTAGTGGCGTTCAAGTACCAATCTCCAAACAGCCAAAATAGCACACAACATAGAGAGAGTTCCAGAGCAGTGAGTATTGACACGCGCTGGGTATGTAACCGTGGCAGTCTTGGTGTTGGTTATCAATTGTTCTTTGATATTTTTGATTAAATACAATATCAATTGATATTAATTGATATGATAATATTCTGATTCTGGTGGATTATGATCTCATTGTCATTGTGGTTTTCAAGGTCGAGGCTTCATGTGGAAATGCACACGGAAGCATGGCTTGTTGGCTTGGCACCAAGTGCATCGGAACAATTGGCATCGAGATGGTCCAACTCGGCCGCCGCACGAAGAAGCTGGCAACGGTTTGATGTGGGTCTATCAGGCCGGCACGGTGCCGGCACGGCAACCTTCCGGGGGCGCAGTCTGACATAGCGACATAGCCTATGAAAAGATCCTGAGATTGGCGGTCCTGCTTCAGATATTTAATGATATTTATAAGTTTCTACAGAGCATGTCACAGAGGACAAAAAGCCTAGTGCATTCCTATGACATGTAGATCGCACATTGAAGAAAGCTTTCAACAGGGGAGACTCCAAAAATATAATTCAATGTATACCAAGAACGCTGCGTGCTTCCATACCAGTAGTGAAGTCATTTGTTGATATTTGTTGCATGGATTTGGTGTCGAGGATCAATACTGGCAGCAGCAAAGAATTCCTCGATGGCATGCCAAAGACGCACCTGATTTGCCTGCTGGCCCGGGACTCATGTGGTCTCGTCTCTCGGTCGGAATTGGACAATTACTGTAACTGGTTTAAAGGTTTTTTTTGGAAGTGATAAATCTTTCATATCTTGATACTCTTTGTTGTTTCTTGCTTTTTCGTGACCCTGGACGAGAGGTAAAGGCAGTCGGTGTTCCCCCCCTCAGTCTTGCTTCTTTGCCTGCATTGCCATTCAGAGTAAGGGACTTGAAAATAGAAAGGGCAACAGAGTGCATAAATGCTGGATCACACAAGGAGACACTGTGGATGGTAAGCGCGTGTGGAAGCAGGCGCTTATTCCAGATTGGGAGGTAGACAACAAGCTTCATCCACCAGCACAGCCTGCTGGTGAAGGCATGATGTGGAGGTACAGCGAGAAAGATGGTCGAAAGGAATGGAGCCAAGAAGGGATTGGTGATTGGTATGCGGACAGCGCAAATCATCCACCTACAGAATATGCAGGGAACGGCCTGATGTGGAAGTTTTCCTCTGTGGGCGGCAATCCTGGCAAATGGCATCAGGTGGACATACCTGATTGGCATGTCTTGGATCAGTTTGAGCAGCCCGGCTTTTGTTTGCCAATTTTGATACTTTTTACGACCCATTGTCTTCTCGATTGACAGTAGCATCCTAAAAATATCTCTTTCCAGAAATACTCAGGCAAGGGGGGTGCAGGAGAGTCGGCAGATTCTTGCCCAAGGATATCAGAACGGTTTCATTTTTGACGTTGATGGTTTAGACTTCCAACAAAGGCAACCCACCGTCGTTGCGGGGCCCGGCTTCATGTGGACATTTGACAAAGACATTGGTCGATGGACCCAACTTCCAATCCCCAAATGGAAAGAGGAACCTCGGCGTTCCTGGAGTTTCTTGCGATTTTCACATGTTTGGCATGCTCACACTTCGGTTTTAGCGTTTTCGTTTCGGTGTCATGATTCATTTTCTGAAACAAGTAAGTAGGCTACTTGAAGTTCACTAGCACTTGCGCACACACATGATGCTACGCTACTTGAGGTTCACTAGCAGAACAGCCAAGGAAAGGAGCGAGGACAAGCCTATCGAAGTTCCTGCAGGAGAGGGCTACATGTGGAAGTTCTACCAGGAGAACGGCAGCAAGCACTGGCATCAGGTGCAAATGTCGAAAACAGATCTTCTGAGACCTCATCCAGAGCCTTCTGAGCATCGTGGCTATAGTACTGCTATAGTGTTTTTATGTCTTTCTCTGTCCCACAGTCCCACCTCAGCCGAATTTCAGAACAGTATGCAACAGATGTATAATATGTATATTTGGAATTATTTTGAGAGAAACAGCCAAATTTGGAGTCACCCAAACAGCCAAGGCCTGCAGGCAATGGCTTCAGATGGCAATATAACACAGATTCAGATCGAAATCACTGGGAACAAGTCCTAGTAAAAAAGGCAAGTTGTACAGGTGTCCTGTGTCATTTAGGGCTCGGGTAAAAGACCGCACCAATGACACATGCCCTCTCACCCATGCCCGCAAAAACGTAGTTGTGTGCTGAACGAATTCCGATGCATGCTGAGTTTTGCTATCGGTCGCAGGAGACTGTTGCAAAGCCAGGCTCCTGTCAAGCTGCTAGTAACTGCTAGTACACCTAAACCATATAAAGCCATAATTCAAGTTGAGGCCATCCTAGGCCAGACTATCACTCAAAAAGTGGTAGTGTATGTAGTGTATGTAGTGTATGGTAGTGTGCAGGACACCGCGAGGACTTTTCCATTTGGCGAGTCTCAAGTTTAGAAGTGCTCAAAGTCAAGTGAGCAGCCTGCAGAGCCCTCATACTTCTGTCACTATTCAAGATGATTCGTATCTCAAACTACGAAGGGTGTGTTCGCCAATTGGTTTGTGAGCGCAACATGCGTGGCCTCGCGCGAAATGTCCTTCAAGCTCTTCACTGTTCGAAGAACAAGGCATTCTCATAGAGACTGCAAAAGGTACAGGGCTCGATGCATTTTTGATACAAGTTTGTGTGCATCTACAGTCATTTTTGTCCTTTGCACATTTATTTTCTTCTTGCCTTCCTTCTTCTCTGTGGACTGAGATGCGGTAGGAATGGGGGTGTAGAGAAGACCCCTTGAAACGATTGGCGTATGACGAGATGTGACGAGATATGAGATGTGCTCCGCGTTGCCCTGTGTCCAAGGCAATGACCTCCTGCTGCGAATGCTGGACAAGGATGACGCCTTACGTCATGTTCTCAGCGCTGAACTTTGGCAGCTCCGGTTTTTCCAGCTTTGAAGCATGATTTCTCTGCTGAAACCCATCTTACAAGTGCATCAAGAGACATGCAAAAATACAAGTCACGCTCCGCGATGTCACTGTCTGAATGTCAGTCTGAATGTCACATTTGTGACAAGCCTTGAGATTCTCAAGCCTTTTCTGTTTCTTGGGGTTGCACTGCAATTGCCATGAACGGATCACACTCAGAACAAATGAGAGACTGTGATTCTTGTAGAACTGTGACTCGATGTGGGCAAGGTCCAGATGCCACGCAATGCCTCGAGCATACCTGGTTCAGTGGATACAGTGAGGCACGGGAATTGAGGGGGCGAAGCTCCGTGTTCAACGCTGAAGCAGACGGTAGACGCCGTAGACATCCGTGCAGTTCATAGCAGTCCATCGCAGTCTAGCACGCGTTCTGTCCAGGTCTCTCCCACCTTATCTGTTGGAGTGTTGCAGTGTGCACTGGCCTTAGCTTCAGACATTGAGAACAAAAAATTCGAACAAAAAAAGCATTCTCTACATCACACTCCTGAAACTCCTCTCAAGAGGAATAAAGCTGCTGCTCGTCCTGATTTTCAGTGCTTCTTGTGTGAGGTAGAGTCTTATGCACGCATGACAGAGTTGAGAAAGGCGTGGCCTGAGCCAAGAGGTGGACACTGCAGTGTCTGCAGGATTTGCTCTGTCTTGGAGTGCAGACCTTGAGGAATTCAAGTATCTCCGAGTTGCATCTCCTAGTCATTAGCGCGGTAGTGTCAGAAGAATCCGGTTGGATGATTGGCTGGAAAGGAAGTTCTTTGCAAGTTGATAAAATCCAGTCAGATTTATGGGGACTTTTTAGCTGTCTTGGCTTCGGGAGGGCATTTTCCTTTTGCTGGCCCATCAATACGAAGTTCAAAAAAGCGTCTGATCCCTGTGTGCGGCCATTGGGAACCTAACACAGAACTGAATAGCAAGCCTTGAGTCTACCCGCTGAATGATAAACATGGATAAACAAGGTATATAACAATATAGTATATTATATATATATACATAATACATATATTATGTGTATACATATATATATATACATATATATATACATATATATATAATAAATAGTATAAATACGTATGTATAACATTATTTAACATTAAGTAATCACATGCAATTGGTTTCAAGACCAATGGATGTCCATGGCGCTTACCAAGGCCCTAGTGGAGCTTCGGGCGCTCTTCACGCATTTTGATGTACGAAATCAAGGCTTCTTCGCACACATTGGCACAGCATTGGCACAGCATTGGCTTGTGCTGGGCTTGTCATGCTGCAGTCATATCTTGTCACGATCGTCAATGTTTCAGACTCTTTCAGACTCTTTCAGACTCTTTCAGACTCTCAGATGTTCACAGAGTTTGGCAGTTTGGCACTGAGACGCTCGTGTTTGGAACTGGACAGCATTTGACAGGTTGCTTAAGTGCCCAAGACTTGAAGGGGGTTCTTGTGAAGCGTGGGACACAGCTTTGCGAGAACACCTGTTTTTTTTTGGTTCGTTGTTGATTTCATCTATACTTGTGTTTAGAATGTTTAGAAGCCTTTCCAACTTGCATATCTTGCATTTTGAAAGCATGAAGTTCGCTAAGCTCGCTGAAATTTTTGAAAGCATGAAGTTCGCTTTGTAAGGAGTGGCATGGGGGGTGTGGCTGCAGAACGAGTTTGCCATGCATTGGATCGGAGAAGAGATGGTCAGATCACCTGGACCGCGCCAAACCGCTGACAGCAATGTATCCCACGGGACCTTGGTCCAACATGTGAGCGCGCATATATATATATAATATAAATTAATTTACTGTAAGATATGTAATATAACAAGTTATATACAATATATAATTTTTATAATATATATATGTGTGTGTGTAAAAGAATACTGTAATATATATATATATATGCTCATATGATTTCTGCGCATGCGCAGTAAACATCGACAAGCCACATGCTGTCACGTGTCAACTCATGGAAAAGACTTGAAAAGACTCCTAAGATTACAACCTTCGTGATTCCTCAGACAGCCCTGGGTCATATAAAATTCAGCCTTGGGGAGGACAGAGTTCACAGCTGCTGCCATGTGGTACGTGGTGTGCGGCCCAGCTGTGCAGCATGTCTTGGATGTGCGGACATGGCATCCAGTTGTATTGATCAAGACATATTAAAATAACACTTAGGAGTCATGCCTTCCACCTCAGTTGGAAAAAGCGGCGTTTCCTTCCCAAATCTTAACAAAACGATTCCGAGTCATTACGTGTCATAGGTTCACGGATTCTACAGCCGACTTGTTTGGGAGCTGATCGCTTAGTTTTGTGAATTTTGTAGGTCTGCCGGAACAACCGGGCAATAGATGCCGCCTTCGCCACGTTTGATTCTGATCAGGAGAGTGAAAGTTTGCAGACTGGCGACTAAGACCTGCTTCTAACCCTTAAGCCCTTAAGCTGTAAGTTTTACATATATATATATAACTTATTGTTACACATAGTTTAGTTTCGTTTGTATTAAAGAACAGAAATAACACCGATAAAGATCATTATTTGTAAGTGTAGAGGTCAAGAACTACATGAGATCTAAAAGTTAGGCATGTTCTTGCACTCTGGCTGTTGAAGTAAGCCTTTCCAGCCTGTACCCACTCAATGGCCGCAGTTTGCAAATCCCAAGTCAAGGTTTGTGCCATGCTGCATTTGCACTGATGGGCAAGGACGGACGTGTCACTGCAAGAGACCTGCAGATGGTCTTAGCAGATCTGCGAGGTCCAGATGTTTTTGTGCTGCAATTGCTCCTTCCGTGATCATTTGGCCAAAAACATGCAAAAACATTGCCGTGGAGGCCAAGATGCCTGGCGCAGGCAAATGCCAACCCTGTTTGATGAGATGGCAGGGAGCTTGGACCTGGAGAAGTGACTTGCCAGAGTCACGAGAAGAAGACTCTGGAATTGTTCCGCTTGTTTTGTAAGACTCAGCAAGGAAAAGCAAGAGATTTCATCATTCAGGAGGACTGGTGTGACTCGCAGTGCTTCCTAATGGGAATTTGCACCTCTTTGTATATAGATAGATAGAAGTAAAAGCCTTGGTGCCAAAGTTTCAGGACTGCGCGTGAAACCATGCGATCATTTGTGCAGATTTTCAAGAAGGAGGCACAGCTATAACAAGAGCGTGCAAAGGACCGTCAATGAAAGGAGGTCCTTCAATCCTAGAAATTGTGTTCTCCCGCCAGTGAGCCTGGTGTAAGTTGTACTAATCTGAACTCTAGTTGTGCTACATGATCAGATCATCACCTGGTGTTCCTCATTTGAGCCCCACTTGCCGCAGGCCATGAAGTACGCCAATCTTGATCAGCTAAGCCCTCTGTGAGTTCCAAGATTCTCCAATTGCCAACATTTTCTGAGCTCTCCGTACCATACTTCTCCTTTTCAAGTGCGTGTTGCCATCATGTTGCCTGCAGTATGTTGGGAAGGGTGATTGGCTCCCCCTTCCTTACTGGTACTGCCACCAACTGTAGCAATCGCTATGAGGTTTCGCCAGTACTTGCAACAAAACATGACTTTGCGGGCAGGATGCTCAGCTCGGGCCGCAAAGCGGGCGGGGGTCACGATTTATCGTGTTTACCTGAGGCAGGAGATGCCTTGTATGCAGTGACATAAATTCATATTTGAAAACAAAATATATCGTAATAAATTATATAAGAACTATAATGTTGCTGCATATACAATGAAGCTGAGAATATCTGAGAATATCTGAGAATATTCTAAATTTAAAGATATCAATTGAAATACCCCAGCATAGACCCCAGATAGCAAAAGATACTTTTTGGTGGCAACCAAGCGCTCACCTTTTCTGCTACGGCAAAAACGCAATCTTATGACATGCCTTTCAGCCACAAGGCTTGAGGCATAAAATAGATCCCATCATGTTGAAAATGCATAGCAAAAAAGCATATCAAATCATGGACCTCATACCGATACCAAATACGTACCAACTTGTAAATCTCAAACAGTGCCTATACCAAGTGCATACCATTTTGTAAGCTCCAAACGGGGCCATCAATACGGACACCCAGGGGATCAGATATGCTAAGAACAAGGCTTGGATATGATTTATGATATGAGAACCTAGGGCCCTAGGGTAACATGAACCACCTGCCCAAACCAAAACCTGTGGCCCATCAGCAATTTTTGCCGTCACCTGATTCTGCGTGTTGCTTTTGCGCATTTCCCACCCAAAAAAACTGTGCATTTTCGGGATGTATTTTCCTGGGCTGGCCAGCATGCAAAAAACATGCATTTTACCAGGGGAAAAATGCATATCTGGCCAGCCCAGGAAAATGCATCCCAAAAACGCATTCCAAAATGCATTGCGCCAATCATCACCTGATTCACGCAGCTCCAAAACCCGCACATCGCTCTAACAGCAGAACCATGCAGCGGCACCTGCAGCCAGCGCCAAAGCGCACACACGACTCTGACAGCAGCACCTGAAACAGCACCCTGCAGCAGCACCCTGCACCGCCACCAACATGCCAACACCAAAGCGCGCACACACTAGACAAGAATGGATCATTATATGATCCGGCAGGAACTGAATCCTGAAACATGCAAACCAGCCTAGATCGTTAGATTTATAAAGGAGCCACATGAGGTACTTCTCGAAAACGATGTAGGGCATCCAATATTGTCAAACGGAGTTTTAACCAGAGTCCATAAAGTTTTGACCAGCATGTTGAAAATCCAAAATAATAATAATGTTTCGGCGATGGCTTCCCAAAATAACCCAAAGTTCATCGGCGACATGATCTCGGCGAAATAAGTCAAAAAATCAAAATACTGTCGGCGACATGGTTTCGGCGAAAAACTGAGGAAGGTTCTGATGCAATTGAATCAAGCATGAATGATCAAACGTAATGCCAGGTGTAAAATAAATTGTTTGAATGACGGCTTGGTGGTTCTCGGGTTAGCCACATCCCATCATGAAAAACAAAACTGATGCAGGTACATCTGGCTGATCAGGCCAGATATCACCACCAATTGCAAGCGTCTTCGTTGGCAGTAGACTTGCAATGGTGCTACTGCCCCCTGCAAATGTGAAAAGATTAGAACAATAGAAGTTTTACATCTGTTCAGATGTTACACACACACCCCGCGTGTAGCGGGGTTTGATTCTTTTGGAAGAACATCGCTGCAAATGTCGGCAAGATCATTCAAATACAAAAGGCTTTCCGGTGCTAATGTACAGAGCCGCGTTCAGTCACTCAGACGGGAGATTCGCCTCAGCTTGAAGTGTTTGGATCGCGTCACGAAAGCTCATTCCTTCAATCATCCTCCACGTGTCGTTGATTTCCCCAGATGCCATAGCAGCCGTCAAAGTGGTTGAAAGTTGTTTGGCAAGTTCTTGGATCTTCGGAATAAAGCGGGTTGCCTCCGTAGGTGCAGTGGGCTCAATGGGGATGTTGTGAAAAGGATGATGCCCATGTACCAGGGGAATCTCAAAGTGATGGCGCCAATAATCCGCTGTGCGAAGGGACCACTCCCAGTTGCCCGAAAGAGCATAAAAGTAGTGCTCGGGGTCACGACATTTGGAGAGCCCTGACATGGGGATCTCTTCGATGAATAACTCCCTGGTATTGTTGGAGTGGGTAATGATCTTGAAGTGGATCTGGTGGACCACTCGGGATGAGAAGTGAGCACGATGGAGGTAGTGGTGTGCAGGACTTGGCTCAGTCGGAAAAGGAACATCAGGAGGTGCAGGGCCTGAATATGTATCAGCATGGGGAGTAGTTCCGATATCGGTAGTTGAGGTGTCAGCTGCCGAAGGTGCCGAAGTGGTCCCGGTCGTAGGGTCAGGGATGGTAGAATGACATAGTTCAGAAGCCTGGTCGTCTGGTGCTTGGTCTGGGTTTGTGGGAGCGAGTCCGCGGTTGGGATTCGAAGGCCAAGCCAAGCCCGCCACGGTAGCGTCTCGTTTATGCTCCATAGGTGAAACGATCAGAAATGCGTGAAATGGTGCGACAAAGGCTGAGGAATCATGAAAATGCAGACATAAGTCAAGCTGGAGAATAGTAATAATAATAATAATAATAGTGGAGTCCAGTCAGCAATCAAATTGTTCAGGTCCACGGAAAGGACAAAGTCCGAAGCCTAAAAAGGTGAGAATAAATCGAAAGGTAAAATCCAAAGAAACCTCCGTGTTAATAAAGTGTCATAGGTGCAACGAAAAGAACAATCGAGCATTCTCTTTTTGGCCAGTGAGCGCTTCAGGGCAGAATCACGCCGGGGCTAACTTTGTGGCATCGCAGACGTAGCACGAAAGGCTGTGAGGTACCTGGGATAAGCAAAGAGGATTCGATGTAGTTGTACTGTCGGAGTCGCCATTCGGGCCGGTATTCCTCCAAAAGCTGCATGATCGTCATATCATTGGGAACTTGGAATGTATCACCTTCCAGGTCGCAATAGCGAAACTCCAAATTCGAGGGGTCAAGTTGGATGTTCCATTGGGTCCGCAATCTTTTTGAGATGCAGAAACGTAGTTCTCCAGTGGGAAGGATGCCGGCTTCAATTGGTTCCATCTGGCGTGACCAGGTAAACAGAGCTTCGAGTTCGTAGCCACTAACATTCTTGAGATTTGAACTGGCCATAGCCATGTAGTGTTCACGGTCAGGTTCGCTGCGATGAGTTAGTTCCTGTAAAGGAGAGTAGTCAATCAAGATCAGAACAGGTCGGTTTGGAGGAGGGTTCACGTGACCAGGAAGGCCTCGGTGTCCTGTGAGCCATCCAACATTTCGGGGACCTTGTGGTGTATCAACCGTAGATGTAGCGCGATATGGATGGGGGCGAGAAGAATGAGCCATGGCGTCTAGTGTCAAGCGTAAAGCGGAAAGCCCAAGCTGCAACATAAAAATATGATAATGACCAAAAAGTGAAACTCAAAGTCGAAAATTGGAGGGAAGCGGTGTACCTAGTGAGTAGTCACGGGTCGACATGTAATCACTGTTCTTTTTCGATGCCGCCAAATGATGTGGTGTGTTACACACTGGAGTCGGACATATCCATAGGGCCAGGGTCATTCGCATCCGGTGGACAATGTACATGTTGAGGAGGGGCCGTAGGGCGATTGAGATGTGAGGTCCGGTGCAATGTTGCCGATGGTGAAGAAGGTGGTGTAGATCGCCATGGTGGCCAAGATAAAGAAGTGGTGGTACCTTGAGAGTGGTGTTGGGCAGAACGTCCCCAGCATGACTGTAAAATATGGAGTTGGTCTGGTATCGCTTCGTACGGTTGAGAGACGTAGACATTGGCATGTTCAGGGTGTGGGAGAACAGGAACAGAAGTTGCCGTAGAGGAGGAGGATGATTGGATGGGTACATCATAGTATCGGCGCCAATGGTTAGCCGTAGTAGGTAGGGTAGCACGATCGTTGGTGAGGTGCATGTTCTCCAAAAATGTTTCCAATGGCTTCCACGTTTCAATACCATCGAGAGTCCTTTCCACAACCCAAAGTTCATCCGGACGAGAGGACAAAGGATAGCTCAGCTTCTTGATGAATACGGAATGGACGGTTGTAGAGGTTGGGATCATTCTCGCTGCCCTGGGAATATACGATGCCGAAGTAGGATCATCAGGTGGTAGGTGTGGGACTGGGCCAGGTACGGATGTAGGTGAAGAGCGGTTTGAGACCAGTCGAACAGCATCATCCGTGTTGGAGGTCGTCATGTACAGTAGCAATAATATGATATCGAGAAAAACTGAACTGAAGCCGAAAAGCCGTGGGGAAAGGTCAATAATGAAATATCGAACAATGAGAATCACAATAAGGGAAAGTGAGAAACATGGAAAACAGAGGAAAACCCAAAGTCGAGGTGGAGGGCATCATAACGAGTGCTTGTTTCCTTTTTTCTCATAGACTTGAGCGCATCCCGGATCTATCTCAAAGGCTGATCACTCGGCCGTTTTAGTGTATCGGGTGGCCGTGACGAATGGATGCCCGCGGGGAATCACTTGAACATGAACAGCGAAGCCTGTGTCTTGTGGATCTGGATGGGGTGTCAGCAACAAAGGTGAACACTCACGAGTCGTGAAGGCATCAAGATGTTGATGAGTTTTCCATGACGGGTAGAACCAGTTCAAAACGTCCAGGAGAGAATGAGGGAGATCGTCAAGCATCTGGGCTCCTTGATCGGTGTCGATCATCATGTAGAAATCTGTCGCTGGTAGGTGTATCGACCATCGTTGTAAAAGCGTGTCGGTAACCACTGTTTTGAGGTCTGAAACGAAATGACTGCGAGCATAATCCGGATAGATCACCTTGAAGGTCTGGAACAGGCTGTCATAGACGGCTGTGGAGAGGTTGCCCGCGACCTTGGGGGCCAGAATGTTGTAGTATGGGTTGCGGACGGCAAGTTGCTGCATAGGCTTCAGGTCCAATTGGAAATAATAACCGGTCGATGGGGTGTCGAAGGCGGAGTCCGGTTGGATGGGTGCTGAAAAGATGAAGACCCCATAGCGGAGGACGGTGCCCTTGTTGGAGAGCGTGATCGTCGTGTAGGAGAGATCCTGTCGTGGGACATAGCTCGCAGTTGGCAATATCGATCCAGGTGAATGCGTAGAGACATAGTAAATGGCTGGCGGGTTGTATGATGTGAAAGTTCAAA